ATAATAATAGTGATACATTTAAGAACAAAGATAAGAAGAAAGATACATTTCAAAAATTAAAAAAATCTCCTTAATCTTAGAATAATGAATGATTTTTAAAATTACTCTATTCTAATCTTGGTCATATTTTCGTTACCTGTTATTTATTATTTTCAATTGATATTAAAAGTACTAGATAGAAAAAAGGACTGAAAAGATATATTAATCATCAATAAGAATTCTAACCCCTAAAAGGATTTGGATCATAATTTATCCATTCCTAACAACCATTAAATTAAATGTGAATTATATCCAAAGGAGCTACTTTCAACAATAATGTTGCATATATAATGAATTAATTTAACTTCATTATTTTATTATTTCAAATGACATAGAAACATTTCTCAATTGAAATTTGCCATCATTCCCTCAAATTTTGTATTACTTCTAAGTTTACTAAATAAATAAAGTGATTCAGACTTTATTCTGTTTTGTTTTTATATTCAAGTATCAAGCAGCATCAGAGAATAGCAATGAAAGCTTATTAACGATTTCTGCAATTAAACAATTTATTTTAAACTATATAACAATCATATAAATTTTAGACAATATATATTAGCAACTGTGAAAACGATCATTATTTGATATCCAGTACGATAGCCTAGAATATGAAAACAAAAATTGAGGATATTAATGTAGCTTTTCTACATTATTTTTTCTGCAACCAAATCAACGATAAATATTCAAATCTTGTGAAGGAGAAGGAACATTTCTGTGTACAGAATTTCTTGAATTCTTTGAATCGTTAATATTGTTGGGATCACATATGATTCAGCATTAGCCTTCACATGTTGCCTATTAAGAACTTTTGTTGCTAATAAATTTCACAAGCAATTTCATAAGGCTTTAAAATTATTATTATTTGAAAGAATTGGCTATTGACAATTATAAAGATGATTCTTAGATTCTCTACTTATGCTCTAATATTTGATCTCAGCAAACCTTAATATCTCATTACCAATCAAATCTGTTGTAGTTTACTCATTACTAACTTTCATTTTTACTCAGTTTTGCCTATGAAGCCTGCTCTATTTATTTAGTTAAGATTAATGGTTTAATAGATAATCAGAAGGTTATTCCATTTTATACAATTGTTGAAGACTTTGAGAAGGTTTTACAAATCATTGAAATCATATTGCTTTATTTTCCTTATGATGAATAGATCTCCATACCAATTAAGTACTTAGTAAAAATTATGGTTAAAATGGCTGGATAATCTTTTTCTCTGATTAATCTTATCGAAAATTGGCAATTAACTTAAATATCAACAAACCTTTATAATATGAACCAGAAACTCTTTGCTGATATCCGAGGATTAAATTAATCGTCCTAATTATAATTCTCTTTCTTTAATGTCTTGATTATGTCTTCAACTTGAAAAACTATAAATTAATTTTTTGTAAAAAAAAGTTTAATAAAGATAAAAGATGCAGCTAACAGAATTGAGTCAAAATATTTAGGAGAGATGTTTATGTGCAACAGGATTCGAGTAAAATATTAGGTAAGGATATTTTTCGAAAAGGTAAGTTAGGAGGATCCTATAATAAAATGTAATTGTTTGATGAAAAGAGGTGAAAGAAACATAAAACGATATGCTTTCATAACACTGAATCACTGAGTTGCAGATTTAAAAAGGAATAGAACAATTAGGCATACATCATTTTGGAAAGTAATAATAAGTTGATAAAATTTTATGATTGTTAAATGAAATTTGAATGATAACTGAGTAATTAAAGTCATCTTAGTAGTAAAAATTATTAAGAAATTTAGGTGATTTTCATATTTTTTATTTATGTTGGTGAAGAACTTAAATTTAATTATTTTATGAATTGTGAGTTCATAATTAAGAAGGTTTTTATCAATTTCAAATTGCATTAATAATAAAAAAGTTATTCAATCAAATTAACTCAATGTGCTTTATTAAATCTTAATAAATAAGGCTAAGAAGAGCAAAATCTTAATCCTATGCAAAAGGATTTTTACTTTAACATTCAAAAAAAAAAACTGCTGATTCCTGTAAATCACAGTTATTAATGAACAAATACAATTAAATCCTAGATCATGTATATATCGCCGCATAATTAGTAGGTAATATTAGTACTTTTACTTTATCCATTATTTGATGAAATATATTAATTGAATTTGATCAGCTTTGAACTTCTAAGCCTTAAAATTTACTAATTCTTATATAATTTCAAATTATATCCAATAATATGAAAATTCATAAACAAGCATTGGTTTAGTAGGCACTATCAAAAAATTTTAGGTTTTATTATGCTATTTTGAATACTCTTTGGAAAATTAAATGAAAGAATTCTATAATCAATCAATTTTTTGGATCACAAATATAATATTTCTCTTCATTTAATGATATCAGTTTGTTTAAAATAAGTTTAAAGGAAATTATTCAGATGCATAATCCTAAATAAATATCGATTTGATGCGCTTTAAAACTTTTTGATTTTTTTGTGTTAAAGAATGTAAGAAAAAATCTGATAACTTCAAAACAATTTAAGTATAAAGTTAAAATATAATAATTGAATAGAGCATTGACATGAAGTTATTTTTTTTGAGTTATAAATAGAACAAATATAATTATTATTTGTTATTCATAAATTAATTAAAAGTAATACAGAAATGAATAAAAAAAATGGTCTAAAAGATAATGCTTATTAACAAAGATAATTGAATGCTTCGAAGTGATATAAAATTAAATAAAAATAATAATAATCAATTAACTAGACTTCATTCAGCAAATTCGACTCGTTTCTAGATTCACTTCTTAGCAGTACTTTTGATTCATTAAATATCGAGACATTTGAAAAAGAATTTTAACTTTTCTTAATAATTATACATTATCACAATATCAGAAAGAATAGTTATCTATTTTTGAGATGAACGCTTAAAATAAATAGGTTACAAAGGTTAAGATATTAATATAAAATGTAGTTCAGATGGTAATTGTTTTTATCCTTAATAATATAAATAAAAAATGTACCCTCGTGAGTAAGAATGGCTAATATGTGAATTTGACAAGGAAAACATTAAATGGACAATTTGTAACTCAATAATCTATTCATTTTAATACATATTAAATAATTGGAAGAAGGAATGATGATGGAGGGTATTTGATCACTTGGGATGACAACTCAAAGTAAATCCAAATCAGAAGATATCAAGAATAGTGAGAATTATTAAATTTAATTTTAGTATTTTTAAAAAGAGAAGACTTAACAATTTTCTTATATTCACACTTTCTTCGTTATCCTTATAGATCAATTAATACAAAATCCAACATGAAGACAAATTATTATTTATATTGAAACTAAATAATATTTTCTTCTTTTATTATCAAATATATTTGAGATTAATTACTTTGTATCATAAGTGATAATATTTTATACAGTTAATATCTTAATTACTAAGTAGAATTAGCAATTTTATTTTAAAGACCTACTATCATGGAATAGTCTTACATCTATTCGTAAGATTTAAAACATAAATAAATTTAATGAAAAAGTTGATCACCAATAGGATGGAATGTGAAAATTTTGAAATTAAGGTATTTCGAAAATTTTAATAGACCTTTTAAATCTTAATGATGTTATTGGTTTGAATTTTTAGACAGAGAATAGTTGTTGTGGGGAATATAAAATTACATTAAATTTAGCAAGGCTAAAGATTTCGGTGAAATGTTGAATATTTTCACTTGGAATAATTTAAATTTTTTGTACATGTAATTAAAATAGGAAAAATTGACACATTATTTAAAATCCGCCATTCCAAAATCCAATGATTATCCACAAAAGATGCTAAGTACTGGTTTAAAGAATGAGAATAAATTCAATTACGTTTTGGTGAAAATTGCATATAATCATTTCTCATAATTGGTGGAATTCAATTTTAAACTGAATAAAATTTGAAAATGTATATACAAGTTTCTTTTTAGAAATTTCTTTAGAGCAATTTGTGCCCTTGATATAGAAAGAAAGACCTTTTATAGACGATTCAGCCAATCAAATCTATTACCAGTACTTTAAAATTTTCTAACTTATGGTGATTAGAAATGCAGTAAATATTTCATCGCAATCTATTACGAATTTAATTTCACCCATTTTTATATCATTTTTACTTTCGATCATTTTTTCAATTTTATTGATTTTACTTCTATTTACATTTTTAATACCTCTTTATGGTGAATAACCATCACATAAAGACAGAGTCACAAAATTATAAATTTTCATTCTGAATTTAATTCAAAATAGATATCTCAATATTTTTGAATTATTATACAATTACTCATAGATTACAAGATCTATTTTGGAGAAAAAAGGAGTTTTAAATTAGTTTCTAATTTGCAAATATTATTTTCATCCAAAATAGATTATCTAGTATTTTGAAAAATGCAACTGTTTTATGTATTTCATGTTATTTCTTTTTATCCTAAACACTCTTATCATTTGATACTAACTAGTGCCAGTATTTTTAATAATTATTATTGATGAATTGTAAAAATAAGATAAGAAATAAAGTAAATAAAAATATTGTTGTTGAATTCTCATTTATTTTTCTCCATAAACCTACTTCATATATAATAGACCTTAACCGAAGACAAGCTTGAGAACCTCGGCAGGCTTATTTAGCAATAAGAAGATATATCCATAACAACTTGTATTTAGATCTAGAACTTTGCCTTGTTATATCTTCTCTCATAAAAGATAAGGGCATTTATTAATTTGAAAAAATGAAATTTTAGCAATTTTTACAATATGACATTGATAATTATCACAACAATCAATAACTTAAAAATTTCATCGTTGACAACCATCTTTAATCTAAATCATAATAAAAAAACCAAAAATCCAATTTAACTCAAAATTTTTTAACTTTTTTATCCTCTCCATAAATAATACTAATGTTTATAAAATTGAAAATTCTTCCAAATGAAGGGTGTAATTTACTTAATATCTCTAAAAATTTACTAGAACATTTAACAGTTACTTATTCTGGAAGATTCAATATATATTACTTAAAGTAATAGGAGATTCAACATATTTGTAAAACACTATTTTTCAAGATTCGCTTTGAGAAGATTCTCATGATGTCATTTTAAATATAAAGAGCGTGAGTATTTTTCATATCTCGTTTATATTAAATATGGATCCTTAAGAGCCTGTTTATGATGTCGTTGTGTTTGGAACTGGTTTAATTGAGTGCATTCTTAGTGGATTACTAAGTATGGAAGGTAAGAAAGTGTTTCACATGGATCGTAACTCTTATTATGGAGGAGAGAGTGCATCACTAAATTTAATTAACTTTTGGAAATTGTTTAAGCCTGGATAATAGTTCCCAGAATAATTAGGTATGTATCAGTGATTACTTTGAAAAGGTTAGTATAACAATTGGAATATCGATTTGATTCCCAAGCTTTTTATGGCAGATGGGTAGCTAGTTAAGATATTGCTTAAGACCAATGTGGCTCATTATTTGGAATGGAAAGCTATTGATGGCACATATGTATTCCAAAAGAAGGAACCAGGTTTTCTTAACAAGGGAGACGGCAAAATCGAGAAAGTAAATATCAATATAAGAAAACAGGTTCCAGCAACAGCTTTAGAAGCCCTGCAATCTGACTTGATGAGTATGTTCGAAAAGGCAAGATGCTAGAAGTTCTTGTCCTATATTTCTAATTACTAAGCAAGCAATCCCTAGACTCATGAAGGTAAAATGTGATTACGCTAATAGGATTGAATCTCAACTAAATTTCTTGTGCTCAATTACTACAGAACTTTGAATTAGAGCCAAATACAATTGATTTCATTGGCCATGCTGTTGCATTATACTCAAATGATTCATTCTTAGATGAACCTGCTATTTAAATAGTTGAAAAGATCAAGTTGTATGTGGATAGTATTGGCAGATTTGGAGATAGCCCCTTTATTTATCCAATTTACGGATTGGGATGTATTGCAGAAGGATTTTGTAGAATGGCTGCTATAAATGGTGATACAATTATGATCAATGCTGATTTGGATGAATTGCTTTTTGATGGGGATGGAAAAGTACAAAAATATTTAATTTAGGTTTGTGGATTTAAATCCTAGAAAGTGAAGGAATTAATGGGATTAGAATAAATTAAATGTAAGATGATAATTGCTGATCCATCATATGCATTAAAGGCAAATATACCAAATAAAGTAAAATCAATTGGAAAGATTGTTAGATGCATATGCATTCTCAATCATCCAATTGCAAATACAAAGAACATACCATCAGTTCAAATTATCATTCCATAAAGATAAACAGGCAGAAAGAATGGTAGATATATTGTTTTTAATTAGATTAGATATATATGTTATGATGATTAGCGATGTTCATCAAGTCTGTTAGAAAGGATATTTCATTGCCATTTTGAGTACTAATGTGGAAACAAATAATCCAGAACAGGAATTAGAACCAGCATTTGAAATTGTAGAACCAATCTTGGAGAAATTTATCACTGTATTATAATAAAAAATTTTTAAGGTTTCTGATGTTTATGTTTCAACTGATAATGAATCTCAGGATAACATCTTCATTTCTAGTTCATTTGATCCATAATCTCATTTTGAAGCTGAAACTTAATAAGTGTTGAATGCATACAAAAAAATAACAGGAAAAGAATTAGATTTGACCAATTTAAAAGATGATTAATGATATGTAAGATAAAAGTAAAGCATATATATAATAACATATAATCATCCTATTTTGAATTCATATATAATAAATTTATCTTTTCTACTTCAACCTGTACTTTTTGTTACAAAATATCACTTAACCTCATTTTATGTGCATCAAATGTATCGAATATAAACCCTGCAACTATAAAACAGTAGACAGACTCAATCTATTGCCAGATTATTTAAATCTGTATTCAGTTCAACGAACCAACATTGGTATTTTATCAGAAACCAGATTTGCTTTATCTGTTTACTCATAAAATGTTCAATTTTTTCTTCAATTCATATAATACAATTATATACTATTTAATGGTAAATTTATAAATAATGTATTTAAATAAGATTTGATAATATCTGCTCATTTTACTAAAGAATATGCTATTTCTATAAATATCATTAAATAATTTTGTATTTCTATTGATATAATTAAATAATATGAATATTAACAATAAAAATCAAGTTAGGAAGTTTAGAAGACAATATGTAAAAGTCACAATTTAGAATTGATAGCTGTTGATTTTTGATATATCAGGTAAATTGTAGATTAAGATGTTTTGTGGTAAATTTTTAGTTGATACATTAAACTATTATAAAGTAACTACTATTGAATAAACCAAAGTAAGAATCCAATAAATGAAGCCCTGGATAATAAAAAATAAAGATGAAAGAGAATAAAGGAATAAATTATTATAATAATATTTTAGATTAAATAATGGATTTTAAACAATCTATAAGTGATTCTTTAAAAAAGATATACAAGTATATATAAAAGTATATATTCCAAATCTAAAAGGAAAAAATTAGAATTACAACAAATTACTACTAATTAAGTATTTTGAAGATATCAAATAATTATCAGAATAATATTCTTCAGATATATAGAAATTAAGGATAATACTTTTATTGATGAATTAACAAATTAATTTGAATTATTCTTTAATTATGCTGAATATTTTTTGACTTTGGATACATTCAAGAATAAAAAATTAACAATCCAAATGTAATGAATAATAATTTTATTCAAATATAACCATTTTATAAATACAAAATGAATCAATAGTTTATAATTTTTTCTTATGAAAAAACATCAAGTTAGAGTAGAATATGTGTGAATCATATAAAGAAAATAATTATGATTGATGTGGATTCTTAAAATAAGAATATTGAGGATAAATTTATCTGAATATTCCATTAAATAAATATTAAACATTTGAAAATATTAATAAATTATGGATAGAGTATAATTTAGAATCAGAAAATATATTCACACGCTATAAATGGGAAGTATGAAGAAAAGTAATGATTTATTCAATTAAATTACTTCAATGAAATAAAATTATATTTAGAAATTAAATAGAATTAGTGATTAATTAATTTCTGAATAATTCAAATCGATTTAATTAAATAAAGACAATTTCAATCTAAGCTTTATAATATGAATAATTATTCTAAGATTTAAAATAATTAATTAAAAAAGTAAAGCAGAACCTAAAGTTTAAAAATTAAGATTCAATTTTTCAGAAAGAATTAGAACACGATTATTAATAATCTATATATATAATCAAATAAATGCGAAGTATTAATGTTACATATCTTTTATTAGTTGAAACTAATTAAATTTTACAATTATAAGAACTTATCTCATGATTTTCTAATTCTACATATTTGAAGGATGAAAATTAGATTGAATCTATATAAGATATCTAGGTATTGATTGATTAGACTAAAATATATTAATGTGGGAGGAGGTAGTTATATAGATAGGTTGTAAACTATCTATCTAATTATATTCTGGTCCTGCATTTCATAACCTGCTTAACTTTAATATACCTTTATACTTCTAATTTTAATATACCTAGTAAGCTAGTACTTTGAGAACTTGTTAAATGCTTGCGTGACGGCTGATGTGGTGAATGCACCAATTTTTTTATGTCAAATTTAGTTTTCATAATTTTTATCCACCATGAAGATTCTATGTGTATTACTTTATGGCATACTTCTTTGATTTCTTCAAGAAAAATGCACTTTTAAATACTAATGCTTATGCTATCACATCTAATGCTTTTTGTAAAAAAACTGATGATGTTCTCCACTAAATATATGTTAATAACGAGTAGAATTGAAAGCATTCAACCTATCAACCCAATTAGTGTTAGAGATAGGAATACTGCATAATGCTCACCTCGCCACATACACCTGAAGATGGATGCCTCTAGTCACCGTTATTATTTGAATGGTTCTTGCATGAAGTGATTTGGAAGTTAGGTAACTTGCAATCCGTCCTTAAGTCATGTAGTGATACTAGACCCTATAAATCTTCTTCTTCTTTTCCTGGATTAGCAGGAACTTCACTTGCTTCTTCTGCTAGAATGATTTTTACACATATACATTAGTACTTGTTTACATTTGTATGTTACGATGTTTTTCCTTCGCAAAAAAATAACAAAATCTTTGGTTTTGAATGATGCACTAAATGTGCCATTTTTTAATGGCAAAGGCTGAATAGGCATACAATTCATTTTAGTATGCCATGATTGTCTTTATATAAAGCTCTAAAATTAAGAAGCTGGTTTGATTAGAGATATTTTTGTTTTAATCAATACTGCTAGCATCATCCATCTTCGTATATTTAAACTGCCGACTCTATTAATGCTATCATGACGATTGCGCCTAGTAGCTGTTACACTTATGTTAGTGGACTTTTTCTGCTTTCATAAGTAATTGAGATTCTTATAAAGTTGAAGCATTGTATGAATAATTTACAAGCGTTTGTAATGTATACTAATCATATCCTTGCTTCTTAATGTTACAGTGCTTGTAGTTTTATTAAAGCGTCGTGAATATTTTGCTACAGAGTGCTGTTGTAATGAATCAGACTGTCCTCTCATGTGTTTAATTGAACTAATCCTTTGAAAACCTGAACAGTTATGCAATGAAAGGTTTTTCTTGTATTCCTACTGTCTTGTACAATAAATCCCTACAATATCCAAGGCCTAATCTTAGAAATAATTTGTGAGAGACATCTCATTGCAAAAATGTAAAGAGCTGTTCATTACAACCAGTTTAAACTTACTCCCTTTTGATGATTGTATTACTGCTTACATTAATGATGGAACTAAATGTTCTCAGTGTTGTTCTGGTTGCGCAATTGTTAGAAAGATCATCTTAAACTTGTTACAACACCTTTATTCATAAAACCATAGATGCTACAATTTAACTTTTCTCGAAAATATGTAGAATAAATTCTGCAAAATGTATTAGATGTGTTAGATAATTGTCTCTGTTGTGTAGACAGATTTCTATTCTTCAAGACATAATTATTAATTCACTTTAAACATTAAAAATTGTAAATATAAGCCTGCCAATTTGGTAAATACGACCAACAATATTGAAATAAAAATAGCAGTATACACCCTTAAGAACAAGAATAGGCATCTGATTCCAGTTTCACTTAGTGTTTTCATTAGTAAAATATTATCTTTTGAGATAAAAAGTCTAGCTATTGATGTAAACATGAGTGCTATTTAAAAAGAGTTGTCTTCATGCTTTTCTATTAGGGCTTTAAGTACATTATAGAAACAAATACTATTAAAAGTAATGATGTTAAGTAATTTCCTATTGTTTTCTTTGTGATGATAATCTAATACTTAATATCTACAATTCAGGGAAAAAGGAAGTCATTTATCATCTCCATTTTGAGTACATCGCTTATGGGATATACAGGTTGATGAACAGTCTACTCCAGTGTAACTATCAGCACATAATGTAGAAATGATGAGTTTTAGTCCTTACAAAAGAATGTCTAGAGGAGGCATTACAACACCATGTTGGTGTTGCTCAACATACACAATTTATACTGCATTCGTATAGACTGTGATAGCACAACTATAAATTAAGCACATTCTATCATATGTAGTGCGATTTAATTCAAATGCCATTTGAACTCTTAAGAAACATGTTTAAGGGAATGCCAAACTAAAATCAAGGATTATAATTTAACAAAGGATGGTCATGCATTTACAAATGATTTCTACATTAAAAAAGGACAAAATAGAACAAAAAATAAATAAATTTCGCTAAGGTAATTTTCTATTTGCATTAATGTATTTAGAGGATTAATACTTGAATACCTAGATAATAAGTTAATTTCAATAAATAAATTTATGATCACAAGCCAAAAAGGCTTATAATATTCATAAATATGCAATGAATTTGTAGAAAACATAATTCAAAAAGTGACTTCATTAGTTTCGCACCAAACACAAGCGGCTATACATTTAGGTTTGCCGATACATGAGTGAGTAGAATCAACACATGCTTTGCATAGTTCACAAGAATCCAAACAAGCAGCATTATTCTAAAGGGAAGCATTTAACAAAACGAAGATGTAGAACCAGAGAGTCAATGAGAGAACCTAAGGGATGATACATCACATTAAACACAGATGATATAATTTGCATAGTACTTTACAAAGGTAGCTAAATCACATTTCACTTTATTTGAGAAAAATTAGATGGATTGTTATTGCATTGGAAAGGTTCTAAAGTATATATAGTATGAGCAAGATATTTGAGCTAGCATTATTACAAGGTCAACATGCATTTGAATTATTTAGAAGTACTTCTAGCATACATTTCAATTTTGGGTGAAGTAGGTAATAATCTATTTCATCGCTTATTTATTCTTATATTTCTTAGAATATTTCGTCATTTATAAAATCATTATTTATTCCTTCTTTAATTGCTATGATCATAGTTATATTTAATCTTCTTGACATATTCTCATAGCATATTTATCCCCTATTTATTATATTTAAATCCTTTTCTTGTTCACCCTCTTTTCAAAGCCTATTTTATCCCCTAAATTTACCAAATTAATCCTCTATCTTTAAATTATTCATCATAATTTTCATAGCCACTTTTATTCTATATTTTTGTCGCTGATTTTTTCCAAATAAATTCCCTATTAAACACAATTTTAATAGTAAATTTCATTAGTAATATATTCTCCTATTTCATCTCCAAAATTGTATTTACTCATCCTTAGCCAGACCATATTAGTGTCTTCTTAAAGAGACAGTAATATACGAGTTTTGACCAAACCCAAAAATATATAATACTAAAAGAACAAGCGAAACTTCTCCCTTAGGTTATTCTTATTATTACAAGGAATAAAATGTTTGGTTACCAAATTTACTCTGGCTAGGGAAAAATAATTTATTTAAGTTTTCAATAATAGAATACAACTATTTTGCCTACAAATCTTAAATTGAAGTATTCATAAAAATGACCGTATTTTGGATATTTTCAATAATAATCCAAAATTCTGGCTTGGAAAAAGTCTTATTATATTTGTAAGATTTATTATTAAAGGATCTATTTTCAATGGTAGGACAATATTCATATAATTTAAAAATTAAACTAAAATGAAATTTGAATTATTCTCATTTTTATAAGGATCATTTCAAAGTTTTTATTATGTTGCTCATTCAACCTATTAAAACTTAACACAAAAAAATGTTGCTAAGATTAAAATCACAAGAATTGACTTTTTCTTTATATAAATATTAAAATAGAAAAAATTATCCCTATAACTTAAGTTAGTACAAATATTAAAAATTCTACTTTGTAATTCAATAAAAAGAAATAAAGAAATATTTATCATAAGAAATTTTTGCATGAGCTCTTTCTTGATAGGATATTCAAAATATACTTCTGTATAAACATTCAAAGTCTTAAATTAAGCCCTTTATTTTAGTATAAAAAATGTCATAATTAATTAAAGTTGGTTAAAGAAAAAAATATATTTTAGTTATAAATTATTCTTTATAATCATAAAAATTGAAATTTTATATGGCTTGCTTAAATACATAATATGAGGAAATAAAGCTTGCGCTATTGAATATGGTATGTGAATACAAACAATTCTCAAATCAAATGATAAACAGGCAACATGAAAAAGTTAAAAAAGCTGAAACAAGTTCAATATTTCTAATTTATATTTCTTTTAGTTTTAAGAAATAACAGAATAAAGTGGCTAAGAAGGAATATGCCAGAAATTAAAAATTAATACATTGCTAATTAAACTCAAAAAGTAATATTAATATCATAAATAGGGTGTATTAATCTCTGAGAATTAGAATCGTCAAAATGAACCCCTAAAAAAGCAGAACACTTGCACAGATTAAACAACCCAAACCGATGATGAGAATGCNTAATCTATTTCATCGCTTATTTATTCTTATATTTCTTAGAATATTTCGTCATTTATAAAATCATTATTTATTCCTTCTTTAATTGCTATGATCATAGTTATATTTAATCTTCTTGACATATTCTCATAGCATATTTATCCCCTATTTATTATATTTAAATCCTTTTCTTGTTCACCCTCTTTTCAAAGCCTATTTTATCCCCTAAATTTACCAAATTAATCCTCTATCTTTAAATTATTCATCATAATTTTCATAGCCACTTTTATTCTATATTTTTGTCGCTGATTTTTTCCAAATAAATTCCCTATTAAACACAATTTTAATAGTAAATTTCATTAGTAATATATTCTCCTATTTCATCTCCAAAATTGTATTTACTCATCCTTAGCCAGACCATATTAGTGTCTTCTTAAAGAGACAGTAATATACGAGTTTTGACCAAACCCAAAAATATATAATACTAAAAGAACAAGCGAAACTTCTCCCTTAGGTTATTCTTATTATTACAAGGAATAAAATGTTTGGTTACCAAATTTACTCTGGCTAGGGAAAAATAATTTATTTAAGTTTTCAATAATAGAATACAACTATTTTGCCTACAAATCTTAAATTGAAGTATTCATAAAAATGACCGTATTTTGGATATTTTCAATAATAATCCAAAATTCTGGCTTGGAAAAAGTCTTATTATATTTGTAAGATTTATTATTAAAGGATCTATTTTCAATGGTAGGACAATATTCATATAATTTAAAAATTAAACTAAAATGAAATTTGAATTATTCTCATTTTTATAAGGATCATTTCAAAGTTTTTATTATGTTGCTCATTCAACCTATTAAAACTTAACACAAAAAAATGTTGCTAAGATTAAAATCACAAGAATTGACTTTTTCTTTATATAAATATTAAAATAGAAAAAATTATCCCTATAACTTAAGTTAGTACAAATATTAAAAATTCTACTTTGTAATTCAATAAAAAGAAATAAAGAAATATTTATCATAAGAAATTTTTGCATGAGCTCTTTCTTGATAGGATATTCAAAATATACTTCTGTATAAACATTCAAAGTCTTAAATTAAGCCCTTTATTTTAGTATAAAAAATGTCATAATTAATTAAAGTTGGTTAAAGAAAAAAATATATTTTAGTTATAAATTATTCTTTATAATCATAAAAATTGAAATTTTATATGGCTTGCTTAAATACATAATATGAGGAAATAAAGCTTGCGCTATTGAATATGGTATGTGAATACAAACAATTCTCAAATCAAATGATAAACAGGCAACATGAAAAAGTTAAAAAAGCTGAAACAAGTTCAATATTTCTAATTTATATTTCTTTTAGTTTTAAGAAATAACAGAATAAAGTGGCTAAGAAGGAATATGCCAGAAATTAAAAATTAATACATTGCTAATTAAACTCAAAAAGTAATATTAATATCATAAATAGGGTGTATTAATCTCTGAGAATTAGAATCGTCAAAATGAACCCCTAAAAAAGCAGAACACTTGCACAGATTAAACAACCCAAACCGATGATGAGAATGCTTAAATTTATGGTTTGAAATTATAAGCATTTTTAAGGAACCTTTTTATAAGAAATAGAAAATTTCCTCAAAGCCAAGCATTTTAGTTTGATCCCAAAATAAGAAAAAATTGATTCTAGTATATAACTCAAGTAAATTAAATAAGGAGAGGCTTTACATTTAATCAAAAATAATCGATTAGAGGAAGCTTTGCTTGTAATTGATGAGGCAATTAAAAAAAACTCTAGTAATCCAAGAAACTATGAATTAAAATGTAGAATTAATGATTGATTATAAAGCAAATGTCTTAATATTTATGAACCGGCTTAAGGAGGCACTAGAATTTGCAGAAAAGGCAATAGAAAATGACTTCTAAAATGCTTATAATTATGCGAGAAAAGGTTATTATTATTAATTATATTCATTTAGCTTACATTTTACTATTACTGAAAAGAGGTGTAGAGGCTTTAGAGTATTTCAATATAGCTATTTAAAAATCCCCTGATGACTATGAATTTGAAGTTGGAAAAGGTATCTAAATATTTAAAATAGCAAATACATTATTACATTTGAATAGATTTGATGAATGTTAAGCTAGTTATAATATTGCCATATAAAAAAGCAACAATAAACCAGAATTATATGCAGAAAAAGGTAAGTATATTTAATAACTTTAAAGCTAATGCATTAAGAATACAAAAAAAATCCAAAGAAGCTTTGATTTAATATGATAAGGCTATAGAGTTGGATTCTTAATAGCCTAGTTTTCATTCAGGAAAAGGTTGTATTCCTTTTCATAAATTTAGCTCATACTTTACAAGAAATGAATCGGTTTTAAGAGGCTTTATTAGAATGGTAAAAAGCAATCGATTTAGAGCCTTCTAATTCTAATTATTATTCTGGAAGAGGTGAAACTAATCTTTTTATTTTAGCATATACTTTAAGACAACTGAATCGTAATGAAGAAGCCATCATATCCTATAACTTAGCTATTTAAAGGAATCCTGAAAACTATGAGCATCACTCAGGAAAAGGTTAGATTAATAATTTTGAAATAAGGCTATTCGCTAAGATAATTGCTAAGACATTTAGAAGCCATAGATTCTTTCGATTTGGCAATAAGCATCAATGCTGACGATGCATATCTGTATGCATAAAAAGGTTTGAGCAATCATAAACTAAAAATTAGGCCTTGCCTTAAGAGAGATGATTCGCTATCCAGAAGCTTTGAAATGTTTTGAATAAGCTATTGAAAAAAATCCAGAAGATTATGAGTACTTCATTCATAAAGGTTTTCTTACAACTTATGAATTAGCTGACACTTTAAGATTCATGAATAAATCTAAGGAAGCTCTGGATTCTTATAATTAGGCTATTCTAAGATTTCCTAGAGATGAGAGAATTTACGGAGCAAAAGGTAAACTAACCTAATACTCTTCTATAGCATAAGCATTACGTCTTCAGAAAAATTATGATGAAGCTCTGAAATGCTTTGATAAAGCAATTGAAATGAATCCACAAAATTCAAGTTTCTATGCAGGAAGAGGTTAATACTAATTGATACCAAATTAGGTGACACTTTAAGAGATATGAATCGTTATTAGGATTGCTTAAAATATTTTGATCAAGCAATACACTGTAATCCTGAAAATTCATTTTATTATGGAGCAAAAGGTATAAAATATTGAATATTCCAAGCGGATGCATTACGACACCTCAATCAATTTGATGAAGCATTAAAATATGCCAACTTGGCTATAAATTGGAATCCAAATATAGCTGATAATTATGAGCTAAAAGGTAAATCATTAATTGGCAAATACTAGCAAACATTTTAAAATTCTAACTCAAAATTAATGAGGCTTTGAAGTATTTTGATGAGGCAATCAAAAGAAATCCTGAATGTTCCAAATACTATGCAGAAAAAGGTATACTATCTTAATTAATAATAATTTCAGCTGACACTTTACGAGCAGTTAATAGAAATGAAGAAGCCTTGAAATCTTGTGAAATTGCTCTTAATAAAGAACCATATAACCACAATTATATTTTAATTAAAAGTATAAATGAATATATTTTCTTAGTGATTACACTATTATAGATGTGTCGTTGGAAAGAATCATCAGAATAATATAAAATATTATAATACCTCTGTCCAAATTAGGAATTTCTGAATCAAATAAATAGTAAATATAAAAATATATTTTTAGGTAATATAATAGTATAAATGCAATAATTTAATGAACGCTATGGTCAATGATTGAAATATATTTGAAAATAATATAAATATGCATCATTAGAACATTACTTATATATTCATTAAATTGAATACTACAGCTTTTTTAAAGTAAGGATTATACTCAATATTTGGTGTGGTCGCCACATTCAAATTTACATTGGTTGTGCATAAATTTTACTTCACCCAACCATTATTCCAAGTTTTATTCNTTACATTTGAATAGATTTGATGAATGTTAAGCTAGTTATAATATTGCCATATAAAAAAGCAACAATAAACCAGAATTATATGCAGAAAAAGGTAAGTATATTTAATAACTTTAAAGCTAATGCATTAAGAATACAAAAAAAATCCAAAGAAGCTTTGATTTAATATGATAAGGCTATAGAGTTGGATTCTTAATAGCCTAGTTTTCATTCAGGAAAAGGTTGTATTCCTTTTCATAAATTTAGCTCATACTTTACAAGAAATGAATCGGTTTTAAGAGGCTTTATTAGAATGGTAAAAAGCAATCGATTTAGAGCCTTCTAATTCTAATTATTATTCTGGAAGAGGTGAAACTAATCTTTTTATTTTAGCATATACTTTAAGACAACTGAATCGTAATGAAGAAGCCATCATATCCTATAACTTAGCTATTTAAAGGAATCCTGAAAACTATGAGCATCACTCAGGAAAAGGTTAGATTAATAATTTTGAAATAAGGCTATTCGCTAAGATAATTGCTAAGACATTTAGAAGCCATAGATTCTTTCGATTTGGCAATAAGCATCAATGCTGACGATGCATATCTGTATGCATAAAAAGGTTTGAGCAATCATAAACTAAAAATTAGGCCTTGCCTTAAGAGAGATGATTCGCTATCCAGAAGCTTTGAAATGTTTTGAATAAGCTATTGAAAAAAATCCAGAAGATTATGAGTACTTCATTCATAAAGGTTTTCTTACAACTTATGAATTAGCTGACACTTTAAGATTCATGAATAAATCTAAGGAAGCTCTGGATTCTTATAATTAGGCTATTCTAAGATTTCCTAGAGATGAGAGAATTTACGGAGCAAAAGGTAAACTAACCTAATACTCTTCTATAGCATAAGCATTACGTCTTCAGAAAAATTATGATGAAGCTCTGAAATGCTTTGATAAAGCAATTGAAATGAATCCACAAAATTCAAGTTTCTATGCAGGAAGAGGTTAATACTAATTGATACCAAATTAGGTGACACTTTAAGAGATATGAATCGTTATTAGGATTGCTTAAAATATTTTGATCAAGCAATACACTGTAATCCTGAAAATTCATTTTATTATGGAGCAAAAGGTATAAAATATTGAATATTCCAAGCGGATGCATTACGACACCTCAATCAATTTGATGAAGCATTAAAATATGCCAACTTGGCTATAAATTGGAATCCAAATATAGCTGATAATTATGAGCTAAAAGGTAAATCATTAATTGGCAAATACTAGCAAACATTTTAAAATTCTAACTCAAAATTAATGAGGCTTTGAAGTATTTTGATGAGGCAATCAAAAGAAATCCTGAATGTTCCAAATACTATGCAGAAAAAGGTATACTATCTTAATTAATAATAATTTCAGCTGACACTTTACGAGCAGTTAATAGAAATGAAGAAGCCTTGAAATCTTGTGAAATTGCTCTTAATAAAGAACCATATAACCACAATTATATTTTAATTAAAAGTATAAATGAATATATTTTCTTAGTGATTACACTATTATAGATGTGTCGTTGGAAAGAATCATCAGAATAATATAAAATATTATAATACCTCTGTCCAAATTAGGAATTTCTGAATCAAATAAATAGTAAATATAAAAATATATTTTTAGGTAATATAATAGTATAAATGCAATAATTTAATGAACGCTATGGTCAATGATTGAAATATATTTGAAAATAATATAAATATGCATCATTAGAACATTACTTATATATTCATTAAATTGAATACTACAGCTTTTTTAAAGTAAGGATTATACTCAATATTTGGTGTGGTCGCCACATTCAAATTTACATTGGTTGTGCATAAATTTTACTTCACCCAACCATTATTCCAAGTTTTATTCCCTCTATCGTGTATTAATAGATGATTCTATTTATTTGAGGACACTCTACACACTACAAACAATTTAAAATATCCATATCCAATAACTCTTTTACAGCTTAGTTTAATTTTTAATCTCCCAGATTCGATATACTTGTTATTCATAATCCAAATTTGCCTTATAAGGTGTTTTAATTTCTGGTTCTCCATATCAATTTTTGACTTTCCAATTAGCCTATCAATCAAATCCAACTTAAATTCCATATAGCTGTATAGGCAAATCAAATTAGTCAAAAAATTCAGCTCTCCATTAGTCAAAACCAAAACATTAATAACCTGGAATAGAAAAAGTTAAGTAGTGTGCCAATTATTTTCACTTCATTTTTCAAAAGTGTTCAAATTTAGGTGAAATTGAATCGCAAATTCCAATCTAAAATCCTTGAAATTATTCACACATGTAAAAATTCTTTTGCTGTTAAAGTAAGTGAGCAACATATTTTTGATTTCTCTTTTATTAGACTAATATAAAATGAAAAACCTTTAATTAGTTAGGGAATGTCCCTTATCATAAAATTCGCTTTAAAATTTCTAATTATCATTTAACTTATGGTTTTCTACTTTTTCAAGTGTTGTGAAAAAGATCAATCTAGAGTTAAAGTCTATAAATATTCTGAATCAAATCCTGCTGCTATTGATTGAAGAGGGAAGATGACGGTTTATTTCTGATATGTTTGAATTATGCATTGAAAGTGATCAGATGTAGAANTTCCAAATACTATGCAGAAAAAGGTATACTATCTTAATTAATAATAATTTCAGCTGACACTTTACGAGCAGTTAATAGAAATGAAGAAGCCTTGAAATCTTGTGAAATTGCTCTTAATAAAGAACCATATAACCACAATTATATTTTAATTAAAAGTATAAATGAATATATTTTCTTAGTGATTACACTATTATAGATGTGTCGTTGGAAAGAATCATCAGAATAATATAAAATATTATAATACCTCTGTCCAAATTAGGAATTTCTGAATCAAATAAATAGTAAATATAAAAATATATTTTTAGGTAATATAATAGTATAAATGCAATAATTTAATGAACGCTATGGTCAATGATTGAAATATATTTGAAAATAATATAAATATGCATCATTAGAACATTACTTATATATTCATTAAATTGAATACTACAGCTTTTTTAAAGTAAGGATTATACTCAATATTTGGTGTGGTCGCCACATTCAAATTTACATTGGTTGTGCATAAATTTTACTTCACCCAACCATTATTCCAAGTTTTATTCCCTCTATCGTGTATTAATAGATGATTCTATTTATTTGAGGACACTCTACACACTACAAACAATTTAAAATATCCATATCCAATAACTCTTTTACAGCTTAGTTTAATTTTTAATCTCCCAGATTCGATATACTTGTTATTCATAATCCAAATTTGCCTTATAAGGTGTTTTAATTTCTGGTTCTCCATATCAATTTTTGACTTTCCAATTAGCCTATCAATCAAATCCAACTTAAATTCCATATAGCTGTATAGGCAAATCAAATTAGTCAAAAAATTCAGCTCTCCATTAGTCAAAACCAAAACATTAATAACCTGGAATAGAAAAAGTTAAGTAGTGTGCCAATTATTTTCACTTCATTTTTCAAAAGTGTTCAAATTTAGGTGAAATTGAATCGCAAATTCCAATCTAAAATCCTTGAAATTATTCACACATGTAAAAATTCTTTTGCTGTTAAAGTAAGTGAGCAACATATTTTTGATTTCTCTTTTATTAGACTAATATAAAATGAAAAACCTTTAATTAGTTAGGGAATGTCCCTTATCATAAAATTCGCTTTAAAATTTCTAATTATCATTTAACTTATGGTTTTCTACTTTTTCAAGTGTTGTGAAAAAGATCAATCTAGAGTTAAAGTCTATAAATATTCTGAATCAAATCCTGCTGCTATTGATTGAAGAGGGAAGATGACGGTTTATTTCTGATATGTTTGAATTATGCATTGAAAGTGATCAGATGTAGAAAAAATAATAAATATTAGCTTAAATTATTAAATTGATACATATATGAACTCAAAATATTAGGCACTTTTCTTTTCTATCATCTTTTTAATTTTTACTTGAGGCATTCTGAGAATTGAATCCTTTGCCTTAAGCTACATTTCTAATTGCTAAGTTAAAAATCTCTTTAACACCTTCTTATGTTTATGTCGAACATTCCAGATACTAATATTGTAATTAATCTATTTTAGATTTAGCTTTATAATTGTTGAAATATATTTACTGCTTCATATTAAACATGATTTGGATTTGCTTAGTTTCTCATCTCTTTATTATTTCCAACAAATATTTTTGGTACTTATTTAAATTCAGGAGTTTCCAAATCTTAGTACCATTTAGTGATTGCACTTTAAAAGCTTTCTTGATCAATAACTGAGAAGATGATTAAAAAGATATCAGCCATACCATAATTCAATTACCTAAGTTTGTTATATTTTTCTTATCCTGCAGTATCCCATAAGCTTAAATTTACATTCTTGCCCTCAAATGCTATTTAAATTGTAAAATTATCAAAGACCTAAGGAACAAAATCTTGCGTTAACTAATCCTTTATATAACTAAATTTTATAATGTAATACCTCAATAGTATTTCATGTTTGCCAACGCCACTATCGCCTAAGGCAACTAGCTTAATTGAAATCGAGTTTTTTTCTGACATCACAACAAATTTATATTAAATAAATATTTATGCTTTGGATACTTTAGATCATGCTCAAAGGCAGTTATAAAACTAATGTTTGAGAAAGTGTGCTGAGTGAAATCTTTAATTATGGTCTGTTTGATATTGTTATGATTATCATCATAGTATATAATATATTTTTAAAAAAGAGGGAAAAAAATGCACAAAATTTAATACAACTATAATTAATTAATAAAATTATTTATAAAATTATTTTAATGCAAATAAATTGCTCGAATACATATAATATCTCCTTTATTGCCATTTATACTTTTATTTAAAAACAGAATTTGACATTAGAAGATGATATAAATTTAAATCAATTTATGAAATATTAAACTCTAAAATAACTATTGAATTCGATCTAGGCAAGACTGATGGGAATAATTATTAATTGCTTTTGAGCTACTTTAGTGTTTTCCAAATAGCATTTGAGACTATAATATCTGTATCATCTTTTAAGTAGTGAATTAGCGGCTGAATTTTTGAAATGGAAATGTTCTAAATATTTTGGTGCTAACTATCCTCTTTTTATAAAGTCAGCATTGTAAGGAGCTAATTTAGAGAATAGTGAATGTAAATTCTTTGAAAAAACTGGATGAGCTACTTATTTCAGAAAGAAATTAGAGAGATAATAAATATTATGCTACATATCTATTTATTTAATGAATGAAAATCACCCAATTATCGTATTAATTTAAGGTAATAAATAAATATTTTGCAGGTATTTTAACACCTTCAGAATATCTGTAGCCTATCGCAAATTAAAACTCAATTTAAATTAAACTAACTATCTAAATGCTTTCATTCACATATAAGTATTTAATGAAAAAATTAGATATTATATCAACTTATTTGTTACTGACAGATCAAGCAATTAATACTGTTAAACTCATTTAGGATTTTATTTGGATTAGTATTAGTATTAAAAATAATTTCTTCAAATTTTAGTTTTCGATTAAAATCCAAACGCATCAAAATAACATAAATTAAATAAATAATGGCAGGCTTATCTAAATCATATATCATATTTGATTAGTAGACTATTTGCTTTTGAAATTAAGTGTTTTTTTTTACTTTCTCAACTTTATTAAAAGACATGGTCATATTCGCTATCAAAAATAGCTTCTGCAGAAATTACAAACTAATCACAATATATTTATATCAAATTAGTTCACCTTAGAGATTAAAATATTCAAAAATAATTTCGTTAGTTTTAAAGTATTTTCATGATAACATGACTATTTGTTGAATCCATTTTAGAGACTTAATTTATGGGATGAATAATCTTCATGATGATAATGATTAATTTATATCAATTTATTATTTGATAAAATTTAAATTTAGATCCCAATTTGTTCTTTTTAGGGTTAATAGTCTAAAAGGTTAAATCCCTTTTGTTTCATAAAAAATTTCAAATTCATTCACGCATTATCGATACATAATCTTTTCCTATGCTTCTAAAAGTCGTTGTTGGGAAGTATTTATTGAGCTGAATTCTAAAATTACTTGAAGTAGATTGTCATCACGAACGATTTGACTTTGCACTGAAGCATTTATATCTCATAAACGAATAGATTATCTGCACTACAGGATGGCAAGGACTTAAGAGTGCATTGTTTATTTCGTAGTCAATCCAATTATTTAAGAGCTGCTTTAAATAGGAGGTTAATCATCTCAATATATTATTAATTTAGGGTTTGTAATAAAGGCTCGACTTAAAATTAATTTGTTTGTTAAAACCAGCCTCTGAAATGGAAATGGATAACCAATACAATTATTTATAACTTAGAACAGAGATTTGATTTGGTTAATGTAACGAGCTTTTGATTAGAAAAGCTGTGAATATGAAAATTTAATTTTAAGAACATCTTGCACATTAGCATATATTTTAGATATAAATATTGATTGATCTGACTCCTTATTAATAGTATTTATAAGTTTGTAGACTAATAAGTGGAATTAAGAGATTCATATTTTAATTGTGGGTCACAATTTCTACTTAGATGTATTAACAAAAAGAAAGATTGATTTTGCAAATTAATAATTCAAATAAGAATTTTTCACACTATTTGAATATGTTTATATAAATAATTCAATGTTGGTGTCAAAGACATCCAAATCAGGACTATTGACAAATTTAACCCCTTGACATTAGAATGAAGTATATCATCTTGTATATACCAACTCTAAAGATCGATTATATTATTTGACTTTTTTATGTTTTTATATAAGAAAAAAGCAAAAAAAATAGTTTCTAACGTAACATTTAAATCAGGATCACCTTGCATAATAGAACTATCTTTCTTTACTAATATATTCCAATCATATTATGTGTGAATATTTCTGTATAATAAACCAATAAAGAGTATCTAATACTGATTTTGAATTGAAAAAATAAAGTAATTGGTTTACTCTTTCTCTCCACCTATTTTCAAAGTGGCAATAAAAGGGATTAAATTATATTGTATAAAAAAGAATTTACTATTATATGTTATATTCCTTTTGCAACTTATTCATGATTTAAATTTATTGCCAAAGAGATGCAAAATAAGAAAAAATAATAACCCATCCAAAAAGACTCCTCAGGATATATATTCGGTCCCCGATAATACTTGAAGAATCAATCGAATCTATATGAAAACTGAAAATTACAATTCGATATGTTGAGAATTTATTTTGAAATAAAGAATTCATTCATTACCTTAAGGTAACTGAAAAGCTTTGTATATTCAGCAGATTTGAAAATTCTAATTTGAGGTAATCTAACATAAGTTCGAAGCAAACTTAAATGGAAAATAAATTATATAATTTATATTGCGAATCAATTATGAATCGACCAAACACCTCAAATTTGGTTCTTATTCGCAAAATTTCTAATTCATTCTCAAAATAAACATTAACTTAAAATGATTTATCAAATGAGTTCTGCTATTAAAAATCAAAGACTGGTATTCTCTAGTGAATTACCAGAAAATCCTATGGCAACTAAGATGACATTAAAGTAAGACAAAACTTGTGGGGGAAGACTTAGATGGAATTTAATTATCAATGTAGTAATGATTGCAATGGCAGGCTTCCCTTTCTACCTTCCCTTAGAAGCTACTTTGGGAGTTAACTGTTTCTATGCGTTGTTATGGATTTTATTTATATTTTTGGCTGCCAATACATAGTCAAAAATCCATTAAACTATGAAAAAGGTTTCCAATAACTCTTAATAGCCTCCAAATCCTACACCTATCAAATTCATCTTGATGACATTTATTTACAAAGAACCTTTAGATTTACTAGTAAAAACACTACAAAACATTCAACAGCAAAGAATAGCAAAAGAGATCATCATGGTTGTTTGCATGGAGGAAAAAACTCCAGAGAAAGAAACTAAAATTGATGCTGTTTTTGAATAATTCAAAGACTGTTTCGATCAACTCATAGTTACTATACATCCTTATGGAACTCCTGGAGAGATTCCAGGTAAATGCTCTAATACTAATTATGCTATTAGATCTGTATTGGCTCATTTAAAAAACAAAAATCCTGATTTTGACCCAAATAAGTACTTTGTTACTAATTTTGATGTGGATACATTATTTCACAAAAGCTTTCTTGATATTTAAATGATGAACATCCTGAAAGAGAAGGACAGAAACAATTTTGTTTGGTAACCAGTCTTATTTTATAACTGGGGACTTGATAAACTTAGTTTTTTCACAAGAATTACAGGATTGGCTAGAAACATGTTAATGATGGGAGCCTTAATTCCTTTAAACATAAATATCATGAGTGTCTATACTGCTTCTTTATAATTGCACATAGAGGGAGACTTTTGCCATCCAGCATATTAGATGGATGACATAATCTGCTTTATAAGATGGAAGACTTTAAGCAGAAGAGCTCTTAAGATAAAACCTATATACTGCCCTACTATTTCTGGACCTACTTCTGGTTCAAATATGTGGTAAGAATTCATTGAATGGATCAGATAGAATAGGAGATGGAGTATAGGGTCAGCTGAAGCTTTCCATTATTTTGTCATTAAAGCTCCTAGAATAAAGTTTTGTTCAGCCTTTATCTGGGCCTGCAATTATCTAAACTATTATGCCTCCTTCATTTGTGTTTAAAGCTTATTATTGATTACAACTACAATAAGGCTCTTTGCAATGGAAACTGATCCTAATTTATAATAATATTTTTGTATCCCTTTGGGTGTCGTTTATATCTGCCTTTTTTGCATGATGGTTATGAATAAAATCGCAGTGAAATATCTACTCAAGGATATTGTTGTTGAAATTATACCAATTTGGAAAGATTTCATTCATTGGATTTTAAGTCTCATAGTTATGGTTGGGTATGGACTAATAGTGTGTTATGGGTACTGGGAAATTTTCTTTTGTGGCAAAGGAGTCTGTACTCATGAACCTTCAAAGAAGAAAGTACTTGATGCAATTGTTTAACGTAAAGATGAAACTGTCATAGAGATTCATCAATAAGAGAATAACATTTGATATATTATGTTTTATATATGATAAAATAATGAATAAATATAACAAGTGTTTTATTATTAATTATATATATTATATATCGAACACAAGTATATCCTTAATTTTGTCCTTTTTTTCTTAGAGAGAGAACTAAGAAGGTACAGTTGAATTTTTTTCAACATTGTCAGCATGTATATATCTATCGGTGGATCTTTGAGAATTTAGCATTTTAGCAATCAATATATTGATTGCTATTGAGTTCAGATGTGAAATTCTTGATAATCATAATAGTAGGTGCATAATTATTTTTTTATGATAAATTGTAAAATTAAAGCAATTTTATATTATAGTGAATGCTTATTGTAATAGTATTAAATTTAATTGTTTTTGTAATTAAATTTAGGTTCTAAAATAAATCTTCCTTTAAATTATAGCAACTATCTCAAATCTATTCCCTAATAATTTAAAAAATCTCCTTTGAAAATTAAAGCTCCTTATTCTTCTAAACTGTGATGAAATTCTTAAGATTGCTATAATAGAAGTACAAAAGAATCGTGAAAAATAACTACTGCTTTCTGGAATAAATGATTTCTAATTATTGGACGTTAAAATCATGCTAGAATATCTTTTGTAGCAAGTTCTGATGTTTGGATTTAATTTCCTTCTTTAACATCCCATAAACGGATAGAGTTGTCATTACTACCAGATGCTAATGTAGTACAACCTCCCTTGAATGACTATCTAATTTTGATTTTGATTATCCTGTTTTAACATCCCATAAATCAATAGAGTAATCTACACTACCAGATTATAATCTAATACCGTTAGGAGAAAAACAGACTGATCGAACATGTCTATTATGCTTATTTAATTCATTTTCCTCTATTATTTTTGATATTTTTCCCTTAAGGATTAAGCAGTTAAGCTTAATTCATGTTCCTTAAAAAGTTCAAGATTATCAAATTCTGATCCTGTGAATAATAAGTCAAAGTCATAATACTAATTGAAAATAAAAGTTGAATAATTTATGCTGTGAAACTACAATATTGATATTTTAACTTAGAAATCTTGTCGATTTGGAGGGGGTGTTGTTAATAAATTTGTTTTTTATTTTTATTCTATATTCAAAAAAGTTTGAAGCTATGCACAAGTTACTTTGTGTTTTCACTATTATTAATTATATGAGGTCCTAAACTTTAATTAATTTGAGTTTCTTCCAAATAAAATTTGCAAGACAACTTTGGGTTTATTTCTTAAAACTCAAAATAAAAATAATTTTCAATAACAAAAAATTGATTGTAAACTGGGCAGAAAAATAATTTTTTTGAGGTTTGTCCAAGGTTAAAGATTTTGATATTTAAATCTACCCTATCCTTATTGAAATGTTTAGAAGAGAAAAAATCACATATAATAAAGGAGCTAACTTTAATAAAAAGTACTTACAAATGAAGATTAGGCATTATTTAGAAAGAATTGATTAAAAAGATTGGTTAGGAGAGACAGATCATTGAATTTTTGAAATTCCTATTAAATCTGACAGCCTTTAATAAGAAATTTATCGAATGTGGATCGAATTCACTCAATTAGTAGAAATGAAAGTGGTTTTGAGGAATAAATTTTTGAGAATATAAGGATTAGAGATACCTCTTTAGTTGGTGAAAATTTTGCTAGATGCAATTTCAATGGATCAGAATTTGATAATTTAAATAATAGTGAAATGAGCTTGAGTTAAGCTTAATTTTTTGATTGTAAATCGAGAAATATCTAAATACATGAGTTAAATAAATTAGATGATCACGGTGGAAGTTTCAATTAGAAATGCTTTTCTTCAGATGGTAAGTCTTTAGCTTCTTGCAGAGATGGTAATTCGATTATTTTGTGGGATGTTAAAGCAGGGAGAATAAAGTCAATAATCAGAAGAAGGGGAAGGTAAAATCAGTCTGCTTCTCATCTAATAATATTACATTAATTTTCAGCAACGGAGAATTTGTGTATTTATGGAATCTTAAAACAAGAAGATAAATAAAAAATTAAATGGTCATTTTAGGGATGTTAGGTCAGGATGTTTCTCCTCTGATGGCACTACATTAACATCTGGTAGTTCAGATTAGTCTATCCGTTTATTGAATGTCAAGACAGGACAATAAAAGCCAAATTAGATGGTCATTCAAATGGAATTCTCTCAGTTAATTTCTCTCCTGATGGTACCACATTAGCTTTTGGTAGTGTAGATAAGTTTATCCGTTTATGGAATGTTAAGACAGCGAAAGAGATTCTACCGCATGATGTATGTTACAAAGACCTTTTTCTTCTCATAATATTCCTCATTAAAAGGCCAAACATTTTACAAAATGGTATTTATTTTATTAAATTTTAGTTAACTTTGATCGTACAATTCTTATAATTTGTCAACCAATTTTGGAAGCTTAAGGAGCTTTAATTTTGAAAGTAGAGTTTCTTAACAATAAATTATATGATTTGAGATCATTATTAAATCAAAAGGTATTATCTTAGAGAATGGCCTAATTTAGAAGCAAAATTGAAAATTATTAGTAAGCTATATATATACAATATCAATTATTAAGTTGTTGCCAATTAGCAAATTCAATATAAATCTTTGTCAATGCATCAAAGTCACCAGAAACTTTTAGTATTTGCAAAATTTTAAGTAGAATATTAATGTTTTAATGATATTTAATAAAAATTCAATCACTATTTATTTAATTAATTGTCATCTATAAATGAATATAATCATCAATTCCTTGATCATTAACCTAAATGAATAACTCAATAAAAAGAATCAAATTATTAATGAAGTTTTTAATAATAAGAAAAACACGACATAATAAAGAACTAAATCGAAGAATCAATTAAAAACAAGTTCAATTTTAACACCTGAAACATCATGTTCATCAAGAAACCACTTAGATTCTGAATCTGAATTTTCAAATGATGATGAGTCAAAATTTATTGTGGAGGAAAACATTAAGAATGCAAATCATATTGATAATAAATATTGCAAAATAATTTATTTAAATACTAAGCGCACAATTATAACTATTAGAACTTAGTTTTCTACCAAAAATTACAAAAATTTATGTTAATAACTTTGAATAAGGACAAATCGGATTGTACCAGATTAATCAACATAAATTTATTTTACAAATCTACTCAATTTAATCAACTCATTAAAAAAGGAAAGATAAAATGAATTGCATTTTAATAGATCTTTCTAACGCCCTTCAATAGTATCAACAGACCCAAACCATTCCAAATATTAAAAAAAATAATTTGTTGATACTGAAGTAATCATCTACCTATAAGATTGATTTACAATCTCCAATATAAAACTTAATATCATAAAACCTTTAAAACTTTATTGCTTTCATTATGTTCATTATGGAGTTCCTTAACGTTCATCTTTATTTCCACCCCTTTTCAATATTTATCTTGAAGAGCTACTAATTACTATAAAGCAATTATGTAAATTCCCTTATTAAAGCTATTAATAAGGGAATTTACATTATACTTATTATTAAACATAATATGCATAAAAAATATTATAATTATTAGAACTACCTTCTTCTAATTTTAACCTCAAAATTAACAAGAATGAAAGTGGAATATTGCTAAAATATAATCACTCATCAAATATTTAAAATATGCTTAAATTCTCTATAGTAAAGGAATAAAAATATTTTAATTTATTAATTAAATCTTATGATAAACTAACTTAACATGTAATTTAATTAAAACAAAAAATAAATTAGCAGTAGACTCATTTGAAACTATAAAAATGTAAGTGGAAATTTTGACTCATCCTTTCAAAAGTTTTTGGTGCCCCTCGCACCTCATATATCCAAACTTTGTTACTAGAACTTTAAATAGTTTAATATGTTTGATTAGTCAACTTTTAATTTTGAAACTCGGGAAATTTTATACATCATACCCTTTATGAAAAGGCATACTTATATTTTTGATTATCAAATTCGTTTATTTAGCAATTAATAATTAATCGCTTAGCATATATCTCAAATAAAGGAACCTAAGATACAAGAGAGTATTCAAAAATAGTTTTAGTAAGTTTTAAAATCATTATTGCTGTTGCCTCTTAATGATATTTAATTTTATTAATAGAATATTTAATTATATCAATACTAATTTTAGATAAAATTCAAATTTAGACCCCAATTTGTTCTGCCTCTGGTTAATATTCTAAAAGGTTGGCTTTTTGTTTACAAAGAAGTCCCAAATCCAACCACAAATTATTTGAATTAAATTTTTAAATTTTTCCTAAACTTCTAAAAGCCCTTATTTTTAAATATGGACGATTTTATTCTAAAATTAATTTAGTAGATTCATCACGAACGATTTGATTTTGCCCTAAAACATTTATATCTCATAAACGAATTGATTTATCTGCACTATAGGATGCTAGAATAGCATCATCCTGAAGAGAAGCATGTATATAGAATTTAGCTATGAGATCCATATAATTGAATCTTTTTTCTTGCCCTGTCTTCATATACTACAAACGAACGACTGATCCCAACTGTCAGACGCCAATACAATTACATCTGGAGGAAGTCATATGGTTATACTGTTTTTTATGTCCTTTTAATTGTGATTTTTTGAACCTTTTTGACATCCATAAACGGATAGTATTATCTTAAATGGCTAATGTTAATGTATTCCTATCAGAAAAGAAACATATTGGATAAACAAAATTATAATAGCCTTCTAATTTAAAGATTTCTTGTACTCTCGTTATATCCCAATTAATAATAGGATTATCCTTTATACCAAAGAACAATACAATAAAATCAAGACAGAATGATATTGAATAGATACTATCATACTGTCCTTCTAATGATGACTTTTCTTATCCATTTTTAATCCTTTTACTTTTAATGTTATTGGAAATTTCAAATGCTAACATATCTAATAAGGAGAAAAAAAATTAACACCATCCTTTGTCCTTCTAACTTTGATTGTTCTATTTCTGCTTTATCATCCTGTACGTGGATGGTATTATCAGATATTGATTATATAAAGCTTTCATATAAGAATTTTTAAAGCAATTTTGTATTCAATTATGATCTAACTACGATCTAACATGAACTTTAAGATTTATTCATAAACAATCACTTATTGAATCTTATTCATGAAAACAAAAAAATTTTATTAGAGAGTATGTTATAATTTATTTTAATGCAATTCAGAGTTTAAAATTTAATGGATTGAAATTTTATATAATTTTATATATATATATAATACTAATTTGGCAAGGACTTAAGAGTGCATTTTTTATTTCGTAGTCAATCCAATTATTTAAGAGCTGCTTTAAATAGAAGGTTAATAATCTCAATATATTATTAAATTAGGGTTTGTAATAAAGGCTCGACTTAAAATTAATTTGTTTGTTAAAACCAGCCTCTGAAATGGAAATGGCTAACCAATACAATTATTTATAACTTAGAACAGAGATTTGATTTGGTTAATGAAACGAGCTTTTGATTAGAAAAGCTGTGAATATGAAATTTTAATTTTAAGAACATCTTGCACATTAGCATTTATTTTAGATATAAATATTGATTGATCTGACTCCTTATTAATAGTATTTATAAGTTTGTAGACTAATAAGTGGAATTAAGAGATTCATATTTTAATTGTGGGTCACAATTTCTACTTAGATGTATTAACAAAAAGAAAGATTGATTTTGCAAATTAATAATTCAAATAAGAATTTTTCACACTATTTGAATATGTTTATATAAATAATTCAATGTTGGTGTCAAAGACATCTAAATCAGGACTATTGATATACAAATTTAACCCCTTGACATTAGATTGATGTACATCAGATTTTATACACCAACTCTAAAGATTGATTATATTATTTGACTTTTTATATATTATTATAAGAAAAAAAGCGAGAAATAATTTCTAATTTAATATTAAGGTCAGGATGATCTTGTATAATCGAACTATATTTCTTTACTAATATATTCCAATCATATTACACTTTAATATTTTTGTATAATCAAATATTACGATTATGTAACACTGATATTTTTGAATTGTAAAATAATGGAAAATAAAGTAATTGGTTTACTCTTTATCTCAACCTATTTCACAGAGGCAATAAAGTAATTATATATGAAGCTTGAGAATTTACTATTATTGCATGTATTCCTTTTGCCACTAATAAAAGATTTAAATGTATTGCTAAAGTGATACAAATAAAAAATAAGAATAGTTATAACCAGTGTTTCAAATGATGTATCCCATCAAAAAGATGACTCAGCGTGTATATTAAGCCTCGATAATGCTTGAAGAATTAATTAAATGTATATGAAAATTGAAAAAAAGCAATTCTGATTTGTTGAGGATGGAGAATTTATTTTGAAATAATGAATAAAATAATTATCTCAAGGTAACTCGAAGGCTATTGTATATTAAACTGGATTGAAAAATATAAATTGAAGTAATTCAAAATAAATTCAAAAGCAAACTTGAATGGTAAATTAATTGAATAATATATATTGTTAATTAATCATGAATATGACAAAACAACCCTGTTGTAGTTTATATACGCTGAATTTCTAATATCGTTTTCAAAATTAAAATTAATTTAAAACGATTTATCAAATGAGTTCTGCGATCAACAATCAAAGACTGATATTCTCTAATGAATTACCAGAAAATCCTATGGCAACTAAGATGACATTAAAGTAAGACAAAACTTGTGGGGGAAGACTTAGATGGAATTTAATTATCAATGTAGTAATGATTGCAATGGCAGGCTTCCCTTTCTACCTTCCCTTAGAAGCTACTTTGGGAGTTAACTGTTTCTATGCGTTATTATGGATTTTATTTATATTTTTGGCTGCCAATACGTAATCAAAAATCCATTAAACGATGAAAAAGGTTTCCAATAACTCTTAATAGCCTCCAAATCCTACGCCTATCAAATTCATCTTGATGACATTTATTTACAAAGAACCTTTAGATTTACTATTAAAAACACTACAAAACATTCAACAGCAAAGAATAGCAAAAGAGATCATCATGGTTGTTTGCATGGAGGAAAAAACTCCAGAGAAAGAAACCAAAATTGATGCTGTTTTTGAATAATTCAAAGACTGTTTCGATCAACTCATAGTTACTATACATCCTTATGGAACTCCTGGAGAGATTCCAGGTAAATGCTCTAATAATAATTATGCTATTAGGTCTGTATTGGCTCATTTACAAAAAAACGATCCTAACTTTGACCCAAGCAAATACTTTGTAACTAATTTTGACGTAGATACAATATTTCACAAAAGCTTTCTTGATATTTAAATGATGAACATCCTGAAAGAGAAGGACAGAAACAATTTTGTTTGGTAACCAGTCTTATTTTATAACTGGGGACTTGATAAACTTAGTTTTTTCACAAGAATTACAGGATTGGCTAGAAACATGTTAATGATGGGAGCCTTAATTCCTTTAAACATAAATATCATGAGTGTCTATACTGCTTCTTTATAATTGCACATAGAGGGAGACTTTTGTCATCCAACCTATTAGATGGATGACATAATCTGCTATATTAGATGGAAGACTTTAAGCAGAAGATCTCTTAAGATAAAACCTATATACTGCCCTACTATTTCGGGACCTACTTCTGGTTCAAATATGTGGTAAGAATTCATTGAATGGATCAGACAGAATAAGAGATGGAGTGTAGGGTCAGCTGAAGTTTTCCACTATTTTGTCATTAAAGCTCCTAGAATAAAGTTTTGTTCAGCCTTTATCTGGGCCTGCAATTATCTAAACTATTATGCCTCCTTCATTTGTGTTTAAAGCTTATTATTGATTACAACTACAATAAGGCTCTTTGCAATGGAAACTGATCCTAATTTATAATAATATTTTTGTATCCCTTTGGGTGTCGTTTATATCTGCCTTTTTTGCATGATGGTTATGAATAAAATCGCAGTGAAATATCTACTCAAGGATATTGTTGTTGAAATTATACCAATGTGGAAAGATTTCATTCATTGGATTTTAAGTCTCATAGTTATGGTTGGGTATGGACTCATAGTGTTTTACGGGTTTTGGGAAATTTTCTTTTGTGGCAAAGGAGTCTGTACTCATGAACCTTCAAAGAAGAAAGTACTTGATGCAATTGTTTAACGTAAAGATGAAACCGTCATAGAGATTCATCAATAACAGAATAAAATTTGATGTAATTATGTTTATTATATGATAATACAATTAGTGTTTTATTATCTATTTATTTAAAGTCTCTGAGATGATTGATAAATATTGGAAAAAATTTATACGAAAGCAGATAACTCTGGTTCTAAGAATATCAAAACTAATTTTGGTGTAACATCTTAAAGAATGAGAGGAACACAGTTAAAAAAAAGAAATCTTACTTGAGGCCATTTTAAATTAAATGAAAATGTGTTTCTGATGTTTTCTAAATAGAAATTAGAAATTCCCATTTTTGAAAAAGAAATCTTCCTTAGTTATTTTCAATCAAATTCAGCTTTTCTAAACACAAAATAATAAAATCCATCTTAATTACTGTAAATTCATTTTATTTGGTATGATTAAGTTTACAAACCACGCTCTTATTGAGCTTTAAGACTTTAGGATAGTTATTAAACAATGATGTGAGAATTAAAATTATTTCAAACCAAATATGAGCCCTTTATTAATTTCCCCTTGTTCATAAAATGAACTTAAGAAAAGAAAGCATTCCTTATCCGAGGAATCTATTTGTCAATAATTCAATAATTACATAATATGAATTTTCATATTATTCCATCCAAATCTAATATAAACAGTAAAGAAGATATATTTAGATTAGATCGAAACAAATTCGGCTGTCTTATATATACTATCTTTACGATATACTCCTATATTAATTGTAATTAATATAGTAGATAAGCTAGTCTTCATCGTGCTAGCTAGTGATATTAATCTTAATAGCAGACAGAGAAAATAAATAATATAAAATAACTATGTCTTAATTATTTTAATAAACCATGTCTTAATAAAAACATATATTCTTTTTCTCTCTAAATTTCTTGATAATTCTGTCTATTCCTAGGTTGTAAAGCGTTAATCACATTAAGATAGATCAATATAAACTACTTATATGCTTCTGGAATTTAAACTTAATAGTATCTTTTGCAATTTATCTTTTTCAAATTAGCACTTTTTCAAAATCATTTTCAGTATCGTAAGATTATTAAACTGGAATTGTTAGAAATCTAATTTGATATTTTCAAAGTAATATCCAAGATTTCCAGTCAACTGATTAAATTTTTTGAAAATTCGATTGTCTGAATACCTGCCTTATTAAAAAGAGATATGACATCTCAGTAAACATTTTTAGAAGCTCGTGACATTATGACAAATTAAGATTGCTAGAAATTCAAAATAAAATTGCTCGAAATTATATCTATCTAAATGCAAAAAGTCTTCCTTTATGTTAAAATTAATTTTGTATTCTATTTTACCTCTATAAAGGATTAAAGGACTTTTAGATTTTTATTATTTAAAAATAAGAGTAAGAATATGCTCTTAATGTGTCTTTTCTTTCAACAACAAATTCCATGTTTTTTTATTCACTGGCTTCTATTTATAATTACAAGAATTGCAATCTTGCTGGGCAATATTTAATAAAAGCATAATGGTTGATTAATCTATTACAAAAATAAGATTAATTAATAAAATTGACTATAAAATAACAAATATGATTGGGATCTACTTTCGTTAAGTTTTAATTAATAAATTGGACTTACTATTAGGCATTTAATAAAATCATTAATTTCAATCCTTTCAAAAGACTCTTTATGCTTCATCTATTTCTAATACATTTTCTATAGAAGCAAGCACGACTCTCACCTATGCTAGTATTTTCTCTCTTTTTAAATCCTAATAATTTGAAAAATCTAAGGTTTTTAGGTTGATTTTCAAATAGCATTTTTCTTTTATAAATTTTTATTAGCTTTGGACAATATTGAAAATGATTTAGGATTTTCCAACTTCATTTAATGATTTATTGAATTAAAGTACAATAAAGATTATAAGAACAAATCCACTGGAACTTTACTCAAAATTAAAGCTGGAATTAAAAGTCTTAGATAAAACTTCCAATAGTTCTTTTATTGAAACACAATTTTCTTTTATCTGATAAGCAAAGGCAGAGAAAATCATAGGCATAATTTTACTGTCCATTATTGCTAATATATAAATAAAACCGGAAGGTAGGTTGTTCAAAGCTCCTTAAACATCAGTAACCCACATAACGGCCTAATGAAATGGCTATCTTTTTATTTGCTAAATTCTTTTCGGGTCAACATAAACAACCTGAAATGAAAAAACTGAAAGCGGGAACCTTCCTTCAAATTTCGACTCATAATTTTTGAACTTTATATATGCATCAGCATTAAAATCTCTTCTATCCATTTCTGCAAATTTCTTTACGGTTAAATATATTAGAATCATTATGATATCCCAAATCTTCAAGAAGTTAAATATTCCATTAACTAAAACATAAACTGCTTATTTTGAATATGGGATTTTTTTATAAACTTTTGCCTAGAACACTGCAAATGAAATCAATTATAAGATTGGATGTACTACAGTTAGCACTATTAAAGCTTTAACATATATATTTGAATCCATGCCCAAGTAGACGAGAGTAAGGATTTATAATGATCCATTAAAAATAGAAGAAATCGATTGGAGAGTTGCTTGTAATTCATTTAATCCCTTCAAGTTGTTGTAATAATCATACAAAGTCAGGGAAAGTTTAAAGGCAAAAAAAAAGTAATTATCATAGATTGAAGAAATAATCGATGGAAATAAAATCTCTAAAGATGTTGAAAGGCTTTGTTCTTTTTTTTAATAGTCTTAATGGATTTCTAAACGAAATATAAATTGAATAAAGCATTAATTTAACAAATCAAATTTATTAAGTTTGTTATCTACAACAAAAGAAAAATTCAAACCAAAAATAATCAAAAGAATCAATTTGTCTAAAATTAAGTATCTCCGCTTTCATTCAGAGACTAAAATATTCTTTGCGTAATCTTGCTGGAAAAATAAAAATATCAAAATGGTTCAATATTTAGGATTTAGAATGATATAAGTACTTTGCCTCTATTGCAAAATTCATAGATCTTGTTGGAAGGAAAGAAAAGTACTTTCATGATTTCTACATTTTACATCTTTCTTAGATTTTTCAAGTATCTTTATAAAGATAAATTCGGAAGTACTTCAAAAATAAAGAATAATTTGGGTTTGAAGTTTCTATTCCTTCAATTATACTTTTTAGATTAATTTAGATAACATTTAAAATTTGTACCATGTTATAAAAATAGTAGATACTTTAAGTAATTTATATATTATGACTAGTATTAAAAGTTATTAAGAACAAATTTTCTTACAAGTATGACTAAAAATGATTAGTAAAATATCAACGATTTACTCAGAAATTATATTTACTTTGGTATGAATTCAGTTATTAAAGTAGAAAGAGGAATTTTTAACAGACAGGAAATACAATATTAACTTTACTAATTGAAAAAATAACCAAAAAACTATCATTTCTGACAATTTATAATGATCAAATATTAAAGTAATAGAATGCTAATTTACTAAGAATATTTTTTCTGATTTTAATTATATTATTTAATAATAGATAATTATCATAAATATGAGTTTAAATTAATCAAAATTATTTAAATATTATTTGTTTGAAATAGTTATGTTTCTTTAGCACTGATTATTAATCACATTATGTCAGGTGTCGAAAATTCAGACAGAATAGAATTGTTAATTATATAAAATTTTTAGCAGCAATTTAAAGTCATTGGTTGAGAATTTATTGCAATGCATTAATCATGTCTCATTTTACAATATTTTTGGTCTAATTTCTGAACAACCAAGTAGTTAATATGGTGATTATAGAATCGAATTGAATAAATATTGATATTTCCTTCTGAGTAACTTGCGATTATTTCATTAAGATACCCAGAAATCCTTATTAGATTGGTTAATTCTCCTCTGAAAATTTATTAGTTGAGCGATAAAGTTTATTTTGTTATGTATGATTAACATTAGTTAAAATCAACCAGCATTAAATTTAATTAATAGTTGCGAGCAGATACAAATTTGGAGAAATCCATTGACCACTGAGTCTTGGGTTTTTGAAATAAATGCATTAGATTTACAATGCATTTCAGATATCATTCTGGATGATTATTCAGAGACGTTCTCTAGGTTGAGGTCTTATGGGTTTTAATTGAATGGTTCTAAGGTGTCGATAGTGGATAGGTTTTAGAATAATAAATATGCAAGGAATGAATATATTTTATTTTTTTTATAAAAATGTAAAAATTGCTGTTCACGGAGGAAGGGTTACAGATAATGAGAAGTAGGAATAGCGATCCAATAAAACAAAACACTGAGAGTAAAGGGATATCAATAAGGCCGAAATGTTTGCGAATTCAATCGTTATCAAGATAATGTAACCGTGTCAGAGTGGGGACATTGAAGAATACATTCAACTTGTCGAGCCCAGAAAATCTACTTTAAGTTCTGCCTTTCACAAGGTAGAAGCACAAGGCGACGAGTATACCATAGGTGCTTTCGGTTGATCAATTGTACGGGAGATAGTAGGAAGATTTGTTGTAAATGGCAGCAAGTCATTTGCATTTGCCTCATGGAAGTGGAAAGGATGGGATTGGAAGACATCACTTACAATCAATTCGGTTGAGAACTGGCGATTGGTATCAATGGAAGAATATTCCGATGTTGGCATGTGTAGTGGATGATTTTCAGAAGAAGTTAAAGTATAGAAATTTGATCATAGAGATTGTAGTAAACATCTGAGGAGGAGGAACATATGAAAGCAGAGAAACGATAAATACAGCATGAGTTTGAGATGAAGAAGGTCGAGTAGATTCAAAGAAAAACGTAGTAGAATTTGAATCAGGTTTTGGAATAGAAATCGTTGACTTATAATATAGATTTAGACGAGTTTTGGAGGCAGATGAAGGAGAATGTAATGAAATTATATATATAAAATAAAAGAGCAAGTACTTTTAGCATCACACAGATGAGATGGCGAAGAGTAAGGCTAGCAAACGAGAGAGATTGGAGAAATTTTAGAAGAAATTTACAGATAAGAAGGTTTACATCCCGCAAATACAGAAGCAGAATGTTAATAATAATAAGGAAACAGCATATTATGATATATGAAAATAATTAATTATGGAAAAATTAATACCATTCATTAATGATCTGCACGTATAGAATTAATAATACCTTTCGTATAGGACATCCTGAGTTAAGCAGGATTGAGCAGCGAATTGAATTTGCCTTCAATAGTTGTGATTGGGTCTTAATCAGTTGGAAAATCATCTCTTCTTGAAAGTATTGTTGGCAGAGAGTTTTTGCCACGGGGTAAAGGGATTGTGACGAGAAGACCGATAGAGATTCAATTGCATTAGGTTTTGGATGCGGAGTAGGGATGGTTTGAATTTATGGATAAGAAAGGAGAGAAGATATTCGAATCGGAAGACATACGGAAATTAATAGAGTCAGAGACGGATAAGGTGGCAGGGAAGAATAAGGGAATCTCGCCTGTTCCGATTAAAGTGAAGTATTTTTCAAAAGACATCCTTGATCTCCAACTAATTGATTTGCCAGGAATAACAAAGAATCCAGTTGGGGATCAACCACAGGATATAGAATAGAAGGTACTGGACATAGTGATGCCATTTATCAACAATTAAAATAGTTTGATATTGGCAGTGTCCAAAGCATCCGATGATTTAGCAACGTCGGACGGATTGAAGTTGGCTAGAAGTGTCGATCCCAATGGTGTAAGAACTATAGGAGTGATAACTCAATTGGATCTGATGGATGAAGGGACTGATGCTTTAAATGATCTGCTTAATCAAACCTATCCATTGCAGTTGGGATACGTGGGGGTAATAATGAGAGGGTAGAAGGATATCCAGAAGAACAAGACCATAGGGGAGCAATTGAAAGACGAGAAGACTTTTTTTGAGAATCACAAGTTGTACAAGAAATATTCTGAGAAGATGGGTGTTAATTTCTTGGTGAAGACTCTGAATATGAATTTTATTCAGCACATCAAGAAGGCGTTGCCAATCATCAGAGAGACTATTATAAGTTTGGTGTAAATAAAGGAGTTCGATCTCAAGTAGTATGGAGACTATGACAATTTGGAGACGAAGGAGAACAAGAACTTGCTTGTCTTGACTTTAATATCGAAATTCTCCAGTTCTTATAAGGACATGTTGGAAGGGAGATGTTTGGATATCACAAGTAAGGAATTGATTGGTGGATCTCGAATAATTTATGTGTTCAATGAGACTTTCAGGAGAACCATACAGAGAATGAATCCATTTGACGTTTTAAGTGATGACGAAATACGAACAGCAATCAAGAATGCAAATGGAATTAGACCGACTTTATTTGTTCCTGAAGGAGCATTTGAATTATTGGTAAGATAGCAGATATCGAGATTGAGAATGCCTTCAATTGAATGTTCTCATATCGTATTTGAGGAGTTGAGGAGAGTGGTAAACTAGATTTCGATTCCTGAGATAGATAGATTTGATACTCTGGCTAATAGAATTTCGGAAGTAATTGAAAATCTTTTGAACAGAAGTTTGAGATAGACTGAGGAAATAATATCTAATTTGATTGATATTGAATTGGGGTACATAAATACAAGTCATCCGGATTTTGTATCTGGGATGGACATGGTTCACAAGGACGAACAAAGATAATAATAATAGGTGTAACAATAATAGAAGGAGAAGTCTCCGCTGTAGAGTGAGAATGAGTCCAACAGGTTCTTCAACTTCTGGCCATTCAAAAATAACAAGCAGACTGAGTTATACGATAGCAAGTTGGACAATTTGAATAAGAAGAGGAAATCCAACATCATCAATCAGAAGCAGCAAAAGTTGTAATAGGCGGAGGAGAGTCAGATCCTGCAATAGCAGTCAGTGATCAATAAGATCGTGTCTGTGAATCAGCAGTATTTTGTGAATGACCCGAAAAGACAGTTGCCTTAGGTTCCAAATACGATCAAGATCACTGATAGGCCGTCGAAGAGAGAGCAGACAGAGATGGATATGATTAAGGATTTGTTGGTTTCGTACTTCAATTTGGTGAAGAAGAACATTTGCGATTCAGTTCCGAAGACGATCATCACGTTTTTGGTGAATCAATCGAGAAACTTCTGTGAAAGGGAATTGATTGGGATGTTGTACAAGCAGGAATTGGTGGATGAATTGTTGTAGGAGAATCAATTCATACAGAAATCACGAGCGGAGACTAAGTAATCTTTGATTAGCTTGAGGACCTGTTTGAATTTGTTGAATGATTTGGATTCTAAATTCTGAGATAATTTAATAATAAAATTAATTGAAATTCGTTAAAAAACACATATTATAATTAATCTTTTAATTAATATTTTTATTTGTTCAATGCTCAATCCAGACCTAATCTAAGAATTTGAAGTGAATGGATACAACTTACCAAAAATGGACAAAGCATAATGCATCAATCAAATTAAATACTTACTCTAAACTCATCCATTGGATTTCGACTTTATTGTAGCCAATACGAAACTAACAACCAACTAGATGAATATTTTGTAATAAGAGACCCACATTTCGACAATCCTCAACTCTCCAAACGATTATAACATTTCAAGTCCCCTTTTTGATTTCAAACAATTGAATGAATTACTTCCTAATAAAAATAGATTGAAGATTAATGAAATTAAGTCCAAAGTCGAAAACCTACTCAACAGCAGTCACATAGACCCCCCGCAGACGATCAAAAAAAGGTATCCCCCAATATCCCATATCCCTTTAGATGGTGGACAGAGGAGGAGGACCAACAACTCAAAGATTTAGTGTCTCAATATGGTGCTAAAAATTGGAAGAAAATAGCATCCTTTTTTTAGGACAGAACTGACGTACAATGTTTGCATCGTTGGCAAAAGGTTCTCAATCCAGATTTAGTAAAGGGTCCTTGGACTCAAGAGGAGGATGACTTACTAGGCAGGTTGGTGGTTGGCTATGGACCCAAGAATTGGAGTCAAATTGCCAAACATCTCCCAGGGAGGATTGGGAAGCAATGCAGAGAAAGGTACTCCAATTTACATTAAGAAAGATTCCATAATCATCTGGATCCAAAGATCAATAAGGAGAGGTGGACTGACGAGGAGGACCAAACCATAATTGAGGCTCACAAGAAACTAGGAAATCGCTGGTCTCTGATTGCTGGATTATTGAAAGGCAGAACAGACAATTCAATTAAGAACCATTGGAATAGCACATTGAAGAGGAGACTCAAGATGTAGAACCGATGGGAAGACTTGCAGGTCTTGTAGAATCAGGATGACACCCAAATCAAAGGAATTCCTAGAAGACACATGCAAAGAAAAATCATCTATTAAAAGACACCAGTGAAAATGATCAAACACGATCCAGTGTCCAGATAATTGAATTTTCAAACTCCATAATAATCACCATCAAGTAAACACAATAGCTTATCATTTAATTTAGAATTGGAGTCAGTTTCCAAGAGTTTATTTATTGTATTCCCAAATTTCAACTCAAGATTGATAAGTCTTTCAAGTGCAATTCTTATCAAATAGTTGGGTGAGTTGGTTAATTTTGATCTTGATTTCAATAAATAATATAGTTATGAATGAGTTTATTATTCAATTAAAAATAATATTACAACAGAATATAATAGATTTCATATTATGTAATTAAAAACAGGTTCTTGTGATAAAGTATAAAGATAATTAAAATTAAAAATGGAATATCGAAGATTAGGAGCCACAGGACTGAAGGTATCTGCCATCAGTTATGGAAACTGGGTCAATTCCGATGACAAAGACACTCAAGATCGAAATACTAAGATCATTTAGAAGGCATGGGAATTAGGAATCAATTTCTTCGATACCGCTGAAATCTATGGAGATGGCAAAGCAGAGATACATCTCGGCCACGCACTCAAGACACTCAATGTCTAAAGATAAGACATTGTTATAAGTACCAAAATTTTCGGAGGTGATGGAAATGATTTTCCAAATTCCAAATATTTATCTAGGAAACATCTCATAGAAGGTACTCATTTTCATTAGTATTTAGGCTTGAGAAAGTCTCTAAAAAGATTGGATACTCCTTATGTGGATATTGTTTTCGCTCACAGATATGATTATTAAACTCCATTGGAAGAAACTTGTAGAGCCTTTGATTGGATCATTAGACATGGTTTGGCTCACTATTGGGGAACAAGCGAGTGGACAGCCTAATAAATCCATCAAGCCATCGGTATCATTTCTATTTAATTATTTTAGGAATCTGCGATAGATTGTCATTGCACAAACCAGTTGTTGAATAACCATAATACAATATGATGGTTAGAGATAGATTTGAATGGGAATACGAAAGTGTTTTCGCCTCTGGATATGGATCCACCATCTGGTCACCACTCTACTAAGGTTTGTTGACTGGCAAATACAATGATGACATTTTGGCTGATGGAAGGTTCAAGAACTCCGACAATGTTTATGTTAAACACTTTTACCAATAAATTCTAGGTGATCCTGAAAGTATGCTATATCAAAATATTATTTATTAGAAAGAACCAAAATCCAAAATTAATTAAAATAATTAGGTGAAGTAGCCAAAGAGTTGGGAGTCACATAAGCATAACTCTCTCTCGCTTGGGCTCTTAAGAATAAGGATGTAAGCACTGCCATTACATCAGCCACAAGACCTGAATAATTGGAAGAGACCGTTAAATCCGTTCAGGTGGTTAAGTTGATCACCAAGGAAGTTGAACAAAAGATAGAAACCATCCTTTCAAATAAACCCACTACATCATTAAACTTTAAACAGATGGCACCGTATCCCACAAGAAGAGATTTGTATGTTTGAGAATATACAATAATTATCATATAATATTATAAAAATTATTATTATTATATTATATAATTCTCTTTTGTGCCAAAACAGATTTAAATCATTTCTATTTTTCATTTCCAACCTAATCTATTCTATAAAATATTGGTTTTGTTGATTATTCTTATGCGTCATCAAATAACTTATATTAGGCATACATAAAAACAAACTTTCATTTTATAGAATGATGAATTAAATAGAAATGGCCTAAAGTGGTTTATTATTTGTTATAGAAAGAATTAGTATATGGACTGCAATGACTATGTTTTAAGAACATCTGGTGCTCAATTTTTCTTTGATTCCACGGCATCCTAACAAATTATAATTATGCTTGGGAAGTATTATACTAATATTGATAATTGTAACACAAACAAAATGCGGTGATCTAACAAAGAATTTACTAAAAGGAATAAAACTTTATAATATTTGAGCAAAAAGGTAAATGTGTATACCTTATTTCTAATAATTGGAAGTTGTGATTATAATTTTAATTTGAATAACATTAGATTAATGGAAATATAAAATCTAAATTATATTTAATTTGTTAATTTTATGCTAGTACAAATTTATTGTTTTTATAATTAAGTGATTATATTCCATAGACAATTCAAAATATTTATTCTTAAGATTGTTTGTAAAAATTTAATTATTAATTAAATTAGTAATCGATCCATCTCCAATTGCATATCTGGTTCATTCCTTATTCAAGATGTTAAAATTCTCTAAGGTAAGAGGTGGTAGAGTAGTTTAAGTTATGGGTTGTAATACTAATACCTTATGATGTATTTAATTTATTTATATACATAGAATTTGAGCTATTTCAAGGTTTTATCAATTATTATTGATATAATATTTAGGAATATAACTTTAATTGCTATATATTAATTGATCAGGTGTTTCATTACATACAAATTAGAAATATAAGGATATTATAACCAAAAATGTTTTCATGTTTATCATTATCATACATTATTTTTGCAAATCCAACACATATATTAAAATTGCTTTTATTCATATTAATAAATAATAATATCTATTGAACTTAACTAATTTAAATAATTATTATTTCAAAGCTGATTTGACATTTATATCGATGAATATAAGCATCATTAATTATTATTTGTAATTCCCTTGATTCCTAAATTATTTGCAATGTTCATTTCATCTATTCTTGAATCATATTTATTCTATTCAAACCATGACTCTAAACGCTATATATAATATATGTAGTTAGCCTTGGTATTTCACTACGCATACATTTCAAGTTATGATTTGAATGATTGATTCGCATTATTCGTAGTTTGATCTTCGATTAATTTCATATAGCCAATTCAAAATTTATTTATTAGGCCTTGGCTTAGCTTGAATTCAATTTCTATAACATTTTCCATTATATAATAGTAAATATTCTTAGCCATAGTTCATTTAACAATGTTTTAATCAAGAGGTTTCTAATATTTACATCTGATGAAATCTGACCAAATCTGATAAAATCTGATTGAATTATAAAAGATTTATTAATAGGCAGTTATTTAAAGCAATAATCATTTAATTAAGTTTGAATCTTATCGAATTATGAGAAAACATTGATTCTTGCCTGTGTATTCTCTAATCGGTTTTTAAAGTTCAATTAAAAATCGACATTGATGTAAGTTAATGATACCACATTGATCTCTTCAACCACATTTGATCGTAACAATATTTGTGAATGCTGTTAATTTGTATTAGAGTATGATTGTTTATACTCTTCTTTGGAATGCACTTGGGATATCAAGAACAAAGAATGCATAAGGTTAGGCTGTGATCAGATCTAGGTTGAAGCCTTTTTCTTGTAATAATCAAAAAGATGCTCATGGATAGGGATGAATTATGTCAGCGCGACTACTTGTAATTAACTGGCTGGGAGCAAATAGTATCTATGCTATTACTAAAACAGATATTGTCCAGCTACAAATGGCACTAATTGTGAACCTGTTGATTAACTCTAAGCTTGCTCCTCATTTGACATTATCACATATAGTCGATTAACGTGCAGTGCTTTAACAAATTAAGTAGAATGCACTGCAGGATTCTAGACTTTTGGACCGTATCTAACTCTTTTATTAAAAAATGAAATGACTAAATATTTTGACTCTAAAAAATGTAGTTGGATGTTCTTGGAATTTCAAAATACTTGTGAAGATTATTCACCATCTACACAAAATTATTTGAATTGCTACCCTTTTAATAGAGGAACATACAATTGGGATAACAAAGATGTGAAACATGGATCTTGTGTGCCTTGCTTCCAAGAATTGCTAATAGTGACTATTTTGATTTCAATGATTATTTGAATAGCATTAAATATAGAATGTTACAAATTATAACTTTAACCATATTATTTTCTACTCCAATCGAAAAGTACAAAAATATTTTTTAAAAAGATTAGATCGTCTTAGTTTGGTAAGAGTATATATAGAGAGCATATAATATATATTCTAATGGTGACAATATTTACTTTTTTAAGATTGAAGGATAATTAGTATTTATTAAGTTTTATGTTTAACAAAACACAATTCCTTCTCCTGCTTTAATGAAAAGAGTTCTAAAGTAATTTACAGCTTTTTAACTCAATTAAGAGGTTCATCAAATAAGTGCATTTTCAGAACCTGATGAATTTCTATCATAATTCATTAAACTATTTATATTTCGAATCACAGTGCTGAGGAATCAATATACAGGGTTGGTTTAAATGGAGAGAAGATCAATGATAATATTTAGGAATATGATAAGGGATACATTAATACATTTTAAATTAGGTAGATAATCACGATGGGTTTCTGCTGGACATAGGTTGGACATTAAAAAATAGTTTGTGGATATCAATTGTTTATTGCTTCAATTGATCGAGAGTTGCATTTTATAAGAATTTATGCACCTAAGAGGGACAGATTAGTTCAGGAATTTATAAAGCCTTTTTGAGTTCAAGAAAATTGATATCCCTATGTTGTTTATTGCTATCGAACTTCAAGTCGAAGACCCTGTTTATGGTCATGCAGATGATGAGTTGCAATCTTAGTCGAGCGTAGAAGAGTCCATCGTCCGAATCCCCTTCTTCTTCTATGAACTTTTCTAATTCATAGTAACAATATTGGAGGCATCTTCTATATGGGACTTTAAACTAGTCGAATAGATTTAATTAGGAAGTCTTAGTTATGATAAATACAGTACATCCACAAATGCGCCATCTAAATTCAATTGCCTCCACAAAGCCTTCTCTAAGAAGCCAGCATTCACTTATTGACAATCGGCTTCTAAAGATAGGGCATTCAATTTTTTCTAATCCTTTTAAATTTAAAATTTGAGTTCGGACATGTGAGTTTTTAATTATTTTGAATTCTTAATAAAGTTATTCCATTCATCCTAAGATACTTTAAGAAAGTTAATTTGATCCTTGATTAGGCCCAGAAATTCTCGTTTCAGAATAATGAGCATGTTCAAGATGCATAATCTGGTCCAAAGGATGTATGAAGATTGGGCGATGGTATCCAAGGAGTTGATTTGATCTTCCATGATGAAGAACTTGTAATAATGGAAATGCAATTCTCTCCAAATTTGAGGGTAGAGTTTCTTCTCCTAGAGGATTAAATTCACATATCATACTTCGTCGGATTTGTTATATAATGGCAGAAAATTTGGTTAGGGATTCTGTAATTCCATCAAGAGTTGAGACTGCTTCTGATATCGTGTGCTGAAGATTAGAAGTTTAGTTTTCTCGTTGAATTCTTTCGGCTATGAATTAGGGATAAACTATTACAATCGCCCATTCAGGATTGAACGCTTCTCGTTTTTTTATGGAAAATTTAATTTGTGTCAGACTTTATGGTTTGCTGTAGAATTGACATAAGTGATCGTTATTTGGGACACATTTGAAGACAGTGTGTAATTCTAAGAAAGTAATTCGTTTCTGCTCAGCAGGTTACAACATTTTCATAATAAGGGATGATAATTGTTGAGGCAATCCCTTCTTCTCCAATTAAGAATAAAATTTATTATACTCATCTAAGGTTGTAAAGTTATTCAATATATTTTAAGTTAATAATTGATAGAGCAGACATCCCAACAACCACATATCGATTCCAAGTGAATATTCATTATTCTTAAGATATTCTGGAGGTGCTAGCTGAAGGTTTGGATAAAATCCAAATACTGAGAGTTTTATTTGGTTGTTGGAAATATAGGTGTTTTGTATTGTAAAGCATCGACCCAGGATGCCTTATTGGTGTAACACATACAAACCAATCAATAATTACTTAAATAAGTCAGTTATTTCTTCTACTGATAAATTTGCTTTCGATTTTATTAATTCTTCAAGGGTGGTTCCGTTTGGATCTGGAAAATAATATAATTAGTTTTATTCGAATTCGCATGGTTCTCTCAAGTGTTATCCAGTAATTTTTTGTTCTGACTCAAAGATTACGAATAATTCTTCGAATATCACTTTTGCGACCAGCATTTTCTCTGAATTGAAGTTCTTTGGAGTCAAAATCGCCTTAGTTCTAAAATTGAGTTCAATTTCTTCAGACATTATTATTAATTTAAGGAAAATATATAAATAAACTTAATGAATCTCAATAACTTTGATTATTTATATTGATAACGATGATGATTATTAAACACAGGTGATTGTCACATCCTATGTCGAATCCAAACCCAAATCAATATCTTCAATTTAAATAAGTATATAATCCTTAAAACATGAATTAATTTTATTATCATAACAGTACAATTATGATGTCTAAAGAATTAATGTATCTTTGTTAAGTTTGAACAGGAAAGCAAGTGTCCCTTAATTAAAGAATCGAATCTCAATTAAAACGAGTTTTACTTAGCCATTCAAAAGATCTCTTAATTGAATCTTCCGATTCAAATATTTTTATACTCCAAATAATCGCAAAAATATTCATTCTATACCTTAAAATTTATATAATGTCTTATATCACCTATCAGATTGATTTCAAATTACTTTCACATCCAGACTTTGTTCACCGCATTTATGAAATTGTATGATCTAAGTCTGCAGAATGAAAAATAATTTCATTTTGGATAGTACAATTAATGATGCTTAGAATAAATTACTCCTAGATGTACGCTAATCATCTCCTTCGGCTGTTTGTAACAAACCAAGCACATAATTCAACTTTATTAATATTATTCGGGCTCATCGTTTGGATGATTGGAATAATACTCATTCACATATGAAAATTGCACAAATCCATTAGTGTAGTTTGCAAAAAAATAATATATCAATTCATCATAATTATCTTTACTATTGCTTTCGCTTTTCTTTCCTTGTTGTTCTTCTGTATTTTCTTATAATTTTCATATTGCCTATCAAACTTATTTTATCAGTTTTCTCTGCCAATCTATTAATCCCAATCAAGTTATCACATTGCAGATTCAAAGTGTATTTCGAATGACAGACTTCGGGCTTGTCTTCATAAATCAAATAATCAGCTCCAAACTAATGCTATAATATTCAGTTTCTACTTTACCACCCTCCCTTATATGATAATCCCCAATTGTTGACTGATTCCCTCCTCCAGAGTACACTATTTGATCTGTCTTGCAATTCTTGGCCAAAGGGATTTCAAAAGTGTACTCAATTCCTTCGTTCTTGAATTAATACATTTAATAATATTATCATTTAATAAACATATCAATTTAGATTGAGTTTAGAAAAAGAAAAATAGGAGAAATCTTAAGTTCCTCTTTTTGCATCTCCTTATAAATGATGAGATGCTACCGGCTAGAATCATATTTTCATTATGGCTATTTATATAACAGATATTTTAATCAATGCTAAGCTACAGCTGTTAAATGACTTGTCGATATAAGTTAATCTGATTGATTCTCTTTTGAACTTGCGTTACTAAAAGTTAAATTTTAAGGTCCTTAGATGAGAATGTGGCTGTGTAATTATCTGGAAATGCTCGATTTATTGCTTTCTTTTAAAACTATTTAGTTAAATTAATTGATTTCTGATGCTAAGTTATCAATCTTAATAGCAGAAATTTCAAGTTCATCTGCAAATTAATTGATTTAAATGACTTAAATATTAGATAAATTGTTTCCTTTTGCAAATTCCATTATTCTATTTCCTTTTTTAATGATATTATCAACGTGAAAATTGAGATTATCTGTATGATCATCTATTCCAGTTGGATAATTTCGTGTTCTAACATGAGGATTGCTCTAAATGTTTATAGGCTAGGGTCTATCTTATGAGGAATGGATAAATCTGCTTAAATTAGTCTCGAATTTTGTCAATATATCTTAGATTTCTTAAGCGGAAAAGTGGCTTTAATATATTCTATTTAAATTTTACTCAGTATTTAACTCTCTACCCTCAGCATTATTATATCCAGCATTTATTTCAATGTTTTCTTCTTGATTTTATTACAAACAGCAAGTATTACCCATTTGATTAGAACTTTTAATTGAATTTATTTAATTACAGAAATTGATTAATTCAAACTCATATATCACAACCCTATTTCTATTAGAGATAAATTTACGTATTTATCATAAATTAATAATAACTCATAATCATTTCTTCTTTGCAATTATGGACAAAATAGCGATTATCCAAGAGAGCCCTTTCACTAATTAACTGATATTCTCTTTGAAGAATTTATTAAATCCGCCATCAATGACCATGAATTTCTTCATATGATAGACTGAAATGTTCTCTAACTCCTCTTTCGATAACTATTTTTATTTAAAAACATCCAATTTAAACGGAAACGTAGTATCTCCTTTTTTGAATAAGAACTGAATTTCTATCTCCTCCTTTTAAGCTGTTCCCTACTTCTATTAACTCGATTTGAATTCCTACCCATTGCTGCTTTCCTATTATTTATCAAATTCCATTTTCAGAGATGTGTCTGATAAAACCTATCACTAAATCAACTCAAATACTTAAAATGCTTCTCGAACCTCAGAATATTTCGCTTCATCTTTCGTTTATGAATCTGGATGATACCTTGATGCCAGCTTTAAGTAAGCTATCCTTATATCGGCTTAAGTTGCCGTAGTTGGAATTTTGAGTATTTTATAATAATCCTTAGTGAACTTAGTAAGACCAGAAAATCGATTAAATGCCTAATAGAGTCGGTATGATCTAAACATTATATTTAAATGAATAATTATTTTATTGTTAAGACAGAATCAATACCAAATTAATATAAGTAGTGGGTTTTGAGTTTAATGTATATCCCCATTAATATCAATAGTGATGACAAAAGAATTCTAAAATAAAAGAGAAAAATTGACACCAAACTGATTATGACATTATTTAACTCAATATCCGATTTCTAAGGGGTAAACAGAATGGAATTCCCTATATAACATCTATAAATCAAAGTGAATAAATTTATTATATGTTAAAATAACAAAACTAGCTTAATACACCTTCAACCTAATTCACTGTAAGAACTCCAGAAAAGAATATGGCTGCAACGCCTCACTAAATAGTGCTTTATTTCTCTTATTTTTTAGTAAAGCGATATCTATAATTATACTCCTCATGGTTCGAGAGGAATTATTTTACTCCCATCTCAATCAAACCATCAATTGCCAGGAACTCTCATTCCTCAATGGGATGTGTAAGCAGATACTCAAAGTCCTGTGAAAGGCTATGACATGAATTCTCTAGCAAATATCGAAGAAAATATGAAGCTTATTATACAGAAGCACGATGAATTATCGGTTGAATTAAAGCAAGAAAAACAATAGCGTTTGGACATTGAAAGCAAATTCTAGCACTTGCAATAAAAAAACCAAGAGTATTTATATAAATCTATAAAAACAGGTTAGAGGAAGAGTTAAATAAATAGAAACAAATATGTAAGCAAATGGAGTATTTTAGTAAGGAATTGGAGAGTAAACTATAAAACCAAGTTACCACCACTTCAAGCCATTCTTCAATTGAAAATGAGAATTAACAGAATATGTTCAGATAAGTGGAAAACCAAATGATAGAATTAAAAAAACAATTCGAGAAGGAAAAACTGAAATCTTCGAATGAATCAGATAGACTTATCAAGGAATTCAAGATAATTTATCAAGAACAAAAAAACTTAAATCAGAAATTGTTAGATGAGAACATTCAGTTATAAAAAGCAATACGTTCTATTAAACAGAGTTCGAAGGAACTGTAGAAGTCATCTTCTAACCTATTGGATGAGGCAAAGCTTCGGAATATTGTGGAACTATTTTACTTCGATAACAATGAAGAATGCTTGAATCTGATTCCTACTGAACAACAAATGGAGGCAATGAAGATACTCAAGTAAATTTCCTCTTCTTAGAATTCAAAAAAGTAGAAGGACTAAACAGGCAATAAGTCGAGTGCAAAAAAAGAACTCAAAAACCAATAGGAGTAATTGATAGGGGAAATTAAAAGTCAAATGGGTAAATTCAGTGACCAGAAGGTAAATAAATAAGTATATTTTAAGAATATTAAACAGAAGGACTTAATCAAATTACAGTAGGAGTCTGAGGAACTAAAACGATAGTTGGATTGGGTGGAGAGTTAGATGAAGGAGATTGATTAGAGTCCCAAGCATAACTCTCACAAGAATAGTAATGTTTCCTTTAAAAATAATAATTTTTATTGAATATATAAATATTAAAAATTTATAATTTCATTTTAAATTTGATGTAAGTTGGATAAATGTTAAGAAAAACCTTAAAGTCCTGTTTAAAATTATAAAAAATAGTCAGACAATATGGAATATATCTAAATTAATGCACAAAATCGTATAAATTTAATCACAGGAATTTTTGAACTCAAATTTGTCATTAAAAATTAATAGTAATGAAATTCATTGCTTTTATCCTGATAATTTGTACAACCCCTATTATAAACTCATCATCTTTGGATTTTAGAAACAGTTGCAATTGTTCTCAATTAATCTATTTAAATGATTGTATAGCTGATAGCTCGGATTGTGCTTGGAATTCCTACACCAGCCAATGTACTGAGACAGCGTGTTCTGACATAGAACGCTCGAGTCACTGTCTATAGTCGTCGTAGAGGTGTTATTGGTACAATAAGAAATGCAAAAACTTCGCTTCTTGTGAATCTATTGCTGGGAAAAGTCAATCAGAATGTCTTTCAGCAAACATTTATTGTCCTGCCTCGAATGGTATTAATTGTTTGTCCACGGATTTCTTACAGAAATGCTCGGACATAGCTGATCCAGACCTTTGCAATGACTATTATTCCTCTAAGGGTAAGTGCATGTGGAACGGTCAGAATTGTATCATACTTAAATCATGTGCAGATTTGTGGACCAACTCAACAAAATCCTGTGTGTAAAGTGGATGCTATTTCGACGAATACTCCTATTAATGCCGAGACATGACATGTTCTTAGCTCGAATTGCAGTCTTAATGTGAATTGGGGGCACCAACAATCGGTCCATATTTAAACAATGTTATTCCATGTACTTGGGATACTAATAGTGGGTTGTGCAAAAATGCGAAACCCTCAGACTACAGCGTTGATTAGTGCTATACTTACAGTGCAAGGACTTACCATTGGGGCAGTAGCAAGCCTGATAGAGGAGGGTGTGTGCCTTGCGAAGGTTCTATATTTTCAATTATAATCTTGTCATTGATGACGATGATTATTTGATGAATATTACAATATCATAAATAAACCTAAATACAAAAGCAAATTTATCAATATTATAGGATTGCAGCGACATTTTTTGTTTTTGTAACCTTGATTTAGGAATTTCGAAATTTCTTGTGATACATCCGTGAGTATGAGGAGGGGAGGAGGAGTTGAAGGTGTTAAATGGAATCCTGGAGAGGAGGTGGGGGGTCTTATTTTATTCCATGGAAGTTGTTTAATTAGGAGCATTATTATAAATTTTTAAATATAATATGTTAAACGAATTAATCCAGCTATTTTGCAGCAATGGGACTCATTCTAGTGAGTTGTTTTACAATGCTACGTTGCAATTAAATGAATTCTTGGATAAGAAGGAGATAGTGCGATGTTTTGCGAGAGTGTCGGAGAACCTTGGAGATCAATTGGTATAGGATATTGGTGGATAATTCATAGCCAAATCTGAGGAAGGCATCCCATCAGCTTTTTCAGGCGTATATTCGTGTAAATGAGAGTTTCGATGCGGTCCTATCGGCGATGCTCAGCAGGGGACTGGTGCATCCGAATGTAAGAATATTTTAGTTATATAATATAAGTGGTTGGTGAGATAGAAGAATGTGAATTCGTTGTAGTCGTTGTTTTTGTCGGAGGGACAACACTTGGAGGCAGGCAGTGGTGTGGTCAGGAGTATGGTGGAGATGTTGTTAGAGAAGTTGTGTGATTGCAATATAGCAGTTTGTAAGGCTACGGAATAGGTACGAGTGTGTTGATATTGATTAGACTCTGATATCCTTGATAAGTCTGAATTAATATAAGCAATGCCATGCGCAATTGCCAATGGGGGTTCAATCTCAAGTGGAGCATTTTGCAGAGCAGATGAAGGAAACCAATCAGATAAGACATGAGTTGAGATTGCGAGAGCCCACCTCCAATGGGTTGCCATTTGACAAGTTGGAAGACTTGAAAGACACCTAGTGGTAGATGAGAGCCGAAGCCATTCAAAGAATATACGAGGAACTCTAGGATGTGATCTTGACTCCATTACAGGTGGAGGTCCTCTTCGAGCATATTGTAAATTTAGTGAATGATCATAACTTCAATATAGTGTTAACTACTCTTTAGATTATGCAAAGATGTTTGTAGTTCAACATTGTGAAGAGTAGCAACATAGTTAATATATACACTAAGCTAGGGGATTCAAAGTCAGCAATCAGAACTGCTGTTAGATAAGTGTTGGTGATGTACTTGCAGAAAATTGGGGATGCCGAATTACTGATTCAAATCTTGTAATGGCCCAACAAGAATTCCTTTTACAAAGAGGAGTTCTTGGATCTCCTCATTGACTTGGTCCAAAGAAATAAGATGCTGGTAACCTGATTCCTCAATATGCAGCTTTCACAATACCTCGAGTTGGCCATCAAAGAAGTGGCTCCTTTCCTCGAGGACCAGAAATAGAAACTGCGCTCTAAAGCCATCGAAACCCTTACTCAGTTGGCCACAATCAATCAGCCTTTGACCAAGCGAGTGTTCTCACAACTCGGCATTACTGAAGATCTCTTCAACCAAATCGATGTCAGTACTGCCTCCTCCAACAAATCCGATCTCCCCCAATTGCGATTCAAAAAGGAACAACGAGAATAGAGAGACCCAAAGGAACAATACACTCAATCTTTGCCTGAACCCAAGAATCTGTAATAATTTGATATCCCCATCTTCCAATCCCAATAACAAGGATACGTGCCCACCATCATCTCCCAACCCTAAAAGCAACAAAGGAGTGCCCAAAAACCAGAATCTCACCCTCAATCTTCCAGCGTCGAATTCAGACACGTTCAACAACAACAGGAATACAACCAACCACCAGCCACTCAACAAAGCAAACCCTTCAGAATAGTTAAAAATCCGCAACAAGACATCCCAGATCAAGACACCGGTCTCACCTACACCAAACCCTTCCAAAGGAAACCCAAGACTGAAGCCGATAAAACATTCTAACCCATCTATTTGGATTCCGTCCTCCCCTTGGATCAACCTGAATCTGTCTTAAAGACCTTGTTGAATGAATTAAGATACGACGATTGGATTAGATAGTTTGAAGCCCTCAACAATCTAAGAAGGTTGGCCAAACACAATCCTGAATTACTCAAAAAATCTATTAGTTTTCCCTAAATCCTATAAGAAATGGTCAAATAAATCGAAAACCTTAGGAGTGGAGTCTCCAAAAATGCTTTGATTTCTCTCTAGGAACTTAGTGATATCTACAAGAAAGACTTGGATTGCATCATGGATCAAGCACTTCAAAAACTCATCAAAAAGGCCATCGATCTCAATGCATTCATAAGTGATGAAGTCAGAAAAGCCACTATTTCATTATTGTAAAACTGTACCGAATCCAAATCTATATCTCTGATATCCCAAGTCTATCAAAGCAAATCCGTTGCAATCAAAGTGAACATCTGCTATGCACTTAACAATCTATTGGATCCCAATAAACAACAGTTCGAAAAGATGTTGCAAATCCTTTGCATCTATGTTTGTGACTCGAGCCAAGAAGTGAGACAGGTTGCCAAAGAAGGATTGCTGAGTCTGATGAGTTAAATCGACAAAAGAGAACTAGAATCCTTGATCATCAAATTGGCACCTGATGGAGAATGCAAACGTATAATGACAATAATAAACGGTGAATCTACCACCACTTCAGAATTTAGAAAATTTGGTGCTACATAAACAAAGGAAGCCAGAACTCCTGAACTCAGAAATAGAACACCCAACAACAAGAAATTGTCAGCTGACTTTGAATAGATGCCCAATTATATGAATCAGGCTGAACTAGCAAAGGATTGGAAGTAGAAGAAGGAAGCTATTGATTGGCTCTGCAATTTTGCAAAAAAAGAGGCTCAAGCTTTGAATGGGCATAAATATTCCAATAAGTTCTTGGATTTGTTGTGTAAATTAATAGATGATGGAAATAAAAACATAGCTCTGTACACATGCGAATAGTTCATCCAACTAGTTGAACCACTCAAAGTACTTCATTTTAACTACTATTAACTAGCTTCCTCTATAAAACAACTATGTTAACGTATGGAATGGGGTCTTTAAAGTTGTCTCGTCGACAAATAACTCAGTAAGGTAATCAGCGGAATCACTGTTTCACGAACTTATGATACATATTGACATTCAATATTCATTACCTTAAATCTAACATCTCATATTGTATGGTCCAGCCAAATCTAAAGGCATAGCCATCACAATGTTAGCAAGTACTTTAAAATATTATCATAAGATTTTGTATAATAATTTTATGATGAACGACCGTAATTAGTGGTGAAACACCTTGTACCTTTGGCTAAGAAGTTACAAGAGGAATAGAAACCAGACATTAAAATAGCTTCCCAGAAACTATTCTAAGCATTGGTCTCTACATGTCCAAACGATGTCGCTCATTTGAAGTTATTAAAATGAATATTATTATTTATTATAATTTTAGTTAATTTTACTCATTAGTTAATTCTTCAAGTAATGAATCATAATTGTAAAGAGGATCTAGATAATATTATTAACCTTAATCAAATGATAGAATATATCTATTATTTAATAGATATACACTAAATAAATAGATATTAAATATATACTCAGTAGATTCTTTTATAAATTCCCTAATTAATCTAAGTGTTACTATCAAATTTTGAATGTTCTAAGAACTAAAAATACAAAGTGATTTTGAATTATATTATATTAATTTTTCATTTATATTGAGAAACGGATAATGAAAACATTTATCTTATTAGGATTGTTGTCCCTCACCTTTGCAGTGAGCATTAGTAATCAAGGCACCTTATCAAATCCAACCTCACGAGTGGAAAGAATAATGACCAAGTTTATGCAATTAAGTGAGATGAGCACACAATTTAACTTTAACAAACTTTTCGACGCTATAGATTAATTGAGTGCTTAATTAAAAGTACGTTTGTGTAGTTTATGGTGATAGCAATCAGAAGTAGACGAGAACAAGCTTTTCGATGCAGACTTTGCTTAATATGTTGAGGATTAGGCCTTTTACACAGATTTAGTCACTTTCTACACAGCAGAAGTTGCCTAACACACTGAGGATCTGAGATCATTGAACAACCATTTGGAATCATATCAACAACAATTGACATAAAGACAAGAGGAATTGGATAGAACTCAAAAACAAAAAGCTTAATTAGAAGAAACCATTAGACAAAATGAAATCACCTACAATAAATAAATTAGTGATTTCAATACAGCTATAGATGTTTTAGATTAGGCCATTCAATTGTTGTCTGGTTTGAGAAGTACTTTAAAGCAATATACATTTGATTAGATCCTGTATTAATCCAAACCGAATAGGATCAACTCAAGACCTTGGCTGGTAAATTCAGTTCAATCAATTTGAAGAATCACAGAGTATTATATCAACCAATCATCGATATCTTCATGTAACTCGCATAAAATAAGTATGAACCTCAAATTATCATTAGCTTGGCCAATCAAGATCTCCTCAAAAAGGTGTTGGGCATGTTGAATGGACTCAGAAACTCATTAGATGGAGGCAGAAATGCATTAACCAGCAATTACAACAGTGAAAGAGCTGCTAATTTGGAGTTGTTGGAGTCATACACTAAGAAGATTGATGCATTGGTCAATGAAGTGATCCCAATGTTGTAAGATTTGATTGCCAATACAATTGGTATTTATTTTGTTGATTGAACCTCATAGAATAGATTAAAGTCAAAACTGAATTATTGAACAATGCCTAGGCCAATTTGGATGAAGCAAAAGAAACCTTGTAATTTATTGAGGACAGATGGGTGAAGAGAAAGGCTTAACATGCTGCATTGTTAGCAGAATATGAGAAAGAGTAAGCACTTATTGCTTAGACGATAACTGTTTTGCAAAGAGGTGGTGTAAGAAGATAATGATTTAAATTTTATTTTATTTCACATCGGAGGCATACTCATTCCTGCAGGCATCATAGTTTATTACCCAGGTAAACCCATTCCCTTTGGCTAAGAAATTAAACCAATATTTGGTGCTCCTGTCACTCCCTATCTTGTTATTGGCTGGGCTTTTCCTGGTCCTGGTTATAATTCTTGTTTCTTTGGAGGTTGATGAGGAGGGGCTTCAGCTGACAATGATATTATATTATCGCCTCTCACTATGATCATTCCCAAAGTTCTTTTGGTTTCGATTTCGTGGATTCCTACCTTACAAATTAACTTCTACCTTGCTTTCTTATTCTGTATTCTTCGCATTCACTCAGAATCACATTCAAATGTTTGTCAAATGCTAAAAAGGTTCCAACCAACATACGTCCATCACCCAAAGTAATACGAACTCTGTAATCAATCCACTAAAAAAACTTGCTTTTCTAAGACATATTTTAATATTTTAATATTTATATTACAAAATTCAATATTTAATAAATTTAATTAAACATAAATCACCGCTTAAAACAAAAGTTTCTAATCTCCTGAAATGCATATCTGTCTGGCTCTTAGAACATCTATTGCACCGTCTATTGGGCAGTCTTCTTAACATTCGGAGTAGACTGATTCTAAGAGTTCTCCCTTTAATTAACAGTCTGAACTCCTATTGAACTTGTTTGTTTTGGCTTTGGAATTTGACTAATCAGAAACATCAACCCCGCATTAATCTACTCCAACATCTCCTAATCCTTCTCCCTTTGATTTAGTAAATAGTCCATCTTCTATTTCAATTCAGTCTAAATAAATAAATCAAATAAAGTACCAATTCACTTGAATCCTAAGATTGATTTTATTAATTCTTCAATTGAGATTCTTTGGCAGGTTTATCTGTTCTAACAATAAAGTCACTCAAATTCTCAGATATACTTGAGTGCTTTGATTATTCTCTTTACAAACTGAATTCATTGGAATTACCGAAATTGTTTAACTAAGGTTTCTCTTTTTAGGTCTCTCTGAAATCATTCCAATGATCTGATTCACTAGTTCTTGTAGTTTTCATCAATCCATTATTGGTTCGATTTGTCTTTACTATAAGTATAATCATCATTTCTTACTTTTCTGTTGCAAGGCAGAAATCAAATTGATGATTTAATCCTCATTATAATTATCTTATTCTTCATCAGAACTCATCTGTATGCCGTTAAAAATATAAATTAAATTATAAATAATATATTAACAGCTCATTCCCAATAATCCTGAGATTTATAAAATATCGTTTCCCCTCCATAACCACCCACAATTATGTATTAATTATTGTAGCTTATCGAAATCTAACTAATCATATAATTCTACTGGTACTCCCTATGAATAACCCATCTATTGGACATGTTTTGTCTCCAAAACTTGATAGTGCAATCCTTACTCCCAGTAATTAAAATAGATGAATCCGAATTAAATATCACCGAAGTAATAGAAGCTTTGTGACCATTCAGAGTTTATACTTTTTTATACAATTGATTTTACTCCATTTCCCATACTTTAACAAAGCAATCCTAACTACCAGAAACTAAAACATCCTTCAATTTGCAAAAGCACAAGGTTGTGACACTGCCCTTATGACCCTTCAGTATTTAATTTTGACTCCACTCTTAATTCCTAAAATTCCATAACACTATCATCTTATCGAACCCACCAGTTACAACAGCATTAGAGTTTCTATTAAATTGAACTGCTTAAATTCCAGACTAGTGACCCTACAGTGTGTACTTTACTTTCCAATTGATTTAATCTGCGTTTTCAACCCAAAGCTTGGCTGTGCAATCATCACTTACAGAAACCATTTGTCTATTTTTTGTATCAACTTGAATACAATTCACTCCCCTCTAATGTCTCTATGCCTATGTAATTGGTCTCCATTTTTGATCATCTCTCAACCAATACACGATTTCTCCATTTTCACATCCTGCAAAAAATGAACACTTCTCATCAGAAATACACAAACACAAAATTTGATCAACCTGCTTTAATTAGCTTTAGAACTTCCATTAATTTTTATCCTCATTCACCTTCCATAAAATTAATTATTCCTGACTTACAGTAGACAATGCTATTTCTCCATCATAAGAAATCAGAACACTTTAAGCTATCTCTTTCCTAAAATGTTTCTAATGTACATTCACCAATTGATATTCATACAATTTTAATAATTTCGGAGTAAACTTTCTATATAAGTCCTAGCAAAACGAATTCAAATTGAAATTCAATACATTTACTTGTTCTTATTACTTTTTCAACATATCCACGAGATGTTGCTCACTCGACTTCCACTTCTCAGTATTACTTTTCTCCCCTGCCGCCTGAATTTAGGCTTGAGTCTTTTACTCTTCAATTGTGCCCTATTCCTTTTTCAACTTAGCCAACTCTTAATCAAGTTTAAACAATTTCAAGTCCTTCTTGTCTATTGCCACTTCATGTCTCTCTATCATGCATTCATATTTCACTAACATCTCAGATATTGTCTTATCAATCCCCTTCGTCTGAAGCACCTTATTGATTGCACTACGAATGACCTTCCTCTGCCTTGGCTTCTTATCTATTTTACCCTAGTAGAATTTCAGACTTTTCAGAATGGCAGTTTTGAATTCGTTCACTTCCTTATAATAATCGTCATGAACCCTTCTCAATTCCATCAATTCCTCTCTGTTTTTGAATTGTCTAACGAATTGATTTAAGTCCTCCATGAATTGTTCGTATTTCTTTATTGTTACTTCTGTGCAGTGTTGTTAAGAACTCAATAGTTGGTTTTGCTATTCCATGTTTTTATCCAGGGTCTAAATGACTAAGGACTGTCTTTACTGCATGAGCTTCGCAATCAACTCGAATTGCTCCTTAATTTTATCACTACTATATTTGATATACTCCTGTGTCATAATATCTAGTTAATTCGCCTGATTCTTTCCCTCATTTTAAGTTAACCATAAAAATTAAATCTATTATTGGAATTTATCGATCCATTTTGAATAGTTCCCCTAATGATACTCTCCTGTTGTTGAGCCTTCCATAATTTAATTATATCAGAACAATTTTTTATTTTAATTATTTTAAAATTCATATATTCATTCCCATATCGTATCATTATGATTTGGTCCTTTTAAAGACATTATTAATCCTCCCCCCATAAAATAATTTTTATATTTTTTTAATGAGAGCACAGTTAATTTATATACATTTTATATATAAAACTTTTGCTAATGGATAATTTAAAATCATAGTATATTATTATATTGAAGGAATAAAAATTGCTTGTTTATTGAAATTATTAGTCCAAGTTCATTTATCATTTTCGCACTCATTTCATACTTATTGGATATGATAAAGTGTTTTATGGCTTATTAACAAGAATTTTAAATCAATCATTTTAAATATCATAAATACAACAATTTTAATATTTCAAGTTTAATTCAAATTTATTTCTATGTTTTCATTTAATTAGTAATTAATTTGATCAAAATACAAATTAAAGTAATTATAATTATTATTATTTGTATAAAACACTTTATTTCTTTACCATTATTGAATTGAATTTCTATTAAAACTTCTGATACTTGATTACTTAGCCTTAAGTGAGCGGGTTTAGAACATTCTCCATAACATTCAACCCTTAATTTACCAAGAGTGATTAAATGGATCTTCTATAAATCTTTTGTGATCTTCTCAATCATTACAAAATGAGTTTCATTGTATCTTTCTATTGCTGTATAATTATTTAATAGTAAATTTTACGTACTGTCTATATTTTTATGCTCAGATAGATTGCTAATATCAAATACGTTAATAAACAATTTTGTATCGCATTGAAAACTTAGAACTGCGTAATTGTGATCAATGAACATCAACTTATCAAATACAGCTCCCTACTCATATCTTAATATCCCCTATTATTCCACTTTAGTATTATTTTAATCATTTAGATCAAATGTAAACTTGATTAAAAAGGCGAAATTAGATTTAATAATAACAATAAACTTAACTTCAGTATGACTGTTAACTGTATTCACCCAATAGATTTTAGTTTTGATAGGTTTTATCACAAGAAATTATGTCTAAATATTAGCAAGCATGTCTTCCCAATTAAAAATTTTATGATAAAGTATATCATAGGTAACCTTCTCATTTTCTTTGGTAAAATTTATAATTCTTGTTTCAAAATAATTAAACTCAATATTCAAAAACAAATAGCTGGAATTATTGAGTTTGATAGCATCAAGATACTAACTTTGGAGGGTACTTGTCAACTTCCTATCTTAAAGAGGACAATATTAATAAGCAAAATATAGAATATTGTTTCCAGATTTGTATATCAGCAAATCATTTATTTATCTGAAATCTTAATAATCTAAGGATGAATCCATGTTATCAGTTTAAATTTTATAATTTTTCTTTAATTTTGTATTGTTATTGCAAAGATTGTACTCATTTACCCTAATTAAGTTGTGCCCCTATCCATAGATGGCATGATTACAATTATCTGGATCATAACCAATATCAATTAAGGAGAATGCCATGTACTCTTATTCTAGGGAAGCAAACGTATTTAAATCAAAAACATTTGTTTAAATATATGCTGGAGAATTACAGGGACCAATACATACTGAACTAACACAGAGACCATGTCGATAAACAGAGCAATTTATTGAATTATTTGTAAAAGTTAATGGTAGATGAAGTTAATAATTTCCTGGTCCATTAATCTAAGTATCATCTATATTGCCAAAAATATTGTTCAAATTAACAATATTATTATGGAGAAGACTTTTTTACTCATTTAACAATTATAATTTGTAGTTTTCGTTGAATCTAATAAGATGAAAGTCTAAATCGATACTTTGATTGCTAATCCAAGATTAGGTCCTAATTTTGGTTGTCTTTTCTTAGATGAAGTCATGACTTTCATGAGACATGTTTAAGATAAAACATGGGTAATCCAAATTTTGAATCTTCAATTATCCCTGATATTAGTAAATATATTCAGTATCATTGACAAAATTAAAAGCTAGTTTTTCCTCTCTATCAATTTCTGTAATTTTCACCAAGGATTCTATAGCTGTGTATCTTAAATCATATATCAATATTACAAAATTTTAATCAGAACTTTATGCTTTTATCATTAGAATGAAATTCAGAATATGATATTAAAATGGGTATAAAATTCGAAAATTATATGTAGGGAGTGTGTATAGATAAAGAAATTCTTCCTATTTGATTAAATATAATTTGAGTTGGTATTCATTATCATGATAAGTAAACATCAGAATATAATTATGAAGTACATTTCTAACTTCATAAATTGATTCTTTTAGTGTTATAATCTATTTATATTAAAATTTATATTTGAAATGTATAGAATGCATGTCAATATATAATTCCTCCTTGTAATATTGAAGAGAAGTTTTACAATCAAATTGATACTACATATTTCCTAACATAAACCAATTCTGAAAAAATTGAATCGACATAGTACTACAATCTTCAAATAGAAAAGTCACAAAGTATTTTAATTACATTGCTGATATTATCTTAACATCAGTACCTTTTATACTCTTTTCTACTTAATGAAGAGTTATTTTGTAAATTTCGATTGAATATTCATATACTATTGTTAAATGCATGAAGTCTCTAAGAAACAATATTTATATTACATTATCTAGTAATTTAAATTAGTGTTTTTTTAATATTCTACCATTTGAGTAGTAAATCAATTTGATGAATTTGTCCTCTATATTCTGTACAATAAGTATTTAATCATCGTTAAGTTTATGCAAAAAAATAACCTTACCAGCTGATAAGATTTGATCGACATAGGATAGAAATTAAGCATTTTATTTCTCTAAAATTGTAGATTATTGTCCATTTTCTACTATCTAAGTTAACTTGAGAGGGAGAGTTCTTTTAAACATCTAGTATGATAGACATAAATGATAGTTGGTATTAGTGAATAGTTGATATAATTTTGTTTAATCAAAAAGTTGAATTGGATTTTTTGGATCACCTAGTTTAAGATCAATCTATTTATTAGGAGTATATAGCAATGTTGCATATACAAGGTACACGGTATCAGAGCTGTTATAAGTAACAACAGATTTTGGTAGGATTAATTTAATCAATTTTAACTATTTGTTTGAGATAGCAATCAAATAAGGCAATTAGTCAATTTAAATTAAGCTATTTGAATTTAAGGATATGACATTAGAGGACAAGGAATTAACTTTTGCAATTATCTTATTTTTAAAGTGATATAAAATAAGACTTTGTTTTATAAAAAATATATCCAAAAAGTCCTAGTTACTCAAATCTAATAAAATGTCATTTAAATAGAGTTATTATGTTTCTGTCTTTGCTTTAGCAATTAAATTTATGCTTAAATTGGAGTGTTAAAAAAATCTCTTAATTTCGAATCCATTTTGTTAATTAAAAATTGATATTTCCCTTTTTTCGAGAAGAAGGTAAAGTATTTGATTGGTATACACTATATATAAATTGCCTTGGACGTTAAATCTAATATCAATAAGGTTTGCACTATTTTCAGTAAATCCTTGTAAATCCATCAAATCAAGTAACTAAATATTCTGAAATGATAAATTTAGTATTTAAACTGAATAAAATTAAGTTGTTTAACATTATTTATTAAATATGATTAAGGTTTATTATTAAAATACTGAATCTGACTTACAAACTGGTAGAATTGGCATCATAATTTCATCAAATATTTACTATTAATTAACAATTTAAATAATAACATTATTTTCATTGTATTGACATTAAACTATGAAAATAGATGTTTCCAATTAGTGTAATTAATAGCATTAAGGGCGACTTAACAATATTTGACATTCTTTTTTTTGCATAATTATTTCATCATTATACAATAAATTTTTAACTTGATATAAGCAGTCAATGCTATTATTCCTTAATAACATCACATCTGTAATCTCCCCCTAAGTAAACTTAAATATTCTTTCATCCCCACTTAATACTATAGACTACTAATCATCTAATGTTATCTCTTTTAGTATTTCAAGATTAAAGTTCTAAATATTCTTTTCATCAAAATTCTCTTAGTTAACATCAATTTAATACGCCCTATAATTTAAATGGATATTCTCATCAGGATAAATCCAAGTGGTTGTCTAAAATAACTAAAGTTTTTACTGATGTACATAAAGTGACTCTTACTAGCAACAATATTTTCAAGTACATGCTTATGCAAATACACTTCATTAGCTACAATAGATATCGAATTTATTAATAATTTAATAGCTTATAATTAGTTTAATTTTTTTAATATTGGCATTTCTCCTTCATTAGATTGATATCAGAATCAATAATTTAAGTAAAAATACATAAACTAGAAATGATTCATTTTCTATAAATTAAATAAATCAATGATAGTTGAAATTCCATCGGTATTTTTGCTTAAAATTCAAGTTGAATTTGTAGCTTATAAAATTAGAATGTATTTATATGGAAATTATAACATCTTTTTTTGTTTCTAATGCTATAATGAGCTCTCACTTCAAAGTTTACTTAAATCTAAAGGCTGATTAAATATCCACAAAAAAACTTTAATTTACACTTTTATGAAATTGGTTATCATTTTTTATTATTTTGATTAAAATTGAAAATTTTATTTCAGTTAAGGTTTTTCAACATTAGGTTATTTATTTTCTAAATACAGATTGAATTGAGTAAGAGGATGAGTAAAACTAGTTATCATGGATTCATGGTATAATCATGATAATACTGAATTTATAGGGTAAGATTGCTTACATAAGCTTAAGATTGACCAATTACTATATATTTAAAATTTTTTTATAATTAAAAAGGAAAAAAAATAATTAATACCAATTTTAAACAAATAATTAAAATAAGAAATTAATTAGATATATCTCTGATGTTAATATGTGATTTATAAAAGATATATATATGATTTGTTATGTCCTCTCTCTAATTAAATAAGTTTAATTTGTTGAATACTTAAATATCAAATATTCTAATAGAAATCTACTACTATTATAACATTCATAGAGTAGCTTAAAGAAATACTTCGTAAAAATGTAATTCAAAAGTGGAACAAGAGTTCAGAATAAAAAATGCAAAATTTCTGTAATTTTAATCTACACTAATAAGTGTAATTGATCTTCTTCTGTGAGGATGAAAAAAAGAATAAATGGCTTAAAAATGTATCAATCTAATAATTCAATATTCTTGACAGCAGTAATTATGACTTACTTGGAGGTTTCAATAATTTCTCCACCAATAATCATCTCATCGAAAATTGAATATGCCTGAAATAAAGATTGCTGTTACTTTGTTAAAATTGAAGACGATATCCAATTCGCAGACATTTCCAAAGTATTTATCAAGGACTTCTACATAAAGGTGTATTAATTCAAGCATTGTGAGTTCATTGTCTGAGACATCAACGCACAAAGCAAAAAACAAGCCTGCATAACGTTTGTATATGATTTTGTAATTCCTGAACTATGGCAATGAATGGAGTAGTGTACTTCAAGGAAATTGGTGTGTTTGGTGTCTCTGCAGACAATCAATCGATGGACCTCGTTTTGTAATTTGATTTTTTCAGCATCATCGTAATAGACATACCACTTTGATAATCTGGTTTTGCCCTATCTATTCTAAAGTAAGATGAATCTGATCTACGCATAATATTGCAGAATAGTACCATTAGATTGATATATACTAATGAATAAATAATTAATATATAAATTAGAGTCATTTTGTGATCCAAGGATGATTCAATATTTGAGTGATTGAAGGTCTCTTGTTGCAATCATGCTAGAGAATTCCTTTCACAAAATTCTGAAAGTCTTTGCTGCACCAATTGGGAAATTGGAATATCAAATTCAAAATCCTCTTTTTTGTATCTTACTCGTTGCGAGACTCAAAGGGAGGTCTGCCTAAAAGATGATTAAAGAGATGATACCTACAACCAATTCATAAGCCAACACACCAAGAGTCCACACATCCACTCTATTGTCATGAGTTTAATAATTGATCATCTCAGGACATAAATAATCTAGAGTACCACATAACGTTCTCCTTCTATTTGAAGGGGTGTGTACACTCCATCCGAAATCAGAGATCTTGAAGATGTCATTATGAAAACAAAGGATGTTCTCTGGTTTCAAATCTCTATGGATCACATTCATCGAATGCATGTATCCAATTGCCATTGTGATTTACTTAATGATTGTCGATGCCATTTCTTCACTAAATCTTCTGTTGGTCTGTTTCTTCATCAATCCATATAGATCCCCCAAGGGAGCCCATTCCAACATCAAATACACTCTCTTCTCAGTCTAAAAAAAACCATAAAATCCAATTATATTTGGATGTCTCAAATGACTGAGAATTTCCACTTCTCTGGTCAATGAACCTGTTAATTGACACAAATTTAGTTGTCTCTTGCTGATTACCTTCAGAGCCAATATGAATTTATTCTCACGCTCCCTAATTGGATATAAACTAAAGTGAATACCTCGCCAAATATACATGTCCAAATTTACCATTACCCAAATAACGACCCATTTCAAACCTACTTAAACTCCATTCGCGAGGATCAAATTCTTTTGACTACTCCTTATTCATATCTTCCTCCTCACTATAATTATTCCGCGTTTCTTCTTCCAAAACCTCCTCCACTGCTTGTTTCTTCTCCAAACAATCAAAACCTCTAGTGTTTTCTTAACTATTTGTTATATTTGACAGCAAAGAATTTGCATTTTGCCACATAAATATAACAGCAAAATTCTAAATATATATTAATTAAGTAACAAAAACACTCATGCTATTTAATACTGACCCAGCTAAATAAATCAACTTTCATTTAACTATCACCACTCTCTCACTCTATTCCTCTTCTTTTGAATAAAAAACACTATTCACATACTCTCTACTTGGTACCAATTTGAACTTATCTTAATATAATTATTCTAAAGACCATATAAATACATCAGATATGATATATTTATTGGTATTTTATTACATCAATCAAAACATATAAGTAGTATTTTAATAAATTGATTATTATCTCTATATATTAATATTTAATCTTACATAAAATCATCTTAATATACATAAGTCTCTATTATTTTCTAAGTTCCTCCCTTTTTTCCTATCATCATCGATTTTAAACACTCCTTTAATAGAATTATTTTGTACAATTTGTCCCACTTAACTAATCTACAATATTAACTAACCTTTATTAATTTAAAAATTGGGATTATACTGACTCTGTTTACTTCCCATCAATCGTATTTCCTTTTCAATTTTATCTCATCTGTATATCTTTCAACTCCTTTACCTTTCTGTTTACACTCATAATAATCATTTGCAATATTTCTTAAATTGGGAGTAACCTAAATGAGTTAACTATCCATTGTGATTTAGCTCTATAGTTGTTTCTTTGTATTTATCCTTTCTAGGTATAAGATACTTTTCAAAGGAATACTTCGATAGGCTCTTTAAATGGTAATGGCTTTTGATAGTGATAAAATAGGGTGGATATTTCATAGGAATGCATAATTTCTGGTCCCCTTGTGACCTGAACAATGTTTCATATAACAAAATTAAAATAATAGTATATAATATCAAAATGGCAATGATTACAATATTCAAGAATTGAGAATGGAAGGAAGAGAGTTATGTATATTATATTATATTATAATATAATATGTGAAAGAAATTAAAAATATATAAATAATATAAATTATTAATGTAGAATAATTAAGGTGGTTAGAGTTCAAGAATTGAAAATGGTGCTGATGATCGGCGATTAGAGAGGTTGGAAAGTAAGTATGTTAATTTTGATTAGGTAGTCAAGCCAATTAATTCAAATATTTCTAGATTTAATTCAATGGTGTAGGTGTGGAAGGAACATGAGATACCAGAATGTCATTAGAAGTACTACTATAATGTGATATTGAAACATTAGCAATAGGCTGATGAATTGATGAGAATTGAAATTGATAGCATATCAAGCAATAAAAGTGTGGTCAGAACTTTGCATCAGCTGACCATAGGGAGGGATAGATGTCTCAAAGAAATATCCAGAGCTAAGTAAGGGAATATTTCAGATTTCTTGAAAACAATTTCAAAATTTATTTATGATCTTCGCAAACTCACTTTGAATCTAATTGAATTCCATAGGAAATGGATGAATTCTCTGAACTCTAGGTTCGAGTACAACTACATTTGGAGGATCAAGGACAGGAATTATCTGCATTAAATAAAGGAAGATCATAAGTTCATACAAAATCACCATCCAAAGATGAGACAATATTTCCAATTCAATGATGAGGACATCTTCTATTTGAGTGTAGTGAAACAAGCAGAATAAGACGACGAATAAAAGTACGAGCATTTGATGAAACACAAGATGGACAAGAAATACATAGAAAAGATGATAGATCTCCAGGAATATTTCAATAGGCAAATAAAAGATTATAAGCCTGTGAATATTGTAAATTCCTCCTCCTAAAATTCAGACATGAATCATGCGGGTTCTCCAGGATTTTCAGGTAAAAAGAATGTCAACTTGGGGAATTACGCAAGCAAAGTGATATACACTGCAGAGGACTTCCAATTTAATTTGGTTTCGTATCCGTATAAGGATTTGGAGGCAATACTCGAGCATTGGTCAGCACAAAATGTATAAGAATTGAATGACAGTTTTAAATACCCAATTAATCACATCAAAGACTTGTTGATGTATTGGCAGGAGGCTGCCATTGTGAGAATCAATTAAAATGGACTAATAATATGTTCAATTGATTAGGAGTTCAATGGAAGGAGGTGGATTTTGCATTAAATATATTTGTAAAAGGAAGTGTAATGGCAATAGAAATTGAATCTTGTGATTCAACATTTTATCAAAATGTTGATTATGTAAGGAGACTCTTTTACGTCATTGGCTATTTGCTGCAGTAATGATTAATCTATCAAAAGAGTGTTGATTGATCTGAAATTCGCATTCTCAAAGAACATTACATATAATCAATTTAATGTGGTTATTTATGAATAAAAAATATAGAATGCTTAACAACATAATAATAGACAATATTATACTCCTCTGACTTTGAGAATGCTCAGAATTTATGCAACTGAAACTGATTCAACTCTGATAACAAACGAGGAATTGCTTATTGCCTAATATTGTGCAAATCTTGGAAAGAATTAAGTTATCAAATTTGAAAACAACATCTTGGTTTTGGCTCCATATTTGAGTGTAAGCATTAAAATTACAATATTAGAAATCTAAATTGTATGGTTAAGAGTACATGTTAATTTAGAAACCGGAAGATGTCAAAAACAAATATCAAATTGATTTCAGTTCTCCTGTTACCACTCCAGTCTATTTCCAATAATTCAATGTGAAACTCAATTTCAAATACTTCAGTAGTGAGTTCTACCGAAACAACATTTAGCCGTACCTTCGACTTCCTGCTGTAATTTTTAGACGCATAAATTATCATAGCATCCTACCATGGATAAATAGGAACCCTCCATTCTGTAGTTAAATTCCTCGGAAATCTCAAACAGTGTGATTTATCTGATCTCCACCATTGACCCATTTATCAAAATGTATTCAATTGTCACTCAAACAATAGATTCATCATGGAAGTGCAATCTAATCAGATATTTAAATCCAACATTCAATCCTTTATCAACCAAACCTTTGAGAAATTTGATAAGTAACAGGAATGCCATTAAAATGTCTGGCTGCCTCAATTCAAATGCAGTGGGAGGTAACTGAAATTAAGTGACACCAACATTAATGCCTACTTTCAAAATGATACCTATTTGTCAGTGACATATCCCAGGAATCCATCATTGCACACCAACAAATAGTTTAATGATGCAGATAAAGTCATCTAGCCTCCATTTCTTTTCGGGATTGTACAGAGTGATTTGGAATAAATAAATAAACCCTTATTCTCCATTCTGATAGACAAGGATAATGTCATCAAAGCAACTGAGAAGTCAATCAATAACAACGCTTCTTTTCCAGCTCCAGTCCAATTATAGCCGAAGGAAACTGAGTCATTCATTAAGGAATTGATTAGGAACACAGATTAGGATATCAAGAAATCTTTTTGTTCTGATCCTGCCATTTTGATCTACAAATTAACTTATTCACTTGAATGTTCAGTGATTAATCTTAACATTGGCCATGCTATTATCTATGTTGACGAGAATCATATCTTTGAGAAAAGATGGGTCATTGAATCAATCATGATTAACAATCTAAACAATTTGTCTCCACTGCTCACCAAATTGATCGAATACATTTTCACCATTGATTCCTCAGCCAGTGAAATCCAAATCTGTTAGGTAAGATATACATGTAGACATTCATATAGAATCACTACCAAGAGCATGGGGAGTTGATTGCGAATACATCAATCATGAATGCAATCAAAAAGGCTAAGTTCCGTTGGAGACTAGTTGATAATGATGCCAAAACCCAAGTCAGAAGGACCATCTATTATCTTAAGCGATCCCTTACAGAATTGTATCATATTCCATATCATTTTGTAGTCCCAACAAAACACACAACCAAATCTCCATTTAATTCAGATCTTATTATGCCACTCAGTAGAGTGAAGTGAGAAATCAAATCGAAAATCAATTAGAATATCTTCACTCCTCCAATGTGTAGTAATTCTTTGAGGATTGCTTCTAATGTCATGTGCATGGACAAGTCCCTGATTCCAACTCTTTCCTCCAAAAGAAATTGCAATCCATCCAAGGCAAACTGCCGAATTCAGAATTCCTGAGTATCCAAACTCCTGAAGAACTTAGATCGCAAATCAAATTCTCAATCAATTTGCCTGCCTTTGAGAGCAGATATTAGAAGGTATACAAATTGACACATATGTAGTTCGACTTGCTTCATATGATTACGCAATTGAAGATCAAAAGGCAGAGACAAGTGAATTATAAAGATAAAAAGTACCTAGAAATACCTAATTACAATGGATTGCAATAGATATTTCAATCTGAAAATTATCAATTGAATTAAAAGATCTTCTTCATTGCTACCCAAGATCCCCTCTATTTCCTGTATTTTATAGAGTTGAGCAATCAAAATCTGATTCAACAAATTCAACATGATCAACTCAGCGTGGTCAGTCAGGTTTCACAAGTACCTATACATTTATTATTCTACAAGGCCTTTGTGACCAAATACCTAAGCAATCACTAATTGGTGTGGATTGAATAGTTTTAGAAAATCATTCCCATCCACCAAAAATAGAATTTCCTGTACATAGATTTCGCATTGAATTCACAATTCTCAATTGAGCAATCTGTGATAATGGATGACGACTCTGCACATTTGGAAGATATCTATAAGATCAATTTGCCTCTGTTTTGTGGACTCTTGAACACCAATGTGAGAACCCAATTTGAACGTCCATTGATAGGAATGATAATTGATTGATTGATGATTAATCGATTTTTACTCAGAAATAAAACACCAGCATTTTAAAACATCATTTTATTCTCAAATATCTACTCACTATGTTATTTTGTATCCCAACTTCCATTGGTTTAACCACCAATTTTAGATCTTTTTGGTTTTATGTTAAATAAATCGTTAAATTAAAATTCAAAAAATGAATGCACCCAAAGCCATTCCTTTCATAAAATACATCAACAATCAATTTCAAGTGGATCCTCAAGCTGAATAATTCCTAACCTCCCTTGGATCAGAAAAACTGGGAGTTGTCTCCATTGTAGGCAAATATAGAACCGGCAAAAGTTTCTTCGTCAATCGAGTCCTTCTGAATCAACAAGCAGGAGGTTTCTCAGTCGGTCCCACCATAAATCCTTGCACCAAGGGTTTGTGGATCTGGAGTCAAACTATCACAGCCTAAAATGCTGAATTCCCAGATATGAAGGCCATTATCATCGATACTGAAGGATTCGGAGGCATGGATGAGAATGTCAATCACGATACCAGGATATTCCTGTTCAGTCTCCTCTTGAGTAGTTACTTCATTTACAATTCTGTTGGTAACATTGACGAAAATGCCCTCAACACTTTGAATTTGATAGTCAATCTTGCGAAGGTAATTATAAATTCATAACAATTATAGGACATTTAATAAAACAACGAAAATACCTTCCCTCAATTCTTGTGGATTGTCAGAGATTTCGCACTTCAAATGGTCGACCAACAAGGCAACCCCATCAATCCTAAACAATATCTGGAAAACAGCTTGGAATTGCTCAAGGGATTGTCTGATTCTGTGGAATAAAAGAATAGAATAAGGAGGATGATCAAACACTTCTTTAGAGAACGAGATTGTATGACGATGGTCAGACCAGTTGAGAAAGAAGAAGATCTCCAAAAATTGGACGCCCTCCATGAAAGTAGCTTCAGGGGGGAATTTGTGTCGCAATTGAAAGAGGCCAGATCTAAGATTTTCAAACGAGTTCGACCTAAGTCTGTTTAAGGAAGCATGGTTAATGGAATTTAGTTATTGCAATTGGCAAAGGCCTATGTTGATTTGATCAATGGCGGTAAAGTGCCAAATGTGGAATCTGCATGGGGTTACGTATGCAAGGCTGAAGGAGAGAGAGCACTCAGAGAATGCATAAACATGGCTGAATAATCTATTGAAAAGCTGAAGAATCAGGTGATCTAAGATTTGCCTGCTGTCAAATAGCAATTGCTGGATTAGGTTAGAAAGTAATTCAGATTGAAAGCCATAGGATCCGAGGATGATCTCAAACAATTTACAGAAAAGTTAGCAGAACAATTTGAAGATAAATTCAAAGAACTCAAACAAAGTAATAAAAGAAATCTCAAGGTATATATATTTGAAATCATTATTTAGAATCATCAATCCAAAGTCTTATAACCTCATATTGAAAATATATTGGAGAAATTAAAAAATGACGAATTTTCTAATTATTATGAATTACAATCAGAAATGTTTAAAATTAGAGATCAATTTTAAAAAGAGGTCGGCAGAAATTAATAGGTTTCTTAGTTATTTGATGAAATGAGTTTATAAATTTATCAATAAGCAGCTGAGAAACTCACCAGAAAGGCTTCCTAATAAACTAATTAAGAGAATAAACAATTACAGTATAAAGTATAGAATTTGGAGAAAGAAGTGAAGGCATTATAAGATGAGAAGCATTAATTGGAATTGCAAGCTCATAGCAAATTGGAGAAGTTAAGTAAGGAAAATGAATTACTATCTAAAAGTGAGTTGCAGCTTAAAACACAATTCTAATAAATTTAACAATAGACACATTAAGTTCAATAACAGAGTCAACATCAAATTCAATAACATGATAAATAATTAGCCTTAGTTACTCAAGAAAATGCCTTCTTGTAAAAAGAAATACAAAGTTTGAATGATAGATCTTCACAATTGGACAATGAAAACAAGAAACTCAGATAAGAATTGATCACATAAAAGGCTGCCAATGAATAGTTATAATAAAAGTGCCATTCTTTAGATTATGGAAGGGCTTAAGAGATTCAAAAGTTGCAACTAGAATTCGAAAAAAAAATACAAGAATTAAATAATGATATCGATTCAAAGAAATAAACAGCTAGATAATAAAGTGAATGGATGGTCGAAAAATCATATTTAGAAAATCAAGTGACATTCTTGAAGAGCTAGTTAGATGAAAACAAAAGATTGCATGATGCCCTATTAATTGCCTTATAATGTAAGTATTACAATCTAATTTTAAGCTTAAAATAATCCAAGTAATGATTATTAGGAGTCAGCTCTAGAACTTTTAGAAACCAACAGAAATCTCTCTGCTGCCATGGATAAAATGGAAATGAGATGCAAGTAATTAGAAGAAAAAGTCACTAAACTTAAAAAATTCAAAAAGATCTTCAAAAATAGTTCCAGTATTGTTTGCTTAAATTGTAATAGACAATATTAAAGCAATGGATTTAGTTAACATTTATCAAATTGTATTGATAATAATCCTTGTAATCCAATGGTTTAAACTTAATAACAATAATAATAATAATAATAATAATAATAACAATAATAAACAAACTAATCAAATATCTAAGCTCACAATCAATCTCTTAGTCATCCTCTACCACCTCCAATTGATTTAAGTTAATTATAAATATCAATCAATCAAACAATGGTTAGAGAGACTCCTGATAACAAACCTTACACTGAATACATGATAAGAGTGTAATATAATTTAAAGAAATGGACTATTTCCAGAAGATATAAAAACTTTTGTGAATTACATTAAGCCATCATTCAATAATATCCCAATTTGAAAATGCCAGAATCAAGCTCAGCCATCATCAATACAGCTGATATTGGCAGTGTATTTAATGCTAAACGACCTACAGTCATTGAAGACAGAAGAAGAGCCTTACAATCATATATCAGAGATTTAGCTAAACTAGACCCAGTCAGAAATTCAACAGCTTATCGTAAATTCTTAGAATTAGACACCATAGATTAGGTTGAACAACCTAGCAGAAGCATGTCATAAAGTAAGAGATACATATATAAATTTAGTGGGCTCACCTAAGAATGAAGGACTTCAATCTTCTAGAGATTATGGAAGAGAATCTCTATCAGTTATGCCTAAACCATTTTGGAAGTAGTCAACATAATAAATTGCCATTGGTGCTTCTACTTCAAGGGAATAGAAATATGAAGATGTTCCTCCTTAGAATAACTATGCTAGATAGAAAGAAAATTAACCAACTTCATCTACCTCCAATTTAAATACCAAAATTGATAGAAAATTGTTACCTTAATCACCTCAATCATTCCTAAAGGCATTCTAGAAATAATAAGAAAGTAAAATATTATTTTAATTAAAAGCTTCTAAAGTCTATAAGATGCATCATTAACATTCATTACTAGAAATATCAGGAGACATACAATGATTCTATTTTTAATAAATTATTATTATTATTAAAAACTCAATTATATTATTATTTATAATCGACTTAGTGTTTAATTCTATTCAATATATATCATCCAAAATTATAATGCTTCAGATCTTTATAGAAATTTGATGGCTTATGGTTTATTTCGTTTAATATATTATAATAATTTCTAAATGCTCTTAATTCAAAATTATATTTTAGATCTATTCAAATTTTACATTTAATAGTGAAGCTTAGATAGGATATTGCTTTATTTAATAGTATGTATGAAATTATTCCTCTTATTTATATTTCAAATTTGGAATGAATTTTTCGGATTTTAAGAAATGAATTATAAAAATAGAATGTAATTATAATAATAAGGAATTTATAAAACAAAAAATTTGTAAAATAGACAATTGAAGCAATAATAACAATACCCCAAAGTAAAAATAGAAGTATATTTAAAAAAAAAATCAGATCCTCAAGCTTTATTCTTTACTTAATGATTTTATACCAAAGGATACTTTGCTAAAGATAATATTATAATATCCTCGGATAGGTGTTGTAAAGTTATAAATCTTAATATAAGCTTGAAAAGAACAATAGTTTTCAGTTTTATATATTTAAATTGGAATTATTCAAGATATTATAATAATTAGGATAATTATTAAAGGTTAATGGAAACAAAAATAGCATTTTGTGGCCTCAATTAGGATAACTGAGAAATGGATTATTCTCAATTCTATAAAAAATCCCTTATAAAGATAAAATTGGTTTTTATTTATTATCATAAGAACACTTCAAGTATTAAAACATGAACATACTGAGTCTTAAACATATTTGCTATAAATAATTAATGTTCATTACTATATTTAACTTATTTAATAAATGGAAATTTAATTTGTTTACTAATATTTAGAATTATATAATAATTTTAATACTAAATTCTCACAATTAATATAATTAAATAAAATCTTTCTTACATGCATATTTATTCTAATTTCTGATATTCCAGAATTCAATTTAGATAAACACGAAAATTAGCTGCATGTGATTAGGAGAATGACAAGAAAACTGACAAAAAAGAACCAATCTATTTGGGAGACACATATCTAAAGGTACTTGGAATGACTAATGATAACTTATTTGTGTGATTGTATGATTATTTTAGTATATAGCGTAATAATGAAGAAAAGATTACGTCAGAATTGGTGTTTTAGTTATAATTTTGTTGATAATTCTGAATACAATTATATAAATTTTAAACAAATAGATGCTGATATTTTCTATCTTGTCATATTTGGTTAGCGCAAAATTGCAAATCTTTATTGATGGGCAAGTGACGAATTTGAATTACTCGTTAGCAAATTTTGGACATATTCCATATGGACGCACTTTGGGTGGATTTCTGATAGCACCCAAAGAAATCGAAGATAACTAATTAGATCTATGCAACAAATCGAATGTCCAGCAGTTATCAGATTAGGGTAATGTTTGGATTGTGGCCCGTATTGGGAATTGTTCAGCGACCACAAAAGTATATTCTATATCTTAATATTAGGCATATGTGGCACAGGAATTGGGAGCTCAGTTGTTGGTAATTATAAGTAACAAGGTGAGTTTGACCAATGCAATGGAGTTGAACAATGACGGGATGGGTTTCAAGGTGCATATCCCAACAATTGAGATTAGCAAATCGGATGGCGAATAAATATTGAAGGAAATAGTGAGTTCATAGGATCCACGACAATATGCAATAATATCATTCAATGATTCAAAGAAAGTCGAGAAAGTATGCAACTTAAACATATATTACAGCCTGAAGTAATTTTGTTCATTACCCTTAATGAGAAGGCAGGCTTTAAATTTATAAGGGAATTTCAGTAATACTATAAAATATTGGAGAAAAAGGTGAAGTTTTCCATAAGTTACGAAGTAGAAGTGAACAAGAGAGATAAAAGATTGAATTTCACATAGCCAAATGATCAATGTATGGGAGGTGGAAGATATTGCATGCAATCAAGGGGAGAAGGTTAAGGCAGATTGATAATAGAGGAGCAATTGAGACAGCATTGTATTTGGTTTAACAATGAAACCCAATGGTTTGAGTATATGGTAATAGAAAGTCTAAGAAAATTTAGGATTATTTCGATAAGAATTGTTTTTAGGTTCAAAATTACGCTGCTTGTTCGAGTGAGAATTAGATTTCCCAATAGAAGACAGTAAAGGATTGTGTGGAGAATTCGTATGAAAAGGACTCAAAAAAGGCAAGGGAATTGAAAGAAAACACAATAATGGATTAGTGGGTTGGAAACAAATCATTAAGTGGAATAGTATATTTCCCAGGAGTTTTAGTGAATGGTAAGCCTTATCATGGTAATTTGGAGGCTGAGAGTGTTACTGAGGACATATGCAGCAGTATGATTATAATGATATGATTTAGACATGTTGGATTAATCAGTTTGTTCGGCTTTGTAATAATCAGAAGATGATTCTCCAAATAGTGGAAGTGAAATCAATTGGGCTATGATTGCATTCGCAGTAGTGAGTTGTATACTTTTTGGTTTGTTCTTGTTTATGTGTTATAGAAGGAGATTGAAAATGTAGATGCAATAGGAATTGGGTTAGCAAGTAAATGAGATGGTCAGTCAATACATAAAGTTTTATGAAACAAAAAATGAGAAATGATCTATATCATAATTTGAAGGTTTATATAATAACTATATATTTATGAATGGACAAATATATTATACTTCCATAATTAGTGTAAAAATATCACATAAAGCTTCTCAAAATATCACCAATTTCCTTGAATTCCATCTAAAGCATTTTGAATTCTTAGATGGTTAAATTAATAATTTGTTTTTGCAGATTACCCTTCTCATCTTGGATATGGAATTCTAATAAAATATACAGCTTCTTCAAATTAGGGTATTTGACATCTCCATTGTATTGATTGACTGTCCATTTCAACTCTTTCAACTTGCCTAGACTCAACACTTTCTTGACTGCCTCTGGATCAAACCCTTGCAAGACTTTCACTAGGTATTCCCTATGATCATCCTAAACAAGTGTATTCTCCTTCATCCATTTACTTAAATGATCTGCCGAGATGCTGTTCTTTTGCACAAATCGAATTAAGTAAACATAACTATTGATACAAAACTCAGCTTCTGGAATCTCCAATGCCACAGACTCTCGTTAAAATATCTGGAGCATTGATTAAAGTGAAAAGGCACTTTAGTAGGAGAGTGTGAATTTGTAAATCTCATCCACCATGTATGCGAAGAGACTCAATGGCACCTTTAAGGAGAGATTGAGTCCCCTGATCGAATCTATGTCATAAACATAATTCTGCATTATAATTAAATTTGTATGAATAGCAGTGACTTTTGATATTTTTATACATATTCACTCCGTTGCATATTTGAATCCTCCCAAAATATCCAAGTTGATTAATATTGGAGCAACAAATTGTTCATTCAATTTAACTTCGTACTTCTTCCCAATCTATACAAACTTTGTGTCAGTCTTGTAAGCTATCACTATGAACCAAATCACTAAGACCAAATACAATATTGGGAGGATGTAGAAAGTTAAACAGAATGATTACAGAATGGCCAACTTTAGCAATCTTTAACCAATACTCTATTTCTTGATGTCCTCCATTGTTATCTCCTAAGCTTCATTTGGAATCACTCCCACTGATAATCTTTAGGTTCCTCTATCAAGCAGGTTCATCATTTAATTGAACTTGGTTTCTTCCTATTGAAAGTTAAGTGATAAGTCATTGACTGGCTTAAATTCAAATTAATTCTTACATACTAAATTTGAACATTTATGAATGTTAAATACAATCCATATAAATAAACTAGTCCCTCTGCAAGCAGAAATCCAAAAGGAACATATCCCTCATTAAATACTGAAATACAGAGATCCAAGAAGAAGATCAAAACACAGTATATCAGCGAATATTCTATAAAATACTAAACTCTCTTATATACATTTTGTATTTATGCATACACGTCCTGATGAAATGTGAATAACCATCCCCAAGGTTATTATGGGAAATAAGAATGTTGTTAGTAGGAATAGTAAATAAAAATACCACCCGAAGAACAACACGTTCATTAAAGTAGAAAATAAAGTTGTTGCAAATGAATAGCATATCATCCAGCCTATCCATTACAATTTCATTACGTTTTCCTATAATTTATGCAGTTTATTACCTATTTCTTTATTCCCCTTGCCTTAAATGTGGCTATATACAAATCTAAACTCTACGAAATGAAAAGGAATAGGAAGAAATTACTACAGAATCCCCACTCTTCTACAAATGCAAAACCCAAGGCCAGTGACAATTAGAATATTTGTTGTACAGCCAAGATTTTCAGAGTTTGTATTAGGAATTGTTTTCTCTCTTCACTTGAGGCTTCACTAATTGTTCTTGCTGGAACAGAGTTATCTAATGAGATATTTTATTGATTGACTGGAATCGCCTAGGAAGCTGTAGGTTCTTCTATTTATTGAGTTGAGTCGTGTTGTTCGTCAAATTAGTATTATGGATTGTCATCTTGCAGATCGTTCATTACTTGTATTATTAAATTATAATAGTTTTTATTTAGTAATACTAATAATAGTAAGTGGATGTTATAAAATTAAAAAGAGACATAATTGAAAAATAATAAAATATTAACAGTTAAAATTAGTAAACCAATTTCAGAGAGACACCAGTGACAACTTCATGTGAATTATCACTACTATTATTTATTAATTACTTTATTGTATTAAATTATTAGAATTGATTTTTAAATTATGTAAGTCTAAGAGTCAGAGGTTTATAAGCGTATAAAGCTCCTTGGATCGGGAGCTTATGGAAAAGCATATGTGGCTGAGAGTATTAGAGACGGTCAGCTATGTGTAATTAAATAAATAGATGTGTCTTTCATGAAGCAGGATGAGATTGCAGTAAGAGTATATTAATTATTATAGTAAGCATATAGAGAGGCTAAAATAATGTCCACATTGAAACATCCCAATATCATTAATTTTAGGGAGGTATACAAAACCAAGAAGGGTAAATTGTGTATTGTTATGGATTATGCTGATGGTGGTGATTTGGCTTAGAAGATAAAACAAACACAAGGTTCTTTGTCAGAATCTCAAGTACTTGATTGGTTCACTCAATTGAGTTTGGCTGTCAAGTATTGTCATGATCGAAAGATCCTTCACAGAGACATAAAGGCATCAAATGTGTTTTTAACAAAAGAAGGAATGGTGAAGTTGGGAGATTTCGGCATTGCTAAGATTTTATCAACCACATCTCCTTGTGCAAAATCAGTTATCGGTACACCATATTACATGGCTCCTGAGATGTTTGAGAATCAACCCTATGGATTTAAATAAGACATCTGGTGTTTGGGAGTAGTTCTTTATGAAATGTGCAATAAACGACCGCCATTTGAAGGTGATAACATCGCCTAACTTGCTTTGAAAGTAGTTAGATGTGAAATAACTCCCACTTTGGAGTGTTATTCAAGCAAATTAAGAAGGTATGCAATTGCATTCACTTCTAGCACAGTTTAATAGGGAAACTTCTCTCTGGTAAAGAGCATCGTCGACCAGCTATCAATGAGATTTTACGAGAGTAATTAATCAGAGATAGAATCAAGTCTTTTCTAAGTGAAACACTCTAAAAGGAATAATAGGTGATTGATCAAGCATCAAAAGCCAAACGATCTGTATAATAATTGCCTCAATTGAAAAAACGAGTGGCTACTCCCAAATAAAGAGCCAGTCCTAGTGTTCACAAATTGCCTGAAATCAAGAGAACCATTGATACTCCTGATTTCAGTAAAAGAGTACAGTTGAAATAGAATCAATCCATTATTCCCACCTAATCTCCGAGAAGACAGTCTCCCAGAAGAAAGAATCAATTATCAGAAGGTCCTGAAACTCCGAACATAATGATGAAATCGCCTTCACTGAACATCAGGATTCAAAGCGGTAAGGTACTTACAGACAAGCATTTTTAATTGAAGAAACAAATCAAGTCATTTGATCGTTAATAGAGTGGGAGACAATTAGTGAATCACTCCAGCAACATATTTTTTAGTCCAAAAAGAAAGTAATAGGAAGAGGAGGAGAAAGTGTTAGACCCCATTGAGGAGGCTGATAGTACTCCTTTGACGTTGACTAAATCGAATATTGAATTTCAGGATTTCAATAATTCGATTGAGGAAAGACGGAAGAAGAATAAAATTATTTATAAAGACCCTTTTAAAAAGGATGATGAAATGAGTCAAATGATTTCATAATTGCAAGAGATAGTTGAAGATGATTTTGACAATCCGCCAATCAATGAGTAGATTAGAGTATAATACAATTAATTATTATTTTAGAATCTCAAGGCTAGATTGATCTAAAAGTTGGGTAGACATTTCGAAGAAGTCTTTAGGTAATGTTTACAGGTTTTTAAAAAGAATGGTGATCTTGGCCAAAATGAAATGATTGGCATTCTATAGCAAAGATTCTCTGGTGTCTCAATTAAGAAGGTCTCTGGTATTGCAACTCTAATTCTCACCCTCATTATCTAAACGAAAGGAGAAACCATCAATACTGAATTTTGACTATTTATTATTATATCATTGCTTTAAACAAATTACAAAATAATTAATTCTATTCAAACTTTCATTCTTGTAATGATGCCAGAAACTTTCTTTGTTCTTCTGACAATCTTCCTGTAGAGCTCAACATTTATTTCAATTAATCTGGAGGTATGAAACTGAATGAAACAGTTTTATTCTAACTGTTAGATCGTACAATCTAAAATTCATTCTTATTTTTTAAAATGCTTTTGCAAGTCTTTGCTGGACTCTGATCCACCAGAGGAAGACTGATCTCATCTTAACTATTCTCATTTTAATCATTTGAATGACTAGTCATTTACACATGCTCATCGGGGCATGATGATGATTCACTGAATTTTTATTGGATTCTCAACTAAGCATACTTTTCTTATTTGCTAATGGACACTTGATCCCAAAGGGTAATATCATTTTGATTTATTGGGATTTGTAGACAAGTCGATCCCATTTCTTTGTTATTAATAAGTTTAAGTTATGTTTATTTTATAAGTTTATTACTCATACCAATCTAATAAATTATGGCATCTAATAATATTTATAATGTTTAATGATTATCATTTTTTCATCGACCTGATGAAGTTTTTGATTGGACTGAAGAAATCAACATATGTCAAACACACTGCTATCAATATATCCTCATCCTTAAGACTCTAAACTCATTAATACTATAATCTATACCTACGAAGCAACCTATGTATTAAGCAAAGACATCAGGGTCGATGCTGACATAAAAATACAAACTCCACCGTCCACAAAACCCAAAATGATCAAGAAAATCAAATAACCAAAAATTACTGAATAACCCAACAATATCTTCTTGTTGATAATGAGATTATCGCCCTTCACCTATGCCAAATTACTGCCTATCTAGTCTGGGAGGGCTGTCTCAGTTTTTGAGCATTATTTGTTTAAATATTCCAAGATATTGAATGACTTCGGTAAATCTTTTGGATTTGTTAATAATGATTTGTTCAATTGGTTGAAATAGTATATTCCGTAAGGTAATAATATTTCAAAAACAAAAATTGGTAGACTGTAACTGCAACCAAATGCAAATAGAAGATTGTTGATTGTGAACAGTAGACAAATTAAAATGATGGGTAGTTTTCCATTTGAATATGATTTGTTCAACTTAATCAGCAAGATTTAGAGTAGAGCATTCCCAATTAAACCACCACACACAATCTTTGTATACATTATTTTAGCATCGTTTCTCCATGACCCTTTTGAAATGCATGCAAATCCTCCCAAATCTAAGGCAATTAAAATGGTGTAAACTATGTACAGCCACTTTTAAAGCTTTGTCTAATAAGATTATTAAGGATTTCATACAATCATTTGAGAAGATCTTCCAATAACTATAATTAGTGTTAATATAATAGTTAATGCTAATGAGGCATAGAAAGTCCACCTGAATGAGTATTTTGACAAAGAATCGTACCTCCCGAATAGTTTCCTGTAGTCCTCTCCATTTCTGTATTCCTCTGAGGAATAATAAAAATATTGATTTCCATCCAATGGACTATATTCCACAATACACAGAACCTCAACAAATCTAAAATCTTGGGTCAATAAAAATAATGATAAAACTCCTATGTATTATAGAATTGAGTAACAATAGTATCTGGTTAAGAAGCGAGCTCTGTTCTATGTTTCCTTAAGAGGTGCTGAATGCTCAACCTATCCATCATTCTTTATTTCCTTTACACCTTGTTCATTACTAAAAATGATTGGATCTAATGTGGGATATTTTGCTTCTTCAATTACTACCGATTGTTGGACCATTTCAACATATGATAGTTGATTATAATCTGTTTGTATCATAGTATTAAAATATAAAATTATATAAAAAATATATTATTATTTGGCAAATTTATGTGTTTAATTGATCATAGGACTATTCCAATGCTTCTAACCAAGTTTTAGATTGGACATAACAAATCTATGTAAACCATGCTGGCTGCAATGAAATTATCATCATGTTGCAAGGACTAATTAAAATATATTATTGTATTACTCTTGAAGCAACCTTTGTCTCAAATAATACACCCAAAACTAAACTAGTTAAAAGTACCAATAGAAGACATAAGTAGGATTCTCTACTTATGATTATAAGAATTATTAAGGTAATTATGCTTAACATTGCAACGACCAACACTAATCTCCTTCTAGGAACAGTTAGAAAATATGGGTTGTTTTTCACGATTTCTTATGACTAATTATCGGTTAGAACTTCTTCCTCGAACAGAGTTGTAATAGTCCTCAAAGGGGGTAGCTCTTCTGGATTCAACAATAAGGAACGATTGAGCTCATTAAAGTAATACAATCCATAAACAGCTATTGATTCAAAAATTAGTATCACACTATCAAATTTTTTCAAAAGCAAAATCAAAATAAAGTTTAACGGAACCTATAGATATATTATATTATTGGTAAGCTTGGTATAGTAGTTTAGTTTATCTATTTTAATAAGTAAGAGGTTCACTAAACTATTAAGTAACAATATTGAAATGATGGTTATTGTTAATTTACAGATATCCTTATGGATCCAATAGTTTTCCCAATATTTACCTGCATAACCAACAAGGAGGAGTCCAATGAGCACTGCTTAGGAGTAGAAGAGTGATTATTGATATTTAACCTAAAGTTTATACAATATGGAATACAATGTTGCGATGAATTCTACCTATCAGAATTGCTAAAGTGTTTAAAATCAGTAAGCCAATAGTCACATAAAATGTCCATCTCACTTAGCAAATTTCATAATATTCGTTCTATCTCCAGTCCTCATACTCTTAATATGTTTAAGCGTTTGAATGATATTTTAGATATTCTTCATAGCTATAATAATATCCAGCCAATTTGATTTTGGAGAATTTCGTTTGTATTGACATGAAAGATTTCGTTAATCCAATAATTTGAATAACCAATATAATCAATAATGACAAGGCTTAGTATTTATAACAATTAAATAAGAGTTTCATTCTCTTCAATTTTAATTCATCTAATGAATTCTAACTTACTTGTATTGTAGTATTATATGATTGAGGTGGAACATAGTTGCTTAAATCAGGATAATTGATTTTCGGTATTTGATTTTGATCTAAGTTAATGTAATTAGAATTTGAGTTATCTAATTAAGACATCCTATTATGATAAATATTAATTTGTTATATTATTTATTGGAGGAATTATTCTTTTAAACCAAATTTAAAGGACCAAAATGATTTGTCTAATATATCTAAGGAGTCAACATTTCAGGGACTGTCATATATTAAGAGAAGGCTTTAGAAATTAATAAAAGTTATTGTAATAGATCAGTATCAATCGGAAAAGAATATCTTCAAAAATGATTGAATTTTAATTAATATTTGTTTTTATTATTGCTTAAGATAAATTCAATTCTAATATTATCTGACCATTTAAGATTAATTGTATTTAGAATATCATACTTTATTAATATAATTTCTATTTAGAATATAATGAACTAATAACAATATCATTCAATATCTACGATAAATCCTTATTCTTGCTACCTCCTAAAGGGTCCCAAGGCATTGTGCTTATTTTTGCGAGCAGCAATCATTCTCTCTCTTAACTAATCAAGTTAATTTATAAGAATATACCTCATTATCTTCTTTTGTTTGAAAGTCATCTTTTGGATGATTACCAAACCTGTAACCAATAAAATCTAATTAAATAAAAGAATAGATACCTCCTTCTCCCAAATTAAATGGACTCTTTTTTAAATTATCACAAGGGCCTTATTATTATTTTTAAACTTATTTATTATTTTAATTTCCTTATTTACCCTATTTACCTTACCCTTTATTTTTTCCTTGTGCCTGTTTCTATAGAGCACTAGGATCTATATGCAGCCATTAGAATTCTTAGATTAAAAATTTAGCTAATTGTAATTCAGCTCCTTCTTCTATTCCAACAAATTTTTAGATCTATTCCTTCAATTCACTGAGAGTGGGAGTCTTGGAAACTTTAAAGACAAATTCTTATTGTTTAATGTACACTTTATTTATGGGATCTCTCTCCTTAATTAGCAAGAGCATTTCATCATCTTTTAGATATTCTGGTTGATTCAAAACCTAGTAAACAATATCATTAGTGGAGAACTAACATTTCTGTAAAGGTAATTCGAGCTTTCTAAACACTTATCCAAAGAATCTGTTTTTATTAATGTCTCTGACTCTCAAGTGATCAATATCTATATTCAATCCAAAAGTAGAAATTATCATTTATTTCAAATCTTTTAGAGTGGCATCCTTTCTCATTGTTTCGTGTTTTTAAAAGACACAATCATCTGGATAACCAGTATTGGTTGAATAAAGCTGAAATCGTATCAACTCACAATCAATTTATGCTGTTTTATCACATAATATTAGTAAATCTCTATCTCTCAGAAAACATTAAGAAACAGTTTTAGATTCATCATTTAAACTTTCAGATGGAACTTATAACCAGTCGACTTTATAAAGTCTATATTATGCAGGATCCAAATTAAAAGACTTGCATGACTCCAACTTAAGCTATTCGATCTTGTCTAATCTTGGATCGACATGTATTTCTATATTCTAATCCTTATTCTGAATCACAATTGAAATCTTTCCAGTTTCAGGTACTTCTCCCTTCTCTATTTGCAATCTTGCCCCACTACAATATAGTAACAATATAATATTACCCTTCTCTAAAAGCTTAAAATTCCTTCAGTTATATAGGTAGATCAGTTTTACAGAATAAGATTGATCCATTAAGATTTCTTAATCTATACGCATCAGTGATTCCAAATTACTCCTTAATAAATTCAATCAATTCCTAGATAGTCTAATTGATATTCACATCTAAAAATAAGAAATAAATCTATACAGAATTTTGAAACTCCATTTTTATCCTCCTATTCAACCAGAATTGATATAATATCCTCTCCTCCTTATATGTCTTTCTCATTTTTGTTAGCATTTTAAACTGGCGCCTTTTTCTTTACCAAGATTTATGATTCAAGAGTTAGTTGCAATTCTTCTAATTATGTTTCATTTGATAAATCTGAGACTAACTTTTAATTTTGAACATTTCTTAATTCTTGTTCATTTTCCGGTATTCCAGACAAAGCGAATACCAATTATTTTAATTCCAATAATGTGGTTGAAAGATAAAATAGAAATGATTAGGGTTGCTTATTAATGAGTAAATTAAGTTTGATGGGTACCTTTTTCAATCCAACTTAAGGAAGGTCTTAATCTCTCCTTACTAAAATCCAAGTTGATTCATGTTCCACCTACTCTTCTTCTAATGTACTTTCTGGATTCTTCAAATATCTTGGGAAATGTAGCAGTTTATTTTAATAGTTTTCTTTAAATTCCAAGAGCCAATAATCATCCTTATTAATTTAGTCATATAATTATTAAATTGTGGAAGACAATTTTAACTTATATGTCACTTTTTCGTAATTATCATTGAGCAATTTATGATTTTATAAATCTACTACTGAAGCATCTGCCACTGTTATAATAATGTGTTGTTTAGCTTCCTCATAAGCTTATCTCTCTTACTCAATTTTTTCATTTAATTTACTCACATAATCTTAAAGATATTTAGGGATCTCCTCATTTGATAATTTTGATGGCACCAATGTCCTATCTCTATAAATTAAAATGTAGGCACTCTCTGATCCTTAATACTGTTATTAGATCTTATTAACAGGTATAGGAACAACACTATTATCATTGAAATCAAACCATCCATGAGCAACCTTAGGATTGCTAATCTCAAATGGCAATTTCACTTCATCATAGTCTACTTCTTCATCATTTTTTTTCTTTTGTTATTGACTCTCTTCCTTCTCTTACCAATACTCAGGAATGTGAGATAGCCAATCTCCTTCATCCAAAAGATCTCTAAAGTATGCAAAATAATGTCCCCCATGAGCATTCCCTCTATGAATTATTACTCCTTGTAACTCATAAATTAGGTTTTCAACTGGATTTTCTAAATATACTCCCATATCTATTTCTAATGGAAATTCGAATCTATCATTTAATTTCACTCTTTGCACCGTCTCATAATCAAATGTGTATCTATTCAATGTTATTGTCAATATTTAAGGCAATTTCCTTATCTTGTCTCCTTTCAATGCATCTACCTATTAATATTTTACAATACTACTTTGAAACCGCATAATTCACATTAGTACTGGTTGTTTCCATCCAGCAAAAAAGGATTGATATAACTAAACAATCCTTCCGATAGATTTTTGTTGCCTTGCACTTAGATATTGAAATCATACATGATTTCTTCATTGCCATGAGAATTGTTGCAATTCAAACAAGTTATGTGATGAAATACTACCCCTTTATAAAATGGGGCAATAATAAAAGGTGTACCATATAGGGATCGATCAAGTGTCTCAAACAATACTCTTAAATATAATCATACATTGTTACTTGTTTGCATCTGACACATCTTGTTAATACATTTGTTAACCATCATTCCAACCAAAACTAGAAGTCAGAGCTAACGTTGAAGTTTCCTTGGATTACAAGCTTTATAATTATATGAATAATTTCTAAAACTCTAATAGGAATCTATTTCTGCTTTCATTTTTTGCGAAATTAGCTGAATCCTCAATTGTTTCTCCACATAATGGCAATGACAGAATGACTTTTCTAAATTCAGGACTCATGTAATAAGATTGTATTAAGCTGTTCAAGTAACATGTGGCACCTTAATTTTTTAGACCCGCAAAGTGCTTTACTCTTGGAAGTTCTGGCAAATCCATTTAATCAGCACAATTTTTCGCCCTTCTTGTCTAATAGACTGTAGTTGTTGGGTTGAATTCTTCATCCATTGCTTCAAACATGCCATCAAGCATTTTAAAATTTTAATATGTAATTTTTATGTAATAATTATAAAAGTTTTTTAATTAAAGAATTAAAAAAATAAGATTTCCATTTATTTTTATGTTATTTATGTTAAATAAATAATTGCATATATATATACACGTTTCATAAATGCATTTAAATTTTTCATTGGAATTGCAAGGAAATTCTACTTCTTCTACCAAATTTAAGAAATATCAGTATAAACAAGAGATTGGTTAAAATTATTACAGATTTAATTGTTGAATAATTTTATCCGGGCTGAATTTCTAATGAAATTTCTAAAGTAAGGGTTGATACATCATTGGATAGGATTAAATTTGCATTTTCTGTGCATTAGCCTAAACACTCTACTGTTAATTAATTCAGAGTCATGAAATATAGTTTTTTATTCATTTTGCTATATATGATATAATGAGAAGTATTAAATCTCTCTATTCGTTAATATTCTAATGATTATATTCTATAAATGCTGTCCAAATAGTCCTTATTTTTCATATCCCCTTTTATATCGTAAACATTGACAAAAAATTTTCCATCCTGTTAAAATTTTGCCACAATAAACTACATATCTGCATAAAGCATTTGTAATATTTGTGCATCTTTTTCATATCTTAAAAATCGATACGATTCTATTTTCAAGTCATCATATTTGATGGCATTTAAGGAGATTTCAAGCAATAAACCAAAATTAGTATGCTAAATCATTAAAAATTGCAAAACATAAATGAATTCCTTTTTGGTAACAGAAATAATCTCAACGTTTTTCATCTCTATATGAAAATAGTATAAGTCAATTTAGTTCAAAATATTTAATAAATTAATTTCATGTTCCTAAATTATATCAATATTGCAATATTATGCTTTTTCAATTTTGTTATCATTAGTAGCAATTATTTTAATACGAAATTTCTGATTATCCAATAAAATATATATGTATGTATTATTCGATAAATAGGCCAAATCAGTAAAATAATTTTTAAAATTTGATGATTGAGATGAATTGATGATGATTTAACAAATATCTTTGTAGTATATTAAGGAATTGCTTCCAATAAATTAAAAAAAATATAAATTTTGGATTATTTTAATATTTTGCACTTAATCCACATAACTTTTAGGGAGGATACTATAACCATTTTTCTTACTAATTAATACAGATTAATTTAAATTGTCTTCGGCTTACTCTATTTATAATATCTCGATGTTTTGATTCTTAGAATAGGAAAGAATTATTTAATATACTTGTGTCTTCTCATCAAAAATGATTCTTCTTATATTGAAGCTTGTTTATTAAAAACTTAAAGTATATATAATTTTAAGAGTTTAAATATCAATAAAAGAGTTGTTAAAAAAACAAACATTCGATTCAAAATAATGGCAATAAAGGTGTTCTGATGTAATATTCAGAGGTAACATAACTACAAAATCTTCTTTCTTCTGTACCTCAACTCTTATGATATTTCCTCTAAATAGATCCTGGTTTAATGGTTTATTAAGAAAGCTGAGTTATTAAGTATTATTGAAAGTACTTAGAATGTAGTCAGTATTTAGTTTTGATATCTAAAAGTTTATTGTAGCAGATTAGTTATTAATCAGAGAATTAACTAAAATTGAAATTTTTTTCCTTCTAATTAAAGCATTCGGTTATTATAATGAATATTTTAAACAAAACTAATCTAAAAGATAAAAATACAATTTTCCTTCATATAAATAAACCACAGTCTTTTTAGCAGAATCATAGAATTAAAAAAATTATAGGGATTCATCTATTTCTGTAACATATATTAAAGCACTAAAAGCTGAATTTCTCAAATTATAAATTAGTAGGTACGATTTATTTTAATACTCAGCACCTACCATTAAGTACTAATTCTGATATTAAAAGGTATCTGTAAGCAGTTATTTAAAGTTATACATTGGTATTATATAACATAAAACTACTTCAGCTCTCATTACACGATAGAATTCGAGTCTAAATTCATTTTATTCTTCAACTACTATTATAAAATTTTCAGATCCTATGTCTATCAAAACTTTGACTATTTTTCCTTTCATTTTATACCTTATGTTCTGATTTGATACAAAAATGAACTCATCCTAATTTATTACAATTTAAGATTTCGAATTTCTATAATTTAAGGTACAATTTAAAGATTTAGGCAAAGGATAAGGTTAAGGTTGTTCCAATTAAACTAATTTCTCCGACAAAATATATACTAGTTTAACATTACAACCTTCATATATAATAAGTATGTAGATATACTATTTATTTATGCTAATTATCTTATGTTCTTAAGGATAATTTGTTGTTTTTATTGAAAGTGAATCATCAATTATAACTAATGAAATAATTTTCTCATAACAAATCAGGATACTTTTTTATTAAATTACAAGAATATTTTAGATCTGTGTGATTAATTTAATATGTTATTCATTAATAATTTAGCCATTTTAGCAAAATACAAAGGCTATAATATCTTTCTGTTTGAATATTATTAGCATCTTTATTTAATCATTCAATTCACCGAAGTACACTATTTTTATATATTTGAGAAAATTAAATTTGCAGATGTCCGCATATATTCTCTCGTTTATTTAATAATATTTTTCATTTTCATATATTGCAACTAAATTTACCGGAAGAGTATCTGAAAATAATTTTTATTCCAAGCATATGTCTTAGTTGTTGTCATTCAAATAAATCATCCTTTCTTATTAATTGAATGTTAATTTAGATTCATATTCCTTTACAATTTCTATTTCACTTTATTCTAAATAAAATTAATTATAATAAGCATAGCTTGTAAGAATTAAATATAGAATTTTTTAGGAGAAGTAAAATTAATAATAATTTCTTGGTGATTAAATTTTAAAAAGTTTTAATTTAGATTAATGAACACCAATTAAATACGGAACACCAATTAATTGAAGTATCTCTGACATCGTAATATTTATTTGGTATTGTAGTTAATCATTTATTTTTGCTAATATACAATCATCAAAAAATAGGACTAAAATCTTTTCAATCAGAAAGGCATTCTTATACTAAACACTAGTAATATTCAAAGGCTGCCCCTTCAACCTCATTTACTAACTGTTATTTTCTATATCCAATTCCAATTAAGTATTTGAACATAGTTAAAATACCTTCAATAATGTTATATTAACAAATTTTGCATATTAATTTAAATTGTTCTGCATCAAATTATATTGCAGCATGAAATCCTAGAATATAAAAAATATTCTGTCTAGATCACATATCTCAATTTTCTAGATATATTCAATATTCATTCCTTGAAATAATTCAAGCTTTTTGACTGATTTAAACTAAAATTATTATTCATCAATCGCAGTATAATAAACATTATTTGATTAACAATTTTATTCAAATATAATAATATATTAAGATCTGTGGCTGACATCTATATTGCAATCTTACTCTACTTCTAATTAAATNCAATTTAAAGATTTAGGCAAAGGATAAGGTTAAGGTTGTTCCAATTAAACTAATTTCTCCGACAAAATATATACTAGTTTAACATTACAACCTTCATATATAATAAGTATGTAGATATACTATTTATTTATGCTAATTATCTTATGTTCTTAAGGATAATTTGTTGTTTTTATTGAAAGTGAATCATCAATTATAACTAATGAAATAATTTTCTCATAACAAATCAGGATACTTTTTTATTAAATTACAAGAATATTTTAGATCTGTGTGATTAATTTAATATGTTATTCATTAATAATTTAGCCATTTTAGCAAAATACAAAGGCTATAATATCTTTCTGTTTGAATATTATTAGCATCTTTATTTAATCATTCAATTCACCGAAGTACACTATTTTTATATATTTGAGAAAATTAAATTTGCAGATGTCCGCATATATTCTCTCGTTTATTTAATAATATTTTTCATTTTCATATATTGCAACTAAATTTACCGGAAGAGTATCTGAAAATAATTTTTATTCCAAGCATATGTCTTAGTTGTTGTCATTCAAATAAATCATCCTTTCTTATTAATTGAATGTTAATTTAGATTCATATTCCTTTACAATTTCTATTTCACTTTATTCTAAATAAAATTAATTATAATAAGCATAGCTTGTAAGAATTAAATATAGAATTTTTTAGGAGAAGTAAAATTAATAATAATTTCTTGGTGATTAAATTTTAAAAAGTTTTAATTTAGATTAATGAACACCAATTAAATACGGAACACCAATTAATTGAAGTATCTCTGACATCGTAATATTTATTTGGTATTGTAGTTAATCATTTATTTTTGCTAATATACAATCATCAAAAAATAGGACTAAAATCTTTTCAATCAGAAAGGCATTCTTATACTAAACACTAGTAATATTCAAAGGCTGCCCCTTCAACCTCATTTACTAACTGTTATTTTCTATATCCAATTCCAATTAAGTATTTGAACATAGTTAAAATACCTTCAATAATGTTATATTAACAAATTTTGCATATTAATTTAAATTGTTCTGCATCAAATTATATTGCAGCATGAAATCCTAGAATATAAAAAATATTCTGTCTAGATCACATATCTCAATTTTCTAGATATATTCAATATTCATTCCTTGAAATAATTCAAGCTTTTTGACTGATTTAAACTAAAATTATTATTCATCAATCGCAGTATAATAAACATTATTTGATTAACAATTTTATTCAAATATAATAATATATTAAGATCTGTGGCTGACATCTATATTGCAATCTTACTCTACTTCTAATTAAATTTGATCAAATACTTTTCCATCCAAATTGAAAATTGATATTATCGATGAATCATTAAGCTTGCAAACAGTTATAAAGAATTAGTTTTTTATTTGAATTAGTTTGCTGCATGATTGGTAGGGCAATGTTATATTACAGTAGTGAGGATGAATAGCCAATTATTGATCCAACAGATAGTTCTTAATTAAGTATAAACAATATAAGTGTTAATTATCCATTGCCATAATTATATTATCCCCTTCCTCATTCAGTTATTAAAAATAAAACAATTTCATTTAATCTGTAAGATGTATGGCATTTTGATTTTCTATAAATACTTCATGAATTAATTAGATTTCAAACCTGTTTTAATTTGAGTCTAAATATTTTTGTTCGAATGGAACATAATACCTATTATCAGATGTAAATTTAGTTTCTCCTCGAGTCAAGTATTCCTTTTATTGATTAGCGTTAGAAATCAGGAAAAGAAAATTAAAAGGCAAAATCCTTAAAAATAAAAAAATATTCATTAAAAGTTTTTTTAATTAATTCTCAAATTATTATAAAAGGTGGCAAGATTAAAGAGATATAATAATAATTTGAAAGAACTCTTATTATCAATTTTACTTTAATTATGTAGTTTGCAAAATCTAAAAGTTAGAAAAAGAGAAATATATGAAATTCTTGGTTGATAAAAAATTTTAAATTGAGTAAGCTGACTTGGATTTACTGCAAGTTTAAATTATAAAATATAGATAATATTGATTCAACTAAAAGGTTCATTACACAGATAAGTGAGCATTATCTTTATATAAAATGCAAAGGTATTGGGTTATACTTGGAATGATTATAAAAAAAATTCAAAGTGTTTTCTGGATGCAATAGGTGCATAAACCTGTTCAGTAGATAGGTTTTACAAATACCTTAATTGAACAGATGTTTTGAAAAATTATGGTATGATACTATTATATATAATTTAAATAATTAATATGCAACAAGGTGACTCATAATAGCCACAAACAACGCAAACAATAGATGAACAACCGAAACCGAAGGACACACGATATAAGACGAGTGTAAGGTCTTTGCCTAACTTGTAAGGATGTCACCAAGACAAAAGGAGTAGAGTTTGAAGAGTTCGATTTGAAATAAGAATTAATGCAAGGTCTAGCAGCAGCAAATTATGAGAAGCCCTCTCCTATTTAAGAAGAGTCTATTCCATTTGCTTTGGCAGGATCAAATATTATAGCAAGAGCAAAAAATGGGACAGGCAAAACAGGAGCCTACATAATTCCAATTCTAGAAATGTTGGAGACGGAAGGGCAGATCTAGAGTCTGATCTTGGTGCCTACAAGAGAATTAGCTCTCCAAGTGTCAAGTCTAGTAAAGGAGATTGGTAAGTACATGAAAGTGGAATGTATGGTGTCAACAGGAGGCACTGATTTTAAAGAGGATATCTATAGATTGAAACAAGTAGAGAGTTAAATCATTGTAGGTGGTTCATGTATTGGTTGGGACCCCTGGAAGAATTCTGGATTTAGCCCAAAGGAAACTAGCTGATTTGTCGAAATTGAAACATTTTGTTTTGGATGAGGCTGATAAACTCCTGTCAGTTGATTTCCAACCACTTATTGTTAAGATACTTCAATTTGCTCCTCCAGAGGTACAAATCATGATGTTTTCTGCAACATTCCCTGTTGATGTTAAAGGTTTCATTAATGAACATGTTCCTCAGATTCAAGAAATTAATTTGATGGAGGAATTAACATTGAAGGGTGTCACTTAATACTACCTATTTATTGATGAGAAATAGAAAGTCAATTGTTTGAATTTCATTTTCAGCAAACTTGAAATTAATTAAGCAATCATATTTTGCAACTCAGCAAGAAGAGTAGAATTATTGACTCAAAAAATCACTGAATTTGGGTATTCGTGTTTGTATGCATATTCTTTCATTCTATTAGCTACATTCATGCAAAAATGAATCAGAAGGATAGAAATAAAGTATTCCATAGTTTTAGAAAAGCTGTAGGTAGATGTCTCGTCTCTACAGATCTCTTCACTAGAGGAATTGATATTTAATCTGTCAATGTTGTCATAAATTTCGATTTCCCCAGAACTGCTGAAACATATTTACATCGTATAGGCAGATCAGGAAGGTAAATTATTAATTTCAATTTAGATTTGGTCATCTAGGTTTGGCTGTTAACTTTATAACTGAAACTGATAAAGATACTTTGGTATAAATAGAGTAAGAGCTAGACACTGATATTAAACCATTTCCAAAAGAAGTTGATAAGAGTTTATATTGATAAATTAATAATAAAAATTAATTAATTCAACCCATTCTCGTATTAATTACGAATATATTATCAAATATTAATTAAAATTCTTTATTAATTTTAATTATGAAGGATACTTTAATTTTCCAACTTAATACCATCTTGTATTCTATTCAAAAAATGATAAATATCATCCCACCCTCTTTTTCCAATTAATATAAATCCCTTTCTAATTTTAGAACAAATAGATGAGAAAATTTAATGAATTTACAAATAATTTTTTCAGACTAATATGAATTATATTATTCGGACCTTATATTACGGATTCTTTAGAAGTGGAACCAATTTTTTGAATGAATTAATTTTCCAGTTATTCTCAGGCTATTTCCTTTTTATAAAATAAAATATAAGTCTTTCTCACTATTGGCAGAATACCCTTACTCTATGCTCTTTAATCAAAATTATACTATAATTCAGGTCTCTAAAAATCAGATAGGATTCTAAATTTTAAATAGTATTGAGCTAATCGTTATGCTACTTGAAATTAATTTTTCTAATACGTTTATTCGCTTAACACATCAATTGTTAGAGAATCTAAAAGGCTTTTAAAATTTTGAAGTGGGAGGTGAAATGATTATGTATAGGTTATGGTTTGAATAATGTTAAACAATGAGACAATATTATCAATTAAAATGTGAATAGACTCTTTGAACAAATGATGACAATATGGTTGTAACTTCAGGAAAAAAGTTCATCTTTTCGATTAGTTATTCCATGTCTTCACTAGTCTTTTGATCGTCCTCTCTTCTACAGTTCAGATGTATGTAATCTCTAGAAAGAATAGAAAATATTCATTTACCTTCCCAATATTTAATCCCATCTGAATCGAAGGTATTTGTAATACCTGTTTTTTATGGCATTCTAACTTCTATCAAAAAAGTATCTCGAAACAATAGAGAACCTGGGGCCATGTTCAAGTACAAGGGATAAAATTCTTTGATCTTCATCAAAATTGAATGGTGCTTGATTGTTCAATTCAGAATTTTTATTGTTTCTTCTTCTTCTTTTATAATGAAAATCCACTCTTTTCTTCTTTTTAATCTTCTTTGCTTAATGACTTGAGGAAACATGATTTAAATTAGCTAGTTAAGTTAATGAAGGATTCTCTTAATTTGAGAAAATAAATTAAGATGAATATTCATCCACTTGACTTAAATCCTTTTCCAGCTGTAAGAAACTGAGGAAATTTTGGTTTGCTGCACAATCTTACATTAAAATTAATATGAAATTTAGCTTTTTACTGCTTTACGATTATATATAATAGGGATTTGATAATATCTTTTTGAATTTATTCACATTAATACGGTATTAGTATTATTTTATTCAATATTAATTAATTGTTCAGTTGGTAAAGTTAATTCTTACTACATATTACTAAGAACAAAACAAGTTAAATTAATCCATATATGAAGAATCAAAGACTTTACAAGCCAAATTTCTAGAACTTTATTTTTCTAATAAATTTAAATATTTCATAATTTAAATTATTATGTATTTTACTTATGCTCCTATATCGAAGATTCTACTAATAAGCACACTAAGGACATCGTCGTTAAATACCCATTAAAACATAGCTTAATTCTTAGAATTAGATATTTAACCTAAAATTGCCTTATCTTCTGTTATGAAATTTAAATTATCCTATTTATAATAAATTCGATTAAAGAGTTGATCTCATTTGATATTATTTAAGTTTTCAATGTATTTCTTCAAAAAATATTTTGAAAGGTTTTATTATCATTTGAAAAATACGTAATATATTAAGGTATATATGGTGATTAATGATTATTATTAATACAAAATTAGTAAGAAGTAGTAATCCTCAAGAAGATAGATGGCTCTTTTGGCTAAAATAATTTTAATAATTTATAAAATATTTAGTTACTATTTATATTAATATTAACATGATTTCTATAAATTCTTAATTACGATATATAATCGTATTCATTAAAATTGCAAAAAAATGATAGATATTAGACAATAGATGTTTTATGATGAATTTAATTATCTTAAATATTAATCATAAACATGTTTAGTATAATATAAAAAAAGGTACAAAAATTAATACAGATAAAATATAAATCAATCTCTCATTTTCATAAAAAAATATTCATATGGCATACTTTGTAGTTCTTTCTCTTTGTTAGTAACTGTTTTCTCATAAAAAATAACATCCCTGAATCTTTAAGTTAAATTTAATTCTTATTCGACTCTTATTCGATTATTGTGATAGCAACAAATAAACATCTCAAATTAAAGCTTAGTATTTGTGATTGCAAGTTTCAAGTAGTTTCAAACTCATTTTAATCATATTCTTCTCTGCATTAAGTGTTTCTTTATTAAACCATCATCTATTGTTTTTAAGGAGTCAAAACCTATCCCAAACTCCATTTATCATCTCTAAATAACATTTCATTCACAATTACAAGTATCATTAAGTAGCGATAATATTCCTTCATCTAAAGTTGTTTTCATATCTGCAAGAACTATTTTAAACGTCATTCACTAATTAATCAAACAAAAACCAATTCTAGAAAGTCATATTAAAGAGAAACCATTCTCTTTTTTTAAGTTCATTCTCATAATTTAATTCTGATATAATATACATTTCTTCTGGCAAATATTTTATATCACAATATTATTTTCTTCAAATCTTTCTAAGAGTAGAGTGTTAAGACTCTACTAGGCTCTTCTATTTGTTAATTATTTAAAAACTTAGATGAATTAAAATAAGGTTCTGTGGAGATTGATAATTTTGAATATCAATTATTGTCAGGTTCAGGTTCAAAAGCTATTTTGAAATTCTAATGACTCCTTTACCTATCAAGATTAATCTAATTTAATTTAATCTTATCATTTGAAACACTAAAGTTCTCTTCAAGATACAATTTATCAATTCAGAGTTGATTTTATCAATGATTTGAAAGTTAAGTATAAATCTTGACTACATTAGCCTAATTTATAATGACGCATCTAATCTAATTTGTTGCTGTCGTATCCCTTTATAAATCTTTGACAACAGCCATTTTTGTCAACTAATTGGTAGTTATGTAATAAGCTAATACCTTTGCATAAAGAGTGAATAAAGTGAAAATATTCTATCAATTAAGAATTTATCACATTTAAATTCTTATATTTCATGCATGACTATTCTTCAATAATGATATTTATTATATGAATGGAAAGATATTTTGATATAGAGATAATAACAAATCTAGGCAAATAAAGTTTAATGAGATATAATTTAGGAATATTGTGAATCAATAGAGAATCTAAGTATAGTATTTTATTTGTAATACACATAATCTCAATATTAAAACTATGTATTAACAAAACTAAGTTATTTATCAATAAAATCCTTAGTAACAAAATCCAGTATAACAACATCGGGATTACAATGTTCCTCCACCCGGTATTATGATGGTTGATTGAATTCTAAGGTTATAAAGCTCCGAGGTATCCTAGAGAAGAGCTACCTGAAAATCAAGAGCAGAATTTAGATTTGGGTGGTTCATATTAGAGTTATCTTTACAATTGTGGAGAATGTTGTGGTAATTGTAAGGCAGTGTGTCCCTGTAATCCATTTGTTGAGTATCCTTATATTCAAGTTGAATAGAGTTTTGTTGGAGTTTACTTGCGTTTTGGGAAGTACATAAAGACAGGTATGGAGAGTGAAATAAGGTAGTTTAACCTGGATTGATATACATAAACCCTTGCACGGACACAATATAGAAGGTGGATTGCAAAGTGTAGATGATCGATTGTCCAAGATAATAAGTTATGACGAAGGATAATATTTTGGTTAGCATTGATGCAACGGTTTACTATAGAATAGTGATACCTCGGAGATCAATCTTTTACATAAATGATTTGCATTAGGCAGTAACTCAATTGACATTGGCAACAATAAAGAGCATTGCAGGGTCTCACACATTGTAGGATCTCTTGGAGAAGAGAGCAGAGGTGCAACAATAAATAGAGGGGTTTGTGGATGAGCATGTGTGGGAATGGGGAATAGACATAGAAAACATGTTGATCAAGGATATTCAATTGAATGCCGATTTGTAGAATACTTTGTCAATGGCAGCAAAAGAGCAGAGAGCTGCTTAAGCCAAGGTGATTTCAGCTTAAGGAGATGTGCAATCAGCCAAATTGATGAGGTAGGCAGCAGAGTTGTTGGATTCGAAGGCAGCGATGTAAATTAGATATTTAGATACTATAACAACATTGGGGTAGTAGGGATCAACGAAGGTTGTGTTGCTCCCTACAGATTCTAAATGATTAATTTATATATATTGGGTGAGAATATAAAATATTATTCTATAAAAATTGTGGTCACAGAAAAACAAGTGCTTGGATGACGAAATATGTAAATTCTAGATGCCTCTTGGAAATATTGGGGATGAATAGATATGGTAGAATAGTTAAAGTTAGTAGAGAGGTAGTAGGAGAATATGCAGAATAAGGAGAATCTTGAGTATATATAATTATTATGGATTATGGAGGTGAGGAAAAGTGTAGAAAAATTAGACTTCAAATCGATGATATGAAATTGGATTTATCAATATTAAAATTAATGAAATCATACATCTTATTCGCTATTCTCATAGGCTTAGGTGCATCTTAAATTGTAGTAACATCGCAAACCCTCTGCAGCTGTCCACAATTAACAAATCAAAATGATTGTAACACATTGCCAGGGTGTCAATGGGTATAGGATAGCAACTCATGCACGCAAAGTTGCTAGACACTTACACAACCTTAGTGTCTGAAAGCCTCTTATTATTGCCAATGGAATCCAACTACTGCATCATGTTCCACATTTACATCATGCGCTAGCTTAACAGCTGCAAGCAATCAAGATTGTGTCTAATAGAATGCTAGATGCCTAGGATATAGTTCAGCAAATAACTAATGCTTGTATTATAGTCAAATCACTGCAGCATGCATCACTTACCCATAAAATTAATGCAATTACAATTTTGGTACAGATGGACCTTGTAATTGGAATGGTCAAATATGTTAAGCATATAATCAATGTACTCAAGCTCCAACTTAGAAATATTGTGAATAACTTAATACATACAAATCTGAAACTCCATAGGGAACTATCTGCTAATGGACTGATGCAAATGGCTGCTAGGCTATTACAAGTTGTAATCAATTCGCAACTCAAGACACTTGCAAACACTATTTTTCAAGTTTTGAATCAAAAACTTTGAATGTCTGTTATTGGTAAACAACCACCAATCCACCTTCATGTGTTTCTGTTACCAATCTTAATAATTTGAGTCAAACCACTTGTTTGGCAAATACAGGTTTATTCTTCAGATGGTATGGATTGTAGAATAATCCAGCTAATGGATTTTGTGGTCCTTGCAAACAATTTACATTAAAGAAGGTTGTAAGTACATAATGTACTTGTTCTCAATATGCCTTACAAACTGATTGCAATTCATAGAGTAGTTTATGTCAATGGAATACAATAACCAATACTTGTTCTCCAAACACCTGTGCCCAAATTAAAACTCAAAATATTTGCATAACAGTAAATGGATGTTATTGGAGTATCAATGGAAATCAATGCCAAACTTTGACTAATTGCAATAACTTGACATTCAAGGTTAGTGCAGTCGGATGTGCTGCATAAAGTGTGTACTGTGCTGGTTATGAAGGAGCTTAATGTGTACTCACATCATCAGTCACTTAGACTTGCGGTTCATAAACTACAGCATCAAGCTGTTACTAATTCATCAGTAGTCAAGGTCTGTGTGCATGGAGTATCTCCAACTCAAAATGTTCTCTATTGTAATACTGTGGTTAGTTAACTGATTCTGTGCTTTGTGGAAACCAATAGAATTAATGTATGTGGGATGCAACAAGTTTGACATGTCAATAATTGACTTGCGCATCATACACCAAATAATCATCTTGTACTTATGTGTAAACTGAATTCTCATCAAATACATACTAATTGTGTAGATGGAATAAATCCCAAGGAACTCAAGGAGTCTGTGAAAATGCCTATTCTGCATTATCATAAACTTCAGCAACTTGTGTTGGTAGTACAGGAAATAACTTTAGATGGAGTACCAACAATGCATCCACAGGAATGTGTGTTTCATGTGGTACAAATTAATTGTAATTGTAAACACCATCTTCATGTCAATGTTCATAATTCCACTCCAAATCAAATTGCTAAAACTCCGGATTCTGTACATTCAATGCCCAAACTAATCTTTGTACACCATCACCTTGCACATAATATGAAAACTAGATAACTTGTGCTGCATTAAGTACTTGTTATTGGAGTTCAAATGGCTGTTTGGCATTCACAAATTGTTCTTCATTACCAGTAGCTGCTAATCAATTAGAATGTGTTAGTATGAATGCTTCATGCAAAGGAATCAGCAACGGTGTCTGTCAATCATTTGCCTCAATGACTTGTGCTGCTCAATATGCAGCTAACAACACTTGCACAAATAACACCGGTACTGATGGAGTTTGTTACTTGACCAAAACAGACAAAACAACCACCTGTGTTGGATTCTCCTAATGTAATCAGGCTGCAAACAACGAAACCTTATGTCTAAGAAATCAACTGTCTTGTTCATGGAACGGTCTTACTGAAACATGCTCTTAAGTTAATTGTGCATCCTTCAAATCAGAATTAAATTGCAAATTCTATCTACCAAATCCACTCTCATCTGAAATTGTTCCATGCTTATGGAATGCAACTAATAGTACATGTGGACCCGCTTCTGATATCTTAACAGCATTGACTTAAAACAGTTGTGCAACCAGTACTCATAATACTTATAGTTGGGTAACAATTTCAGCTGAAAAAGGATATTGTGTTAGATGTTAATAATAAGTCACATTGCCTAAATAATGTGCCTGTTCATATCTTAGCCAATATGATTGTTCTTAAGCACTTGAATGTTACTGGAGCAATGGATCATGCATACAAATGGAATGCACATAGATACTTTAACAATCTGTATGTGCATCTCAAAAAGGTTGTTAATGGAATAACAATTCATGCTCTGTATTTAATGGTACATGTACCAACTTGGTCGGAAAGAGTTAAGCTGCTTGCATGTCACAAAATATATATTGTGTAGGTAGCAATGGAACAAATTGCAGCACTACTTATAGCAAATGTGAGGCAAATACAACTGATACATCCTGTGTTGCAACCATTGGAAGCAACGGAGCATGCTACTGGAATACCACATCCAAGTCATGTGTGGCTGTCAATACATGCAATCAATTACCAGAACCTGAATGCAACTTACAATCTAAGTCTTGTTATTGGAATGGTACTACTTGTCAAAGTTTAACTTGTAGTACACTCTATACCTAATATGGTTAATGTACTTTTGTTATGAAATTATCATCCAACAGTTATGTTTAGATTTGTTAAATGGTAGGTGATCTATGTACTTAAGTACCAGATGCCTTTAGTTTGACCTAAGAATAATGCTTCACCAATACTAATAAAACAGCAAGATGGGTTCCATAATCTACAGGTTATGGAGGAATCTGTGCATCATGCTCTGGAAATGTCATTCCAAATTACAATTCCCAAACATGTTAATGCTATTAATACATGACATAAAGTGATTGTAACAATGCTAGTGGTTAATCTTGTTATTGGTCAACAAATAACATCTGTACCCAATAAGTTTGTGCCAATATTCTTAGTCAATCAGCATGTGCTTAAAACATAGCATGTATTTGGAATGCTGGTACTTGTTAAACCTTCACTTCATGCAGTTAAGTTGCTGGAACAGGATTAAGTGCTTAACAATGTCTTAGTTATTCAATTCAATGCAAAGGGTACAACGGAGGAACATGCACTTCCACTCCAAATTATACATGTGGTACACTATTAACACCAAATGCTTGCAGTGGTAATTATGGATCAGATGGTGTTTGCTTATGGAATTCAACTGCTACTCCTTCCATATGTATTCCAATAACAAATTGCACTTAAATTCCTTACCAACAAATTTGTAGCTATTACACTGAAGCCTGTTAATTTGTAAATAATACATGTCAATCACTTACCTGTGGTTACTTCACAACTCCAGCATCATGCACATATTATGTATCATAACTTTACCCTGGATCAATTTAATAATGTCAATGGTCAGCATCTACTGCTACTTGTGTTAATTTCATCACATCTTCAGAATTAAATTCAGCCAATTGTGCAGCCAACACAGGATTCACCTATAGATGGGTTCCAACAAATGCCAATAATGGAGAAGGTTATTGTACTAAATGTATTATAAATTCCATCAATGTACCTGGATAATGTGCTTGCAACTAATTGATTTACTAAAATGATTGCTAAGCAAATCCTTAATGTTCTTGGTCAACTACTGTATCAACCCCAAGTTGTTATAATAAACCTTGCAGTCAAATTACTTAATAAGCAACCTGCAGTACCAATCCAAGATGCTCATGGTCATTTGCTTAAAATTTATGCTAACCATTTTCATCATGCTCAGAACTTGCTGGTGTCAATGCTGGTGAATGTGCTAGTTATTCAGTTTTCTGTGCAGCCATATCAACAACATATTTACCTCTTCAAAATAAGTATATTTGTGCAGGCACTCAAAATCAATGTACAGTTCTTAATCCATCAGGCACAGCCGGAGCAACAACTCCATCCAAATGTGAAAACACCTACGTTACTCAAGGTATCTGTTAATTTGACTCCGAAACTAAGACATGTAATAAAATCACTTAGTGCTCGGGAATTAATTCTCAATAGAAATGCCAATAATTTAGTCGTTCTTGCTATTGGTAATTACCAACTGGAACAGCAACAAACGCCACTTGTGTACCTGCAAGTTGTACCTATTTCACCAATCAACAATCGTGCACATATTATTTGACTTCCTTAACAACATCTTCATCTTCGAAGGTCGTTCAATGTTAATGGTAACCAACTGGCTCATGCATAGAAGCTACAAATGTCTCAGCTGCCACATCAACCACCTGCTACTCCAACTCCTTCATGATGTCAAGATGGACTTCCACTTAAGCTGATTCGCCTAACGGATTCTGTGCATCATGCAGCTAATACAGTTTAAGCTAAACTTACAAGTCTGTTTGCTCATGCTCTGAATTATCACAATATGAATGTCAAGTTGCTTCCCCTTAGTGTGCATACAATCCAACAACCTCAAAATGTGCTGCCCAAAACTGTACTTCCATTACATCTAAGTTCTCATGTGCTGCCAATCCTGCTTGCATCTACATTGGATCTTGCCAAGCCTATACAAAATCACCTACTGGTACAAATGTTGGATGTGTTAACATTACTAGTGCCACATCTCCTTTTGATTGCTTAACTGCTTCAGTCAATTGTCCAGAATTTAGTGCCAGTGCCACCAAAGGAAATCCTGGTACTTGCAATGTTCCATAATAATGCAGCAAGCAAGGTTCTTAAGCTCTATGTGAAGCCTACAATGCATAACTATTGACTGGTTATTGCGTTTGGAATGGTAGTAGTTGTTAAACTATTAATAATTGCAAATAGATTTCTGATGTTTCAGTCTGCAATTTATAAACTAGCAGATGCCAATGGAGTGTTGTTTTGAATTCTTGCATCACCCAATCATGCAATTCATATACTAATCAAGCAGATTGCACATATGTGTACACATCCTATTAACCTGGAGATATTGCTCTTTGTGCCTGGGATCCCACCTACAATGAGTGTAGAAGCGCTCCCTTATCAAATTTAGATACCACTTAATATAATTAGACTAACACCACCTAATGTTTTGTAAATACAGGTCACGTATATCACTTGGATGGAAATGATTGTACAAGGTGCTTCTAAAACATTTTAAGCATTCTTCTAATAACAATGCTCCTAATATTAATTTGAGAGTATTATCATTTACAAATATCAATAAACATTTTATTTATATGATTTCTTTTCTCTATGATTTTGCATTCCTTCATTCTTATCATCAAAAGTTTAAATTTACATTCCTTATTCAAATTAAATGAAAATAAATTAGTTTTATAATTTGACAATTAGATGATTTTGTTCAAAACTGACATATCTCAAGAAAAATGAGAATTTGATTATAAAAATTCTTAATTAATTATTTATACTAAAGATTTATGTCTTAAATATATGAATTGGCTTTCATAGTCTCTTTAAACTAAGGAACCCTTCTCCTTTTCCTCCACTATAACTAACTTAGAGTCTAGCTCTATTTGGTAATACAATAAAGTCTTAAGCGTTTAAACCTAAGGATAAATGCAAAGAAGATACCAGTATATTCAGAAGATTTCTTCTTTTGATCTAAGGTGGCTATGTTCTCTCCATTGATAAGGACAGAGACTGTTTATTTTTCTTTGGAGAAAAATGCGTAGGCAATGTGATAGACCCCAGGGGCAACAATCAAAATAGAGCTTTTTCCTTTTTCCCAAACAAAATTCTCAGGCAAAGTGTTAATGACTTCGTATTCCCAAGGAATTAAATGATTTTGTGTTTCACCTGATCTCCACTAAAATCTAGCCACAATATTTTCTTAGCAAAGAGACTCATAGATTTAATTTTAACTTTTGAGATAATTAGATAAATCGTCTGCTGATACTTTAGTTTATAAATCATTGTGTATAGCTTCAAATGCTTGATTTATTTCAGGAATATCTAGATTTTACTAATATAATACTTGCTTTAGTATCTAGAATGGTAATCATGTCTTATATTCCAGCTTTGAGCATCATGTCCTTTTATATTAAATCCAATGTATATTTGGTCAATTAAATATGTTTGGTTAAATCCTTCTGGTAGGCTCTTTCGTCCTAATCAATACAAAGTTTTTAGATAATGTTTTTTAACTCTTCAAAGTCTTAGTAAAGTACTCTTTGTTTTAAATTAATTTCTAATTGATTTAATTGCTATTCAAAAGACGATATCTTTTTAGTAACAATTTATGAGACTTCTTATTTGATATTTTTAAAGCCATCTTAACTAGAACCTGTCTTTTTGATCTCATTAACTCTCCTCTATAATTATTATTCAATTTAAACTTAGATATTCTACTCATCTTCATATGATAATTATTTAGCTTTGACTTCGCTTATTTCCTTTATTTATTATAATAAAATACTTTATTCATCTATTGAACTTATCTTTACAATTGCTTAAATACTTGATCAGATTTAAATTCATCTAGATACTCCTGCATTTAATCTACCTTCTATTAAATATCCTTTTTTTATATTCTCATAGTATTAACTATTTTTTTAAGATCATCTAATTCTTCTCTCTTGTCATCATCCATTTGTTTTATATTCTCAGACAAGTTGTACAATTCTTCTGTCAATTTCTCTGATAAATGAGTAGATTTCATTATAGTTGTTTACATCTACTCACTGGTGAATTATTTAGATTCTAAGATTTCATTCCTTAATCGATCAAGGTCTGAAATAATCTCTTAAGAAAACTTATTAAATCTTTAAGAATAGCCATCCAATTCTCCCTAAAGTGAATTTATAGAATGAATATGTTTATCTAATTCCTTATTATCAACCTTCTTGTTTAATTGTTTTGTTACTCCATCAACTTATTATTTCATTTCCATCATCAATTAATTATTGTCTTGTAATCTTGATTCCACAATATTTTTTAAATCTTATTGTTGTTCTTTAATCACTTCTAATTAATGTATTTCAGCCTTGTTTTATAATGAATTGATTAGAATAGAGAAATCTTATCTATCAACTTTGACTTCTAAAATTGAAGCAATTTTGTCTATCTAATCTAATGAAGCCTTTTAATCAAGATTTTAAATGATTGGCTATAGATCTTCTAGAGAAGAGTAATTTTACAAAATTTAATCTAATTCTTATTTACTAATTTTTTTATTTACTGCCTATTGTACTTAGTGCTTACTAGCTTTCGTTTCAAGTAATTCATTCATTTCTTAGAGATTAGCCTTAAGTTCTACTTATTATGATAATTGAGAGAAGTCTTTCATGTTTGGTACTTGTTAGAATTTCTTAGAAATTTATGTTTGTAGTTCTTCAATTTTGTGTTTCATATTTTGCATTTCTCCTTTGAATTCTCCTGATTATTATTTTTCTAACAATTACTTCATCTCATCAACATCAATTTTACTAATAAAATCATCATTCAAACAATATACTTGCTCAACAAATACTACATATCTGCCTTTAATACATAATCCTTCAATAAAACTTGAGAATCTTCGTAAGTAATTTTGGTATCAAGATTGGCAGCTATCTCTGCTATCGTTCTTGATATATCATTAATATTAGCTTTAAGTGCTAACCCTGAGTGAAGTTCATTTTTAGAAGCACGTGTAGAAAGTTGCTTTTCGATTTCTCGTATACTTTCTCCTTAAGATTTTACAACATCCGTTAAAGCCTTGAATGTCAATCTGATAATATCATTGATATTTTTCCATTCAGATTAAGACTATTGTTAACTTTAATGCATTCTACCTACAGCAAATCTTCAACAATAGCCGTGCTATATGGATCATTATCTTCTCGATGATGCATATTTTAATTTTGAATTTCAGTTGATAATTAAATATATAAAATTTCATTATACTTATTCTACATATAGACTTCATAACTAATATTAAAATTAGGAACTTTCTTTTTGAAATATTATTAACTATTTTCAAATCTATTCATCTTAGATTTAGGTAATAATTTAGATATATTAAAATATTATAATAATATCCATTTACTCTTTTGCTAATCTAAGATATTACTTAAATAGTTTGTATCTATTATTTTAGCCAATACTAATAATAGATCTTATTCTAAGAGTAACTTTCAATTTCATCCTGTAATGCAGTAACAACATTCACTTTTTGTTCAAATAACTATTTTTATGATAATATTAATCAATTTATGACAATCTATTATCGATAATGAAACTGTTTTAATTCTATCTTTTATTTTATTTAGAGTTATTTCAATTTCAGATACTAATTCTCCTATTATATGAATAATTCTAAATACTAAATAGATCTCTGCTATATTCAAATAAAGAGTAATATAGTAGTATGTTTGATTTTGAAATAGAGAGCATCTATAAAGTAAAATATGTTTCCAAGCTTGTAGTCATAAAAATAAAGTAATAAATTATCAACGAAATTTAGTCAATTTATTCAGATTCCTTAATCTCAATTGATTTTTTCATTGGTTTTCAGAACTGCATTATTACTATAAAGGATTGAAATATTGGCTATTGTGATTTCAATCAAAGTATAAGATGGGAATCTAAAAAATGAAATTTTAATTTTTATAATTGTATTATAAAATAGAAATGATTAACTTAAGTTAAATACTAGAAGGAGACAATGGAGAGATTACATTTTTTGAGGACACTAGTTAAGTTGATTTGGAGGATATCCTTTAAGAAGATGATGAAGTTAGAGAGCAACTCAATCATATAAATAGTGATTCCTAGACTCTTGAGTGTAATAATCAAAATAATGAATCATTCATCTGTGATTAAGAGGAATTCATTTCTCCAATTTAAATAATGTCTTTGGGACATCACTCTAAAACTTTTGCTATTTCAACAAATTATTTGATCAATTATTGGGAAAGATAGCTTGCATTATTCTCGAATAATAAGAATAACAAAACAATCTAAATTTAGGATGTGTCATATATATCAGTCAAAGGATAAATAATAGCTGTTGGATTTGAGAGTGGCTAAATCCACATCTATGAAGGAAGCCAATTAAAATTAGCTCATAAAATACAGGAACATCAAACCACAATAATAGGCTTGAATATAGTTGATGTGTAAGCAAATGAGTTAGTTTTGGCATCCTCTGATTTAGATGGCAACGTCAAATTGATTAGAGTGGGTTAAAATTTATTCAGAAGTAAAATTGTAAGCAATACTATATTGAACAAGTTTGAGTATCCAGTTACTCAATTGATATCATAGCAATTTAAATATTCAGATAGCGATAAAACAAGTTTACTCTTAACTTTAGGAAATAGCAATATGGTTATAACACTTTCCATCAATCCTGAAGTTAGAGTTATACATGTTTTCGATAAACAGAAATCAAATAATGATCTCCATTGGGGCAAATGCAATTATGAAGGAAATCAAATATAATTATTATCCATTCAATGGAACTCATTTATTTAATTGATAACCTTTTTGGAAAATTCACCTTGGTATTTTTCGTTCTATTCTGCTGAAACTCCTTTAATCGGGGCCAAATTCATTTCTGAAAACCTAATCATTGCTGCTACTGAAGGTTAATTTTAGGTTCTTTACATTCCTTATTTCTCTAAAGGTAAGTATTGTTTTAAATCTGATAGCAAAGCAAAGATTTCAAACACTCATTTCCATCAAAACATATATTGTTTAAGAGCAATAAGCAATGTCATCTACTTCATATCTGAAAATAAATTGTATTCATTGCATGCATTGAGTTGGTTATAATATTTAAAATCGTTAATCCAAAACGATTCCCCTCAATGGTCAATAGCATTAAGGTTTCTTGTCTAAGTCTACAGAGGCAAAGTGAAAGGCATGCCGAACTTAGAATTGGATGAAGATAGAAGTGCAATTCAAACATTAGCTCCTACTTTAATTACTAGTATTACTAATTCTAAGATGAATAGAGAATTGATATCAGCAGTTGTTTAATTTATCCTTCTTTGTCAAATTCCATAACATTTGATGATAGTCCGATAAGGGTGTGAGAAATAATAGATTTTGGATGATTATTATAGAGTTTTGGAAATACATCTGAAGAAAATCACTTAATTGCCAAAGGAGATATTTTTTGATTTGGCAAACAAATTCTCTCCTGAGTCTTTCTAGAAATTAGTAATTAATTTAGATTTGAATTCTATTGATATTGGATACACATATGATGTTTGTCTGAGTAAAGAGATTTACACTCCATTATTNTAATGTCTTTGGGACATCACTCTAAAACTTTTGCTATTTCAACAAATTATTTGATCAATTATTGGGAAAGATAGCTTGCATTATTCTCGAATAATAAGAATAACAAAACAATCTAAATTTAGGATGTGTCATATATATCAGTCAAAGGATAAATAATAGCTGTTGGATTTGAGAGTGGCTAAATCCACATCTATGAAGGAAGCCAATTAAAATTAGCTCATAAAATACAGGAACATCAAACCACAATAATAGGCTTGAATATAGTTGATGTGTAAGCAAATGAGTTAGTTTTGGCATCCTCTGATTTAGATGGCAACGTCAAATTGATTAGAGTGGGTTAAAATTTATTCAGAAGTAAAATTGTAAGCAATACTATATTGAACAAGTTTGAGTATCCAGTTACTCAATTGATATCATAGCAATTTAAATATTCAGATAGCGATAAAACAAGTTTACTCTTAACTTTAGGAAATAGCAATATGGTTATAACACTTTCCATCAATCCTGAAGTTAGAGTTATACATGTTTTCGATAAACAGAAATCAAATAATGATCTCCATTGGGGCAAATGCAATTATGAAGGAAATCAAATATAATTATTATCCATTCAATGGAACTCATTTATTTAATTGATAACCTTTTTGGAAAATTCACCTTGGTATTTTTCGTTCTATTCTGCTGAAACTCCTTTAATCGGGGCCAAATTCATTTCTGAAAACCTAATCATTGCTGCTACTGAAGGTTAATTTTAGGTTCTTTACATTCCTTATTTCTCTAAAGGTAAGTATTGTTTTAAATCTGATAGCAAAGCAAAGATTTCAAACACTCATTTCCATCAAAACATATATTGTTTAAGAGCAATAAGCAATGTCATCTACTTCATATCTGAAAATAAATTGTATTCATTGCATGCATTGAGTTGGTTATAATATTTAAAATCGTTAATCCAAAACGATTCCCCTCAATGGTCAATAGCATTAAGGTTTCTTGTCTAAGTCTACAGAGGCAAAGTGAAAGGCATGCCGAACTTAGAATTGGATGAAGATAGAAGTGCAATTCAAACATTAGCTCCTACTTTAATTACTAGTATTACTAATTCTAAGATGAATAGAGAATTGATATCAGCAGTTGTTTAATTTATCCTTCTTTGTCAAATTCCATAACATTTGATGATAGTCCGATAAGGGTGTGAGAAATAATAGATTTTGGATGATTATTATAGAGTTTTGGAAATACATCTGAAGAAAATCACTTAATTGCCAAAGGAGATATTTTTTGATTTGGCAAACAAATTCTCTCCTGAGTCTTTCTAGAAATTAGTAATTAATTTAGATTTGAATTCTATTGATATTGGATACACATATGATGTTTGTCTGAGTAAAGAGATTTACACTCCATTATTATATATCTGTCCAAGAAAGGAAGAAGATTTTCTGACTCCTTTGAACAAAATGTATGAGAAACATAAATAGGAACTATATGAAAAATGTTTATGGTTTATAGAAATCACATAGAAATAGATTCTATTTCCGAATGACCAGATTCCATTAGAAATTTGGAAGAAAGCTGTGAGGTAATAGATGCTATGGTTGATGGAAGTATTGGACATATTTTAAAGTGAGAAATTATTCCAAATACTTACAACATATCTTAAACAACCTTGTTTTGGTGCTTTACATCATGAATCAGTGTATTCATATTTCAACATAACTTAAGAGAATTTATTGGCAACAAAGATATTTGAACAAGTAAGCAGCATTAAATAATAGTATTTACTTTAATATCTATTGTTTATCAGTAAGATAATTGACTAGATCAATGTCAAAGATCCAGAAAAATTATTATTACAAATATTTGAAATCAATAAATCTTATATTGATAATTATGTAGCTATGCCTGAAGATTTGGATCAGATCTTGTAAATAATTTATTATTTAATGCCTCACACTTCATTAATTGAGCAGGCATATGAAAGCTAATGTGTTGATTACATAGCTTATTACTTTCTATCTTAAAATCAATTCAATGAAGCCGTTAAAATATTCTTTAATTACGAAGAATTTAAACTTCGAGTCTACAAATGGTTAGAATATCAACCCTACGATCCACTAATGCTAAATCATCTTGACAAGCTGCTTGAATTAGACCCTGAGAAATGTGCCAAAGTCTTCTAAAGCTGGCCCATAGAGACTTTATAAAAACTCATCATTTATCAGCCAAAAAGAGAATTATTACATGTATTCAAATATTTATCCATTGATCTTTCTTAATTTCTTTAATTGAAACTAATTGAATTGATCAGTATTCATGAACCAGAAAATACCATTTCATGGCTGAAGAACAGGTAATATTAATTAGAAGATGTTGAACAAATATTCTAATAAACCAATAATATTGAAGGATTAGGATACATTATGGAGCAAAAAGGACTCTATCAATAGTCAATCGATAATTACCTTTAGGTCTATAAGGAGGAGGCTAGAAATTATATTTTAACATTCCGAAATCAAGATAGAGTGTCTTAATTGTTTTAGAATCTAATGAGAGTCACTAAGATAGCTGTCTAATCAGATGATAATAATTAAGACTTCTATTTGTATATAGCACATCAAATCTTCAATCCGTTGATGCATTAAACTCATTGGTGTAAGCTCAAAAGATCCTACGTGTTCAATCAGTAATTTAGCTAGCTCTTCATGCATTTGTTTCGCTATTCTCCAACAGAATTAATTAAAATAATAGAGATAAATCATGAGACATTTAATCAAGTCCACTTAAAGAGTAGTTTTATTACTGTTTTTAAGGAATTTGGATATGAAAAGTAATTAGTAGAAAAGATATCCAAGATAATTAGAAATGATAATATTAAATTGCTTAAGTTACTTTATTCTTTAATGAACAAATCTAATCTATATGAAATAATATGTATAGAGTGTTAACAACCATACACTTAGGATTAAGCAATTCTTTTGAAATGTGGTCATACAATGCATCCATTTTGCCTTGAAAACAAATATTGTCCAATATGTTAAAATATATCAGCTTAATCAAGTATTTGTGGGTATATAATTTCATAGTGCTTGAAAGTATTGGAGTTGAAGAATTAAAAAAGTTTATCTTGAAATCTAACGTGGATAATTAATAATTGCAATTATTGAAAAATGTTGATGATATGGATTTTGAAGATAACTTTCTGTAATCAAGTACCCAAGATGATAAAGAAATGATGGAGTTAAGGTTGCTAAATAAAATGGATATATATGATTAATTAAGCGATTCAGCATTGTAATAGGTATTGAATTCATATAATTTTAGTACAATTCTTTTTTGGATTAATATTTTTGATAGCTATCAGACTTTTTTGTATACTCTATATAATTGTTTATAAATAAAAATGCAGTTATTTCATTTAATTTAACATAGAAATTAATTTAAAAAACATCTTCATTCTACATAATGCTTTGTGAACACAAAGGAGTATAATCATTCTGTACATGTTGCCAATAACTTATCTGTGAATTGTGTATTTGCTGTAAAGATCCAAAAAAAATAAATGTGCCAAACATTGATTTAAATGTGCTTTGTTAAAGATGTGACCAAACTTCAGCATTAATCAGATGTGAACAGTGTATGTTTCAATTCTGTTAAGAATGTTTTCAATCAGTTCATAAAATTGGAAAATTCTCAATTCATACCAAAATAGAAATCAATTAAGATCTACACTAATAAATAGTCAAATAAATGTCTCTAATCACAGAACTTGAATAATACTCTTAAGAATAAATAACTTCTGTTTTGAGATATTTCGATTAGATCTAAGAAGTATTGGATAGGAAGAAAAAACAGTTTCTTGATGCTATATCCAATTATCGCTTTTAATAAATGAAAATGCTTAAATAAAGAATAAACATCATTGAAGCAGCTGTCAAAATAAACTCAGAGCGATCTTTTGAAATTCCTGAATGCTTGAATTACTAAAAGGAAACATTTCATTTAACCTCAAAAGAATAAATTATTGAATTAATCTTAAATATTGATGCTTAGAAAGTCCTTGATTAAAGCACTCTTAGTCCTCGAAGAATTCATACTTAGGCCAGTGTGAAAAGGAGTGCCAGTTGTAAAAAATTGGAAACTTAAGAAAAAATTGTTGAGGTTTGTGAAATTTTTGAGAGGAGAAAATTTATTAAATAATTGTGTTAATCGAATTCTATATAGTTAAATTGGACTCATTCAAAATAAAAGGTTGACTATAATTTAGAAATGGGAATAGGGATGAAAATCAAAGGAGTTGAATAGTTTAAATAGATTTATTTAGGTACGGATCCGTAATTTATAATTAATGGACTATAAGCTAAAACCAATTATAAATTTAGAGTTTAAAGCATATTTGAAAACAAGACAAGTGAATTCAGTGAAATCTTGAATCTAACTACTCCTCAATAATAAACTGTAGAGGATAGTCTAATAATTTCAAAGAAAATTATAAATAATGATATCTAGGTTTAATTTGAGAAGCCTGGATTAGTGTTAGGCACAAATCCATTATATTTTGGAGTATGGTCTTGGGAAATAAAATTGATAATTAACGGAATAATTGAAGACTTGACAGCCAGCTTAGTTGTTGGAGTAGCTAATAAATAGAGAAAGATTATTGGAACTACATTGAATTATGGGTATCAAAGAGAATCCTTGATTATTAAAGTCTTAGTTGATATGGACAATAAATGCATGACTATAACCTCAAAGATGCATCCAAATGGAGAGAGATTTTAAAATCTAATAGGGCCAGTGTTTCCAGCATTTTAGAACAAAAATACTCATAAGGGATCAGGGTGTAGATTATTGATATAATATTAATAATAATGAATAAAAAAGAATTGAGAAAACTTAATTCTTATGTGGATAAAGAAGTACTAAATTTAACAGGAGGTCTTTATCCATTTGCTCTATTCTCATAAACAAAACCACTCCATCATTAAAAATGGGTTTAGGAGGAAATAGTGCTGACTAATGAGAATATATAAAAAGTAAAGGCATGGGTACCAGAACAAGAAAGAGGGTAAATGTTTAAAGGAGAGAAAGTCAATTAAGATCCAGAATATCTTGAATTTAAGGAAGAAGAAATAAGCATTGATAATGATTGGAGTTTTGAAGAGACTTAATATTTATTCAATTAATTAAGGAACTATAATTACAATTTCATAGTGCTTTCTGATAGATACTCATATCAAAATAAAAACAGAGATATTTACGAACTGAAGGATAGATATTACAGCGTTGTTAATGAGGTCTTATAAAAAAGAAATGATAAATCACATTTTCTATACAATTATGTATATGATGAAGAATATGATCGATTTAGGAATATGGAACTTGAAAAGTACCTAAAAAGAACAAAGTAAATTTGTGATGAAGACAAGAAGTTGCAAGATGATCTAAGGAAGGTTGATCAATAAATAAAAAAATAAGAGAGGGAACACAAAAGTCTTTGCAAATCAATTAATTTATAAGAATATGATGTAAGATGTATTTTTCATTTAGGATATTGATGATAAATCGATTAATTATATAATAGATATGTCTTAAAGAAATGAGGAAGTTAAAAAGACAACCACTGAGAGAATAGTTTATTTAAGAAATAAATGGATTAATGAAGCATTACCCTTGCCTACTTCAATTAAAGATAAATTAGATAGGTAGTTAAAAGAAGTGCTGCAAAACACTAAATTAGCTTTGAATTAAGAAATTGAAGAGTTATTCTGTAACCTACGCAAATTATAATTGGGTGTATTAAGTTAACAGAGATTACAAAAGAGAAGAGAACAAGATAAGAGATATTTAGAAGACAAAATTAAAAAACTTAAAGCTTAACATGATTAACAATAAGCAAGCGATATGAAAACTAAAAAGTGAGATAATTTATATTCTAATAATAATTAATATTGGTTTCATTGTTTTACTACCTCAGAAAATTCATGTTCTTTGGCTAAGCAAATTCAAATTAAACAAAACAGTTACCTCTTTTTTCTAATAATGATCTAAAATATTTTGCAGAGAAGTCTACAATATCTCCTGGCTTGTTTCTAATGACTTCTTTTGCATAATGTTTCAATATCACAGGTAATTCAGGAGGTACTACAATCTATTCAGCGCAATAAATTCTCTATTCTCTCACATCTGCCATTTTTATTAAAATTAAAATAATTAATTAAAATTCATAATCTCACAAAGTTAAATAGATGAATAAATCACAAACAATTCTCATCTGCACATCTTATCAGAATTTAAATTTGTTCTGTTTGCTTCCCTCTCAGACACTCAATGAATTGCCTAACATTCAATAATTAAGATGAAATTCTTGCATTTCTCATACAATAGAACAATACCACTTGGCTTTCTCCTTCCTATGTAATATCCAACTCAATACTTGCGATAGTATATGCTGCATCTCATTTGAGCATTGTCTATTTGAGATACAGTCATAATCTGTGTTAATGCCAAAGGTAACCACCAAAAGTAATGTAAATAAGAATTATTTAAAACACATAATGTTTCTATATCTGAAATTATTTAATGTAATTGGTAAAATTTAATATATCAAAAGGAATCTCATTAAATAACACATTGTGTTGATAAATGAGATAGATGATAAATAGAATTGTTAGAGAAATAATAACATGTTATAAAATACTAGATTAAAAAGAATATGATGAAGATCTTATAATCTTATTTTGGAAATATGCATATATTTATAATAAGTTCATTATTGTATGATTTTGAGATCCTTTCTACTCAAGCAATATTTCTAATGACTATGTGCGATTCTAGTAAGTAGAATATTTAATGTTTTAATGTTCCATAAGCTTAAATATCTAAGTATTCATTATATTGAATAGTTTTTATAATTTCCATTGAATTTGATACCACTATTTTTAATATATTATTTTTATGAATATGTTTATTCTAATAGCAAAATGTTTGAGATAATTGGGTATTAAAAATATTAAATATCTAGATTTTCTAAGGCTAAATCTAATTGCGAAATGGAAAGATGTTTTTAAAAAAAATATATCGTGCAAATAGATTTATTTATTTAGAAAATTACCAATAGATCAAAGCTGATATTTGCACTATTGAATTCTGTAATTAAATGCTAGTCTAATTAGTACTATTAATTATAATATTATGTTAATTAGTAAATTTACATTCAAGTTCAGCATATTCATTTAAAGAATGTGAGCTTATAAACTGATGATCTATTATAAACTTCTACTAAAGATAAAAAATATTGGTAACTAATGCTCAAGCTATCGTTGTTAAGAAGTACACTCTTAAATTAATGCTTTAAATTTGAAAAATATTGGAAGAGCATTGATAAGGAAGGATTTATGAAAGAAATTTGTATAATATTATATTATTAAAATACTAATTAGAAAAGATTACTTTGAAAAGACATAATAATTGATTTTAAAAATGAAATTATGACATATATATTTGAATATTGAATATTGAATATATATAAATATATATATT